TTGACCCATTTTAAGTTTTAACAGCAGTAAAAATACTCTCTCAACGTCATTCTTTAAGCCTGAAACTTGATAACTTTTCCTAATGTGGTCCAAAATACATGAAATTAATTTTAAAATATCTATGTGTATTTTTGTATATGTGCTACACATTTTTACCCCCCTGAGGCTGTTATGGGTCAAATTTGACCCGCATCTATTTAGATGGATTTTAGATCTACCAGTGTGGGACAAGTGACAAGCAGTGAGAACAGAGTTCAATATAAAGTTCGTTATTCAATGAAATATATTCAAATCATTATGAAACTATTATTACCTTGACAGAAGCACACACACATGCACACACACACACACACACACACACACACACACACACACACACACACACACACACACACACACCTAGACAGAGGTCAAGATGACCTCACCAGTCAACTTTCTGTAACAAAAGCTGCTCTTTGAACTCTTTGAAGGGGCAGGGGAACCTTAAATATTGAAAACGTAAACAAACAACGCATGAGTGATCAAAGATGAAGTACAAAGGGATCAGAAGTCATCCGGAGGTCAGAGTGTGCACAGATGTAACATGTACACCTGCTCCTGCAATATAATGTACAAAGTAACAAATTGGAATCTGTTTTGATTGGGAGGGAGGTGGTAGTTGTAGCATCATGAGGGTAGAGAGAGCTGCTATTGCAGAGGCAAACACATATGCAAGCTTTACACATGTGAAGTGTCCTACCTTTGATTTGAGAGCAGAGACTAGCGGTGAGGATAGTGACAAACAGTGAGAACAGTGTTCAATATGAAGTTTGTTGTTCAATAAAATACATTCAAATCATTATGAAACTATTATTACCTTGACAGAAACACACACACACACACACATGCACGTACGCACGCACACAGACACACTTTGACAGTGGTCAAGATGACCTCACCAGTCACAAAAACCTTCTGTAACAAAAGCTGCTCTTTGAACTCTTTGAAGGGGCAGGGGAACATAAAATATTGAAAACGTAAACAAACAACGCATGAGTGATCAAAGATGGAGTACAAAGGGATCAGAAGTCATCCGGAGGTCAGAGTGTGCTTTCACACAGATGTAACATGTGCACCTGCTCCTGCAATATAATATACAAGGAAACAAATTGGAATCTGTTTTGATTTGGAGGGAGGTGGTGGGAGTTGTAGCATCATGAGGGTAGAGAGAGCTGCCATTTCAGTGCAAACACATGTGCAAGCTTCAAGCTCCATACATAAAGTGTACTTTGCAGTGAAGACAGTGACAAACAGTGAGAACAGAGTTCAATATGAAGTTTGTTGTTCAATAAAATACATTCAAATCATTATGACTTTTATATTCTTTTATTTTTTTTATATAATATTACATGACATTATCCTGTGTAATAGATATTCTTCTCTAAAATATGTATTTCACCCAAAAAAAGTGGTGTTAAAACCTAAAAAATAAACTTTCTCTGCTCTTTGAAACATTTAGGAAGGACTAATCAATAATTCTTTGAAGTAGCAGATGCCATTTAAACATTATAAATAGGTTTGGGGTTAGAACTTCAGTGAAAATAGTTGCGACATAGGCAATTCTCAAGCTGGGTCAATTTTGACCCGGAACATACTGTGAGGATACAGGATTTGAACAGTATGTGAGGGTTAAGTTTGGAAACTGGTTTGGAAGGGGTACCACTTCACTTTCTGGGCACATCTGGGGTGCCCTTGAACAAGGCACCAAGCCCTGCAGCTCAGGGTGCTGAATATGTTAATGTTGTTTGGTGCAGTTATTGTGCAGCATGGGTAATGTGCAACATACGAATGTTGTGGTTTCCTTGAGTATGTGTTATTCTGTTGGATTAAAACTATTGAGGAGGCAGTTGAGTATGTGCAGCACTTTATTTCTTCATTTTCTCCAATAAAGGACAACTAAGGATATTAAATCAGACTGTATCATACCTGTGTGATTTTTTTTTTCAACTCCATCAAGAATCATATGTCTTAATTTATTTACTTTCATATGGATTGCAAAAAAAGATATTTAAAGATTCAGAAACTGCAACCTATAAATGCAAACAAGAACATCATACAGTTCAGTTTTTCTGTGTTCAGTGTTTAATGCCTGCACACACTGAGAAGGTTGTTAGAGGAGATGACTACAACACTCTGAGGAAACAGCTTCTCTTTAGTTGTTTACAGTGAATGATACTCTTGTACAGCATCCACACAGACAGGACAACATCAGCTTTAATGTAAAAGGTACCGCTCAGTCCAGAGGAGACATCAACATTGACATAAACAAAAAGTCTCTTGCAGAGGCTTTAAAATAACTTTATCAGACATTTAGAAAAGGAGAGCTGTGCAGAAAGCTTGAAGAGTTATTAAAAAATAATGTATACCAGCTTTACTTCTGTAGTTTTTATCCTCATGGACACACACGGGAGTGAAAATTGATGTTAGAACCTATTGAATGATCACCTCAACCACTGTAAACACTCCTTTGCTGACTTATTACATGCTATGAATGACTTAATGTCCCCGTGTGAAGACAGTACACACTGACCTGTCACCTCAGACTGCAAACATGATGTATGTCTACATGCTGCTAATACACAGATAGTGTCAGTGTGTTCTTAAAGGTGTACATAAGGTAAAGTGCAGCTGCTTATTTCATACTGTAGCAAAACCGTGTCTTTATCTCTCTCAGATACTAGCGCTCCATCTTATCTCAGCTCAGAAATTGATGGCCATTTCATCTGCTTTCAATGAAATAGACTCACTTTCATCCTTAAATGTCTCCGAAGGACACGCTCAGATTTCAGGAGGACATTCGCTTTAGCGCTGCTTTCATCATCTTCTTTAAAACATGATGTAAACAGAGGAGAAAATACAGAGAGGGCTTTAAATACAGTGCAGTATTAAAGAGGAACAGAAACAGAGTCTGAGTTCATGTAGTGATACAGAAAATGAGTTTTATTCTCATGTTAATGTCTCAACATACAAATCACATTCTTTTTTTAATAAAAGAAAAGTTCAATCAGTACCTGGTAACTAGACCCTCTCTAACAATACAACCTTCTCACGTTGTATCCCACTCTCGCTAACATACACTAACTACTCAGAAAAATAGTAACGTTACACTTTACTTCTGCTTCAGCCCAATAGTTTAACTTATGGACCGATTTTCCTTTGAAAAACTGTGCAAGAATAGATCCCTTTTTAAAACTCAAATAAGAAGTGATCCTTTTTTGACTGATCAAAAATAAAAGGCCATCAATGAAATGTAAGGAACTGATGTAAGGGATATAAAGGTGAATTAGTTTCAGTAGAAATTATCGTACCTATTCATAGTCTACCAGAAACCTAAGAACAGTTAAATGTTTAAGGTCAACAGATAAACAAGTGCAAAACAGAAATAAAAAGGATAAAGTTGCCTTAGTGGATTTTGGCACAATAATGATACAGGATATGTTTTTTTTTTTGTTCTTTTTTCTTTTGTTTTGAGGAAGGGCAAAATATTTTTGTCAATGGTTTTTGCCTCCTGAATAAAAAATACATTTAAATAACAATGAAAAGTCACTAACATTTAAACAGATCAGAGGAAAATCCTTGAAAGATATTACCCTGCAAATTTTGCTTCATAGTGTCTCTTTTTAATGAGTACATCGATAAGTGACTGACAACCGACCACGAAAAAGAAACAAAATCATTTCTTCAAAGAGAAAAAAAAAACAAAAAAACATGCTAATACCTGCTAAGACATGACTCGACCGCCAGACAACCCTAGGCGTATGACCTAGTGAAAATACATGTAATATATATTTATATATATTTGCTTTTTTTTCTCAGATGTATCTGCATACTGTATATGTTATACTCTATACTGTTGTTAAATATATGTTAAAGAGATAGAATGATTGTTACACAGTGGTCTGTCTAGCCCTGGAGTGCATTCTGAGGAGTTAACCCGTTGGCCGCCACTTCGGCCTACCCTCAAAACCTCGCCATTATCATGCGCTCTTCACGATACTGATCTCAAAACAGCCTCTAAAGCCAGCGAGTCAATGATAGGTGAAAGTGGTGCAATGGAGCTCAAAGTCAAGCTTTATAAAACCCTACCAGTGTTTTTGGCTAAGTGTTCAGAGGCCGGTTTGAGATCAGGCTTCTTCTCCGAAGGCACTTCCGAAAGGCCCATGAACCGTCCACACACCCGGCTACAATAGAAACAAAATGCATAGAGCAAACGTCGATGTGTTTGATGAGTTTTCATGGCCGTCACTGCTGGCAGTCGGGGTTCAGTGAAGACCACAGCTACATACTTCAAGAGGTTTGATGCTTTTGTTTGTGATGAAACACCACAGGAGGAATGTGATGTCTGATCCTGGCACTCCATTTCTGCAGCATCAAGTTCATGCTATCAAACAACTGCGATTCAATGTGACTGAAATCATCAACTTCAGTGTTCTTCTCTTTCACACACACACGCGCGCACACACACACTCACAAAAACAAACTCACATAATTAGTTGTCAGTCGTTGACACATGGGATGCATAATTGTCACGGAAACCACAAACATCATCTGGTACACGAGTGGGTTTAAGGTGGCTGAACTTCATTAGTGTTGAGGTGTGTGTTCACATGGGGAGGGACACGCATTCAAGCTAATATTGAACATCAATATTTAGACTTGTCTTTCACTGTAAACGGACGCTTACTATGCAGCATTACAAATACACCACCAGAAACCCTTAGGGAAGACTGAATGAACTTTGAACGTTGAAATCCAGTGCTACGAAACCTGCTCTGGAGTACGTCTGAATAAAAGGAGGCTCTGATTATAAACCATAACAAAGATGAAATAAAAAAATATCAATAATTTACAGAGCTAGCTCACTGCGCTGTACCTATTGGTAGTGTGTGAAGGGGTTAATTAGTGTTTGCAGGGAATGGAGATGAGAGCCACGGTTCTGCTGTAGTGGCAGTCGGCTTCCTCTAGGGGCAGCCGAGTGGAGTCCACAGGACTTTACTTTGTTCTTGATCAACTATAGTCATGATCTGAGTGCAAATGTACGGGAGGGTGCCGCCCTGGACAATACCTGTGATAGAGACAAAAGGAGTGTTAATCACAGAGCAAAGACGAAGATTTTGGGCTGTAAATAAGACGTGGATGTGGCGTGGATTAGCTGCACTAGCTGTATGTTTAGCTCAAACTTGAAGTACCATATTTTTCGCACTATAAGGCGCACTTAAAATCCTTTTGGCTTGTCGGAGCACTGCAGCTACCGTAGCCTCACAGAGTTATTGAATGAGTGAAATAAAGTCTGACTTATCTGAATGTTTTGTTTGGCTTAATGCACTTTAAAATCCAGTGCGCCTTATGTATGAAAATAGACGCGTTCATTGATGGTGTGCCTTATAATCAGGTGCGCCTTATAGTGCGAAAAATACGGTACTTTGAAGATACTTAAACACCACTGACGCAAAATGTAAATTAAATTACTTTTGACTTATCAGCTGAGCTGTCTGGGCCCACTAAAATATGCCATCAAATCAAAATAGGGTGACCATTTTCTGACTACCCAAAAAGAGGACACGACTACCTGGGGGCGGAGTCACAGAGTCGAACAAAGTTAATTTTGAGAGTTTTTCGGGTCTGATTGAGTGTCTTTTATGCGCTTCTAACTCAGTCAGTCAACGTGACACAAAATCGAAACTCTCGTACCAAATCGCGGACATTTGAAGGATTTTATAAACTTCCCCAGACAAAAAAGAGGACATGTCCAGGTAAAAGAGGACGTATGGTCACCCAAATTAAAAACCAAACTAGTGTCGTCATTTTTTACCATGGCAACAGCGGGAAGCAGGAACCACTACGGCAGCTTAACTACAGTGTGCCAGAAAGGACAAAAAGGCACGGGATTAGAAAAATGAAAATGAAATCCCAATTAGCACATTTACACTGCGAAACAGGATTTAACGCAAGTTGAACAACAGGTCAACAGGAAATACCCAGATTTAGTCCAAATACTGTAAACTGTCGAGGACAACTGTCTAGGTTCAGTGTGCAACATCACTGCGGTTACATCCACGTCTTTATACGGTCTCTTTTTTCATTTCAGACACACAGTCGACTTGTGTTTGTTTGTGAACCAACCTGTGAAGAATTTGCTGTACTCTTGCTCAACCTTCTGCGCACTTTCAAATTGCTCCTTGGAATGTTTTTGAGAAACTTTGTCCCGCAGATAAACAGGATCTTTCTGCTCCCTGTGGGTGTAAAAAATAACAGTCAGGGGTCTTGGAAGACAGTTTCGGAGTTTTTCTGGTCAGGGCTTTTGCTCTAATATATATGCCAGTGGGTTCATGAAGAGGCTACTCAAGCTCATTGTCAAAACTCGCATATAGAGCAATCTTTGCGTTATTTTTATTAAGAAGCACGCTGCTACTTACTTTATCTGCTTGGCGTTCTTGTAGCGGACAAAGACGACTATTGGATAAATGGTAACACTGTGGAGCCTTTCAATGGCGTGTGGGGCGATGTCCAGCAAACAGTGACAGCCCTGCATCCAAGAAGAAAACAAACTTCACTGCAACAGATCCATCACTTCTAAAGTTGACAGAGTTACAGATTTAGAGATAGCAACATGGATAGTTTGGTGAGTAATGAACATTCGAATGAACCTGCTCTCCAATATGACAGCGAAGACAGACTGATACCTTTTCTGTTATTTCCTTTATAGAAGCAACAGTGGTCACATCAAAATGACCACTCCTACGTTTGTAGTCGATGAAGAGGCAATCCTTGACGCCTCGCTCGATGGCTTGCTGGGATGCCTTCATCACCTCTGCAGACACGACAGGAGTGAAAGGAACAAACAATGTTGTTAAAAAACGGCAGAAAAAGTCAAAGTTTCAGTCTCAGTGGACAACTTTAAAGAAAGTTCATGTGGTTTTTAATTTCTTCTAAGAAAACATCTGAAGTAGGTAAACTCACCCAGTACACATCTGCAGAACTTCCCAGGAGACTCTTTGACCAGCATCTCCTTCACAGGGTCAGTGAGCGGACCGATGATGAGGACCGGCCTGGGAGATGTGCACTCAACCTTCTGGACCCTCTGGTAAGCCAAGCTCACACAGTCTGGCACAGACAGTATTGATTAATTAAGTATCTTATTCAGCAAACACCTTACCAAAAAGACCAAAACCCGTCCTCTCACCATCCAAGAATGGGATAGAGTCTGTGCTAATGGCGTCCAGAGCCACCATCTCTTTGCTGTCTTTGGAGCTGCTGCGTTTGTGTTTCTGTTTCCTCCTGAAGAAGGACCTGCGGGCGGCTGCTGAGAGAGTCTTTCCGGAGTCTTCCTTCATATCTGTCACACTGTGTCTGCGGTAAAACTCTTGGTCCATCCTGAAACATACACACACAAAAAATGAGGAGGACCCACATTTCAGTGTTTGAAAGCAAGGCCATGATTTAGAGTAAGAATGTAAGGACCAGTAGCTGTAGGACCAGGTCTGAATAAAATCTCCTGAGATCCAGGTGGTTCTTGCTCGTGTGTCTTTTTGTCTTAAATCAAAGTCTTATTTTGGGTCATGACAAACCCCAACAATTTCAGCAGGCAACTGCATCACAAAACACTGCAAGGCACTATTTTAAGTGTATGCAGTGCAACAGACCCGTGGACCAAACTGAAAGAAACTCCAGAAAGAGTTGTCCAAAATTAAAGCGATATTCCAGCGTGAAATTTATTTAGGGTCAAACACACTGTAACACCAAGTTAGACATCCCCTTGAGAGATGCAGCGGGGTGAAGCAGCTCAAGGAAGAACATTTATGATGATTACTTTATCATTTCCTTCAAGTAATCACCATATTAATCATTTTGCACTGCAGATGCGGTAGTTCTTTTGCCTTAGCGTCTCGGTCTGATTGCCTTTCCATGAAGAAATTATTATAAATGTTCTTCCTTGAGCTGCGACACCTCGCTGTAGTCCGTAATGGACTCACCTGAGGTCCCGCTACAAACAGAGCCTAAGCAATTGGTATTGTACTCTCAGTCTCTCCATGTTGTATTGTCATTGTATTGTATTGTTGCTGGCAGAGCTGTGTAACATTTTATTTGCCTCTTCCCTTGGCCAGTTCGCACTTGCAAAAGAGACTCGTCTCAGTGTGATTTTACTGGTTAAATAAAGGTTAAATAAATAAAATAAATTCACAAGCGACTGCTGGAAGAGAGTGGATGAGTTGTGTTTAGTCTCTTTGCTAAAGAAATCAGGCAAAGTTAAAAAGATGTTTGGTGGCTAGTGCTGTGGCTAGGACCCTATATGTTCTGTTGATGAAGTTAGGTGCTGTTCTGAGCATTATTTGTGGCTATAGAGTGGCGTTTTGGTTGAGGTTTGTTTATGGCTCCCCAGACCGCTGTGTATTGCTATCGTGCGGTCGTTACTAAAGTTGGTATAATTAGAGAGGCAAGCGGTCGGCAACATTCATCTCTAGAGGGGGTGTCTAACTCGGTGTTACAGTGTGTTTGACCCTAAATAAATTTTACGCCGGAATATCCCTTTAAGACATTGGTAAAATCTCTTCATTGTGATTATGGCGCAAAAATAATGAAACATAGATATGATTACAATTGCAATAATCACAATCGATGGTTTTACTTTTACTTTTCAGAGATAGTCCAGTATAAGAATCAAGAGCGCTCAACAGGAGTACAGTCTGAAACCGTCTGTGAAGAAGTGTCATTACACACAGGTCCTACATTGTAACAGAGTGGCGTCGATTGTTGTCACAGCTGCTTCGAACTGTCCACTATCTCAGAAATGTACGTGTGTGTAAGTGTGAACTGCATTCTCCACCCACATGTACTTGCTGGGGATCTGTCCCCTCTGGATCTGCTGCGCGTTCTCATCTAGCTGCCAGGCCATCCAGGTCCCGAAGCTGCCCTTTGGTAGAGACTCATCCACGAACAGGATGTCGTCCTTCTTAAAACTCAGGTCCCCCTCAGCCTCCCCCACCCGGTCGTAAAGTGCTCTGGTGGGAGGGAGAGACAGAGATAGATGGTGAGCTTACAAAAGAGAGGTGCAGAAACGAGGGCAAAGGAAAGTTGATAAAGTGAGAGAAGAGAAGGAGATAAGGAATCGGAGATATAAAGAAGGTGAGATAGGAAGTGTGGAGACTCCTTTGACAGCGTGGGCCTTTATTGCCTCCTGTTGGTCGGAACCTCATAAGTCATTTCAGAACAGCCTATCTGTGACAGGCAGGCAGTCTGAGTGTATTTACTGCCAATGACATCACAAGCCCGCTTGCCTATATGACAAGTGACTGCGGCAGCTGCAGCGACCGACTCCCAACAATAAAACCGGACTATTTTGGAGCTCCATTTTTCCATTCATATACGATGTTTTTCTCATGGCGTGAAAAACACAGAGCACTAAAATAGACGTGGTGTGCAGTGTGGAGAGATTAGACCACCTAAATTTGTAGTGCGATTAGCATCTCTGCAGTCACACAGTGGATCTGGGACATAATTGGTTAGATGAGAAAGATTGTCCAAGAGGCTCTCCAGTGGTGCTTCTATATTTAGCCGCCAAGAGGCTGCTGGGGAAAAGAAGTGTGACCCTTTTAGAGAGCTGTAACACATAAACGCAGCGAGATGATACGTGTGCATGTACCTAATGTAAAAGCCATCTCCTGGGACGTCTTTGAGCATGTTGAAGTCATCCGGCCGATGCTGCACCTTGATTGTGACCGTCTCTGCAGGCTTCAGCATCTCCACATAGACCTCTTCAGCTGTCTTGTTCTTCATATGCACCGAGTTATACTGAAAAACAAAAAAAGGGAAGTGAGAGGAGAGGAGGAAAAAGTATGACGTGAACTTCACACATCCTGGAAAATAAGACAAACTCGAGATGAGGAGCGGAGAAATTTGGTCAGTGTTTACACTCATCTGTGAAATCATTCGCTGCGCCCGTGAAGGTTGCACGAGTAAACAGCTACATTTCCTCCAAGCTTTCAGCTGTATTAAAGTGTCGCAGTATTGATTTGTGCCATGTACAGGGGGGAAGAAAAACAAACAAGATGGGAGATTGAAGGACACGCTGATGCTGTGCAGCCTGATGACAAAGCTGCATAGCGATTCAGAGAGCAGAGCCTTTGTGGCAGAGAGCTAAGTGGGAGCATGCCAGGAATTGTCTATTATGAGTTTGCGGCGATCCGAATAGATCGCCAGCGCGGAGTGAGAGAGAACGCAGACAAGGAGGAGATCAATGGAGAATAATGACAGGCAGGAGAGAAGTGCCAGCTCCTTCTGGCAGCGCTTGAGTGTAAAGTAACAACAGCACACAAAGCTCTGCTCCTGCGTATACAGTAAGAGTTCAGCTTTGAGAGGAGTCCAAAAAGTGATATTACGCCTACGAGTCTTTACTGTCTTACAAAATCCACAGAAAGTCCATTTATGAAACTGAATACGACGCCCACTGAATAAAAGATATTTCTCTTTCTACAAATGTGACTGCATTAAAGTATCCCAAAATTTTTAATCGACAAAATAAAGACCTAAGGAAACCTTTCTGGTTCTCTTTATAATGCAATCAAAATCATACAGGGCCTTACATAACTGACTTCCTTTGTACTTTTCCATAACTTATGTGTTAAAAACTGGAATAATAACGACATACTTTGACTTTTAACAACCAAAAGAGGATATGTTGGGTTGGAGGTTTCACTGCAAAGATTCTCATATCTTGATTCGGAGACCGTGTAACTCCTCTGCTTTGATAACTAAAGTGTGTGGTGATGAGTAAAAGAGTCCACACCTCCAGGATGAGATCTCCAGGGAGCAGCCCATCAGGCCCTCTGGCAGGACTGTCCTCATCCAGGCTCTCTATATAGACACCCCGCAGGTTCCCTCCACAGAGCGTGACTCCCACCTCCACCCCGGGCCTGCGCACTGTCACAAGTCGAGGCTCACCCACCTTCCTGCTGCCCTCAGACGGCATCCTGAGGAACAAAGATGAAGAGGTATGAAGAGGGAAGTATTCATCTCAAACATCACCATGACTGCGCTGCTGCTTGATTGTATTACCTGATGAAATTGTGTGGGCTGGTGGTGGGTGTGGTCTGCTTGGAGGAGGGGGTGAGCGTGCCCTCGTCCTGCTCGCTGAGTGTGTCGATGTTGGAGTGATTGTCGGGTGTGGCAGCTCCGCTTCCCTGGGGGGTCGACTGAGTGCTGACTGGCTCCAGACGGGAGCTGCATGAAATATTACATGTCATAAATAGTGATGTGTTGACTCCATTAGTAAATTGACATCATGCTGGTCTTAGGTTTGATGTAAAGCTGTGCTGTTGAACACAAATGTGTGATTACATGTTCTGTTTCATATGAATGAACTGAAAATTAAAGCAGGGGGATATTTAATATTTGGATTAGCTTGGAGTTATTATCCAAATGACAGTATTTACTGGAATTAGGATTACAGGGTCTCTGCAGGTTTCATAGAGTCAAATTTAGGACTTTTTAAAGACCATAATGAGTACTATTTAAGATTCATTTAACATCCATACTGAGAGAAAAAAATTCAAAAGACATTAAGGGAAATTGGATTTTACATTACTTTAAATCAATCTTTATTCCTATGGCACAGAGTTCTTGTGTATCTTTTATGTCAGTTTATAACAACAACTTTAACTTTCCTTCTTCACCTTAATGCTGTCTCCTCACTCCTAACGAGATAAACAATCGCGTTTGAGTTCACATAAAATCTAGCGTTCGTTTATGCAAGTCTCCCCTGCAAGTACGTCAAGTTAAAAATGCTCATCTGCGCTCATGTCCCGGCCAGCACTCGATAATAACAGTTATAAAGTGACATACAAGATACACAAGAGCTCTGATTGCATTTCCATGAAGTAATAAATGTTCTTCCTTGAGCTGCAAAACTCTGCTGCACTTGGTGATCAACTTGTCAGGGCTCCCCCTACAAAGTGGCTGCTGGATGAGAGTAGGTGAGTTGTGTTTGGTCTCTTTGCCAAACAAATTAGGCGAAGGTAAAAAGAGGTTTGGTGGCTAGTACTATAGCTGGGAACCTATATGTACTGTTGATGAAGTTAGGTGCTGTTCTGAGCATTATTTGTGGCTATAGAGTGGCTTTTTGGTTGAGGTGTGTGTGTGGATCCATAGACCGCTGTGTATTGCTAGCGTGCAGTCGTTACTAAAGTTGGTATAACTAGAGAAGCAAGCGGTCAGCAACATTCGTCTCTTGAGGGGGTCTAGCTCGGTGTTACAGTGTGTTTGACCCTAACTTAAGTGTGCGCCTGAATATCCCTTTAAGTAGAGTTAATACATTTTTAAGACCTTTCAAAATCGTATTTAAGACATTTTAAGAGAATTTTACACATTTTAAGACTTTTTAAGACAACGCGGACACCCTGAATGAAGAAATTCAATGTCAGGTGATAGGCGACATATTTTCACCCTCAATTTGGTTACTCACTTTAACAGCTAGTACATATGGGCTTTTTGAACAACTGCTGTTTCAGGGATTCCTCTTTCAACAACACCTGGGCATACACAGCAGCATAAATATACATGTCACCGTTAAACTGAAACACTTAGTAGAGCTGATTCAGGTGTCTGCCGCGCTGCACACCTGGGAAACTCCCCACTCTGAACATCCGAGCATGATTCTGAAAGAAAGACCTTGTTTACCTGGAGCGTGAGTGGTTGCCCAGCTGGTACATGTGTGGGTTGTACTGGGCCATGATGGTGATGGTGTCACACTGCTGGCCGATGATAAGGCGGGCTTGCTGCTCCGTGGCGTTCCGCAGGTTGATGCCATTAAACTGGTAAAGACAGAAAAGTGGGATTGGGGTTTCATCAGGGATGGGTTTACCTTTTTGAACACAGTATCAAAAACACATTTACTCTATGATATCTACGAGAAGACTGTGTGCCATCTAGTTGTGACATTGTAACAGATTTTCTGTTTGCTCAGCCATTTTACTTCAGCAGGAATTAAAATACTGGGAACTGTGACAACACTAATGAATGCAGCCTTTCAGAGAGCAGAGCCGCACAGATAAATGCATAGCAGGCAGCAGCCTTTGAAGCAAAAATATAAAAGCTGTTCCGGTCTTAAGCTTCTCCAGCGTTTTTCTGCACCCTGACATACATCCACGCTGCACTCCTTTTTTCTGCAGTTTCAAGCTCTAACCTTTATGACATACAGTAGGTGGCTCATACCTCCAGTAATTGGTCTCCATACTCCAATCCCGCCTGGTGGGCGATGCTGCCTCCTGTAACTTTAGACACAAAGATCCCTCCGTTCTCTCCGCCAACTATGGAGATGCCCAGCGGCTCTGCACCTTTGTGCACAATGACATTGCGGGGTTCCTCCAAGTACGGCCTGGTGGGGGAGAGAAATGTGTATGAATGAATAGCTTAATAGGAAAGCAGTTAGAGGAGACCACACAGGAGCAGGCTGATGCATTATTTACAGCTCTGGAGAGTTATATCTACCCAGGATTTTTCTCGAGTTATGAAAAGATCACGTCTTGTCCAAATTAAAACATTATCAATCCAAAGATGGACTATCTTTAAGGAATGGTTCACCTTGATCTAGGGCTGGGCGATATGGGAAAAAGTTTATCATGATATATTTTTTTTATATCAGTCGATATCGATATATATCACAATATAAAAAAATGAAATTTAACAGAGCTTATTGGTAGCATGTCTTTTGCAGTACAATACGCTATATCTGTAAGGTCTTTAAGTCTCTTTGACATTTTACTAAGGCGTTGCGCTAGAGAAAGCGAAGTGAATGGTCGGAAGTTTTGGCTGCACAGGCGCCATGGGCTCCTCTCGCTGCTCGGGGTTGGTAACCCTTTGCATTGCGCGTGCTCTGCAGCCTGCTACTACGCAGTTGTTTGCTACTTGGTTCTAATTCAGCACATGATTGGTTCAGCGCGAAGAGGACCCAAAGCAACTCCCCTTTTCATTGGCTACTCGTGTCGTCTACCAAAACATTGCAGAATGCCGGCTATTGAAAAGTATATTGACCATGTTTTATATTGATATTGAGGGAAATTAATTTTCAATATATATCGTTATCGTTTTTTCGCCCAGCCCTACCCTGATCCTACATTCCCCCCCAGACCTGTAAACTCATCATCTCACCAGAACACCACTTTGGACCTGTCTTACAGAAGAAGAAGAAGAAGGACGGGTTTAGAGCAAATAGAACCATGATCGTAAAATCCAAAAAAGCACAAGCAGGCGAAATCGTTCCCCATGAAGACGATTTGCATGGGACTTTGTGCGTCTTCACAACAAGTTGGCTTTGGACATAGAATACAAATCCATGATGGCAGATCAGAGGGATGGATTAGCAGCCAGAGACGGAGGGTAAACAGAGTAGTGGTATACAAACAAGACCATGACCCTGAAGCTCCGGGCTGCATAATAATACCATTGCATAACATACATACTGCAGACTAAAGGGTGGCTTGGCTCGAGGCCAAAATAAATGCATGCATATTGTCCATGTCATCATAGAGCATGGACGCCGCATGCAAAAGCTGATTCAAAAGGGTTTCCGGCATGAAGGAAGACTGAGTGCAGGATGTAAACATTACACTGAACCTCTACATTTCAGCGAGTGAAGCTAATCAGAGCTGTATCTTAATTCCCTTCTGTTGTAGCATGCACAGAATTAGCTGTATAGGATTACACGACTCTCTTCAGAGGAGGGCAAACATCACAAAATCTCTTTTTTTTTGCATTCATTATACTGCACACAACTTTTCTGCTCCACAGTGTTACCTAACCAACTTCACTGAAGCATGGGAACGGCGTGAACTTGGAGGAAAGGTGTGTGTAGAGGGAGGGGGGGCATTCCCTTGATTTTTAGCACTTTGATAGATAACGAACCTTAGGCTCCTGAGAGAGGAGAACCTCGGCCTTGCAGCCAGAGGAATCCTTAGAAAAGATCTGTTACGGTAAAGAGATCTGAAAGCGGAGGGGATGTAGAGAGGAAAGCGGGAGGAAGATAAAAAGGAGAATGGGGGACAGATGTACAGAGACAGTAACAGTGTAAATGAGAGAGAGATGTGTTGGCGAAACAAAAAGGGACAGAAATGTTGAAGGGGAGAACAAAATCATAATTCCAACACACTGACAGATCACTGCTATCCTTTTCTAAACACAGCAAGAGGCTTCTGTGAGATTTTTCCAGACTTTTAATAGGATTTCAATCTGAATTTCAATGAGGGATTGCACAGCTCTGGCCATGATAGACCTGTTGCCTGGCAACGCCTTTTCAAATAGCCTAGGAGGATCCCTGAGGGCAGACCTCGGCCATATTGTATCCGCTTGTGAGGCGATCCTAATAATCACACTCTTCATCATTCATGCAACATCTGCAGCATCAGTAAAGCAGCTGTGCGATTGTTGTTATTCTGAGCGGGTCTCGTGTAACAGGCAACAATTACTGTGTCAAAGAAATATATCAAATACTGGTTCACAATTTCATTTGATGCTTTCAGCGGCATCACGATTCTGCAGACGTGTCATCCAGCCGGGTCATTTTTTCCAGTTAGTAATCTGCCGTATTACTCTTTGAAATTTCAATCTCTGAGCGATCGCTGCAGTCGTACCTGTCTTTCCTGCGCTCCCCTATCGGCACAGGGCTGACAGAGATCCGAGGTAAAGTGGAAATGGAGCCTTGCGATTGGCTGCTGGCGAACGAGGAGGTCTCGAGATTGAGTGGTGATTGCGGCGGCGTGATGAGGCTGGGACTGCTACACTCCGAGTGCGAGAGGGAGCCTGAGGAGGAGCAGGAATAGAGAGAGATTAAGTTTGTGGTACAAGATTACATTTACATCTCACGAGGAGATAGACGGCTGGGATAAAAGTTGAAAAGTGTGTTCGGCTGTGATTCGCACTTGGTAATATGGAGAGTTTTTGTAGAGGGACGGCAGACACTTAAGTTTAAGGACAATCTTTTTACTAGTGAGATAAAATAAAACTTTGGCAACCTGAAGTTTGGGTAATTGGACTAAAGTGCCAGAGGACTACATTCAACTGAATACAGCACGTCTTATTTCTGTCATCCTTAAGTAGAGAAAGTGGGAATGAATCTATATTTGTTATTCAAAGTTAATGTGGCAGTTGTTTACCTTCTCTCTGTGTGGTAAAAGCTAAGCTGTTATATGTACTAGACCCTGAGAAAGTAAAACGAGGCTGAGTTCACAGGCTTAATGAGAAAAAGATCAAACTGCAAAGCATTAAATGAGGACTGGTCAGTATTAAGTAGCTATTTTTAAAGTACCACAGTACCTCTGTCTGACCCCAGCATGGAGCGTGGATATCGGGGAGTGGAGGGGATTTTGATCCTCTCTGTGCGGTACTGGACATTATTGGAAGAACCTGGCAGATAGATGAGAAGAGAAAGAAATGAACACTGTGACATAATATCCAAAAATAAAAAAACACAGATAGGGACGTCCAGTCTGTGACCTTTGATGCGTGCGTGTGTGTGTGCGTGTAGGACTGACCGAGTCGTGCGCTGGAGGGCAATGAGTTTGTACCGTGTGAAGCTCTGCTGCTGCGTGACGACGAGGATTCAGAGTAGTCGCCCGCGCGTTTCTGCTGGCTCAGGTCCAGGCTCAGACGACCCTGGTGCTGTGGGCTGCACAGAGGGAAAAAAAAAAATTTAAAGCCTCAGGAAACACTGATATAATTATGTTTGCAGAATCATTTGAGTTGCAGGATGTTTCACAGTTTGGAGTTAATTGAATTGTTCGGCTGAGCTAAATCACGACAGGGCTTTATTTAGGCAGTGTAATAGTAGCATATTGTTTTTAAACACAACCCAAATTTAAGTATGTGATTTTTGCGCCTCCGGGAAACAGACTGGTGACAAAATATTAGCAGTAACAACACGCCCTGTCTAATACGAGAGCTAAAGAAGGTAACCTGGTGTGGGAGTGCTGGTGACAGATCTGGGAGGCGACAGATGGACAGTTGCTGGTGTGAACGCGGTGACTGCGCACGGTGTACACTGGATTTCTCATCACGGCCGTCACAGCAGGGCAGGGAGCCAGACCCCGGTGGGCTGAATCTGACAGGGCAGACATACCACCATGTTAGAGAGTCGATGATTACAGTGTGTGTGTTTAAGTGTGTTTTTATGTAAACATCTAACAAACTCACTGGGAGGTAGGGAGCCGTTGTAGACGGTGGGGACGAAGCCGACGCTGTGCCTGTGGGAGCGGCTGGGGGAGGAACGCAGCATGTCTCGCGGCTCCGGCGAATGCTCGTCATTAGAGTAGCTCTGTGATGAACGACAGAAAGAGTTACAGCCTGAAAGAAACCCTTTACCCTTTGCAAGAGACAGGTACCATATGAGAAAAATGACGGTGTGAACATCCCACTACAGTAAAATGAACATTTATCCCCCACTGTGTCTCCTCTCGGCTCGGAGAGGTAGCCAGGCATAGCTGTGAGGGCCCCAGGCACTGACTCAGCTCCTGGGCTGTGTGGCTGCACCAGCGCAGAAGCATCAATCACTCAGACACGCTGGCAAAGAGGCAAGTCCCAGAGGCATAACTCTGACCAGGCTGTAAATTCTATTATAAAATGGATTCTTTGGCCCACTGGGGCGATTTGAAATGTTAGGTGCCATTTTAAATTCAAACACTTTAGAAATAGATCATGTTCTCTTTAGCAAAGCTTCTAATAAAGCTGCTTGAATTAGTGCAGGGATTAGGCCAAGTTAAATGTTTAAAAGAGGGAATGCAACACATTAAGACTGAGGATCTATTTTTAAAACCCTCTTTCCTGAACAACCAAAGCAGGTTTTTTGGACTGGGTTTAAATCTGGCCATGTAATACCTTTGCTTAAATAACACCCACTTCACTACAGAGCCTGGCCTTTCCTGAAGTTTGGATTTTCTCCTGACTGTGTCACGTTACATAAAAAATACTCTAGACTTTAGTGTATTTTATAATTTCATCAATGACCATGACAACATAATGCATTTTAGAGGAAATTACATTTAGTGTTTGCATGCTCCTCTTTCACAACCTTGATTTTATTCCTGCAGTAAAGTTTAGTTATATTACTGAGATTGTACTTCACACTAAATGACATACAATAATGGTCCGTTCAGCTGTTTTTTGTTGAAAGAATTAAAGTGATGTTTTATAAGGTGCATAGAATTGATTTACTCATCCATGTGTCTACATGGTCTGTGGTAGTCATATAACTGAGACATTTTAAAATTCCTACACAGTTGGAATTTCGACACTTTGTTATACCCTACTTTTTAGAACTATCTTTGGAAATAACTAATTTTCTATTTTAGAAAACAATATTTTTTTCCTGTGGTAATAGTCTGGAAACCTAAATAGTATTCCATATTCTATTTTTCATTTACCATACTTTTCAAGACCTGTTAATTGCTTAAATTACTTCCATACTTATCATTGTACTTAAGGTGTGGTTCTCCCTTTCTTACCCAACAGGTTGATTCTAGTTGGTTAACACTTAAATTAACTTACTAGCAGGGGTGGATTATAGTGTGTTATGTTTACTTATGTACTTTAAATTCCCTTTTTGTATGTTTGTGGGTTTTCAAGTTGCTAACCAATTGGCTATTTCAAAGTTCAAGAACTTTGAAATAGCCAATTGGTGTCCAAGATTAACAGCAAGTTCAGGCCGAAAAGGTTAAAGCATGGACACGACAGGAAAAACGTACGCTTTAAAAGTTACAGAATTAGAAATAAGAACTACTAATACTTAGGTGTGGGAGAAAAAAAAATGATACAGTGTAGTATCGTGATATTTTGTCTGGTGATATATCTTATCGTCTCATTTACCAAGTATCGATTTTTTTCAAATTAATTGTTAACATCATGGAGCAGGAGAAAATTAGTACAACAAATATATATATAAGGTATATAAAATACAGCGTAAATAACACAAACATAAAGGAAGGCCAAATGCTAAATTAGCTAAACAGTTAAAAAAAATGTTAATAAATCGCAATATACTGTATCACGATACCCACTGTATTGCAAAATGTTAAAAATCGCAATAATATCGTATCGTGGCCTAAGTATCGTGATAATATCGTATTGTGGGGCCAATTGCGAGTCACTGATATTCAGACAGTCTTGTGTGTTATTTTGTATCTACTGGGTTAATGTGAAATAATGTGATATTTTCACTGAGCTGTTGGGGCGGTTTCTTTCAGGACTATAAAGCATTGTCAGATCAGTGGCTCCATATTTTGTCAAACATTTGCTGTTGCATTGTTCTTTATGAAGATGAAGGTGTTTACTTCTTTAAACAACAAGGTTCATCCTCTAGTCGTGTTTGTACTACAAAGAAAAGAAAAAAACATATCTCATTGTTTCTCACTGTTCAACCTCACCTCAATCACTCAGTTCAAAAATAAGTACTTTCAAGTCGATTTTATATGAAGTACTTTTTATTTTTACTTGATCACACATTTTATTTCTACTTAAGTTTCCTGAAAGTAACCGTGTTCTCCTTTGAGCAGAATATTTCAGTGCTCTGTCTACCCATACTTACTTGGAAGGAGGGAAGAGTGATGGTCTGAGGAGTCATCCTGCGTCGGAGGGCAGGTGCAGATTTAGGGCGGGGCCTCTTCACCTCAGGCTCCTCGCCTCTTGTTCTGCCGATGTCCTCGTCACATGACTTCCTCGAGGTCAGGACCTTGCCGTCCAGGAAATAGTGGTTTCCATTCCGGTCCCTTTCCCTCTCGCTCCTCTCTCTGCTCTCACCTGCTGCCATGGAGATGGCGACCTCTCCCTTGCCGTCGGAGGTGATGGTGCAGTCGGAGGCGGAGCTGCTCTGATGCTTGTGTTTGAATTTAAAGGAGTCACTGCGAGTGGGCGGTGTTGGTGGGGTTGGGGTTGGGGTGGATGAGGAGGAGAGGGACTCTGTTTTTGAAGGCTGAGGGGAGTGTGAAGCTGCGGCGGCAGCAGCTACTGCAGCGATCTGATTGGCTGCCATGTACTCCATTTTCGAGGAAGGTGTTTCAGGGCGTTTGAAAGTGTCCGGGTCAAAGATGGACTTCCTCTGCTTGGGTGATTTGTAGATGGAGAGCTGGGCTGCTGCTGTGATCGGGCTGGTGCTATCTGGTGCAACTGACATACCACCAACCATCATTTTTGGCCATGTGCCCCCGCTGTGCTTCTTCTCCAGGGTCGTCTCCATGGTGATGCAGTCTGAGGCAGAGACAGGGTCAAAGGGCAGGGAGGAAGGTGCCTTTGTGTAGGGGCAGCACTCCGAGAAAGCGCTGTAGCGGCCTCCACCCAAGTCAGACGCCGGCCTTAGACTGGTGGCGTGGAGGGAACCCGTGGAGAAGGGCTTGCTAATGTCACTGTACGCCTCGTCGGATTCACCTCTGACCTTCCGCCTCTCCCCGGAGATGCTACTCGTGCTGGCGCTCCCGATATCCGGGCAGAAGATGTCAGTCTGCGTTGAGCTGTTGTGTTTGAGGTTGCGGCTGTTCCGGGAGTGAATCTCCGACGGGTGGAGGCGCCCGTTGGACTTCTCTGATGAATCACGCAGACTCTCAAAGATGTTCTGGCCTGATGTGCTGTGAGGGAAGAACTGAGGGGACGATAGATGAAGAAATTAGTAACACTTAATGAACATCATTTTAAATGATACTCTGGAAAATTAACTGGTAATGACTCAGATAATTTAGTTCTCCAAAACCGCACAGCTGAAGTTTTTAAAACTGCAATGTAGGGCATGATAAAGCAGAGAGGAGAGCTTTTGAAGACTTCAAGCACAGGTGGAGAAGAAAAGGAGCACAGAGTGAGAGACGAGCACAGCCCACCTTCATGAGAGAGAGGCTGAGAGAGTCCCTGCAGCTCCTCAGCAGAGCCTCGCACTCTGTCACAGATTTGTTATCCAGAGCGATGCCATTTATCTGGGGAGAAAGACATTGAAAAATAAGGACAGGCCCTTCAACACCAAAACAAAGCAAGTTCAACTTTGGATACTTCTCCAAGGCTCCGGGCCCTTATACCTGTCACCTCTACGTGTTTGTAGACGTGTCAGATGCGCATCTACAAACACATACAGGTGACATATCTCCTGATTTGGAGTGTGCCTGGGGCCTGAGATGTGTCTCGCTCTGCTGCCGTGTGGAAACCGCGAGAAATCTAGGCCAGCACATTTTAGGCTGAAGAACACTGCAATCCACTCATTTCCATCACAATGGGCTCCGCTTGAGAGACTTTTTTTTTATACGGTCTGAGATATTAAGGTGCAGAGTGAGTAATACATTATGTTTGAGATTTATCTCAGAATAGGTTCAGGAGAGAACTTTCTGCTTTAACCAGGAAAAAGTCTGATACCTTTTCTTTTTTTGCATTTCTTTACCGTGTAGTTTAGCTTCTTAAATCCAGTTGCATTTAGCAGATCTGTTTATGCAGATTCAGCACCCTGGGCTTTATTTTTGACATCAGCATTCATCGACTTTTTTAACAACCAAAATACAGTAATGAGACGAACAACCACGGCCTGATAAAACATGACACTCCTCCACAATTAAGATCTCTTTACACATCATCTGTTCTTACCATCGCTAATCGTGGTAACAGCTGAGCCATCATCTTAAATACAAAATCACGGTCGACTAATTGGTGAGCAGAGATATCGAAGTTCTTTGGGATTTAAAAGGTTACGCGCAGGTTTTGTTCTTAATCTAAACCAACAAGGGAGCTAAGATTCTGCAGTTTAAGTCAGATTAGGTTTAAAACACGACCTCATCTCTTCTGTTAAAGACAGAGCTGCATAGTTCAGTTTCTGACACTCTTCCTCCATCTCCTAAGTGGGTGCACTTAAGTGTATGAAGCAGCAGCTCCACCTAGCCCTCTACAGTGGCAAGGTTTTCTTTTTTTTTTTGAGGATTTAATGCGAGCAGGGGACTTTACTCCTCAACTTCACACACTCAACCAAATCGCACCTTATCTGAGGGAAGGGGGTTGGAGTGGGGATACTTGAAAGGAGCGAGGCCTGGATTAGAAAGTCAAAGGAAGCTGTGAGAGCTGGAAACTGTTGGGTGTGGAGGAAAAGGGGGAATAAAAAAAAATATTATAATCAAAGAGGATTTTCATGAAAAGCGAGCCGAGACTCACAGCGATCAGCCTGTCTCCAACTGTGAGGGAGCCTTCTCTGGCTGCCGGGCTGCCCTGGACGAGGGCGGTGACAAACACGCCGTTTTCCAGACCGATTCCGCTGTCTGAGGCACAAAGGAGAAAAGAGGCTTAAAAAAACATGAAGTAGTCGAGTAAAATTCTTTAAAACCCAGCACCAGAATCTACCTTTGTGTCCCCCGAGGTTGATATGAACGGGAGTGACCAGCCTTCCTCCTAGAGATTTCCTCCTTCGTACCACCATGTTGATCAAACCCCCTCCGTTAAGGACCGCCTTTACTACCTGCTTCCTGTCTTTATTGGCCAGGTCAATGTCATTAATCTTCAACAGCCAATCGTTCACTCTGGAAGACACAAAAGTCTGCATGATGAGACCTTTCCTTACTTACTTCAAGGATAGAAAAGAGCTTCATGAGACGACTCTTACCTTAACCTCCCATCTGCGATACTTCCTTTGTCCACCCTCGTAACAAATATTCCACAATCTCCTGGCAAATATGGATCATTTACCCCCTCAGCGATATCAAAACCAAGTGCTTTCAAATCCATGTCCTCCTGCAAAGAGTGATTATCTGGATGTCAGCATAAATCCTTTCATTTTGACAAGCTCGTTTCAATATCATCAACTTTTGGCAGTCTTGAAGCTCTGTCGGGGCTTTTAGGAGACTGGCATGTCACCAAATCACTCTCGGTAATAGGAGCTGAGCGCTGCTCTTACCCTGTCTTTCTCAAACTCAACCACCTCTGTCTCCCACTCTAGGGAGTCCGTGTCGATGGCCGAGTCGTGCGAGCTGTGGGCCATTAGCTGACAGAACCGGGCCTCCTTTTCCAGCTGGCTCTCCATCTTCTCTCTAAACAAAGAGAGACATGGCACAGGGGGGGGTCAAAGGTTAGTCATGTGGGGATGGATAGGCAGAGACAACGGAGAGAAACAGTCACACATGACCAAGTCCGAGCACCGGAAACTTGAGATTTCCTGACCAAAAGTAAACTAATCTTTCTTTTTTTTTAAAGATAAAACTTTAAAAGGAGCTGAAGTAGAATTCAGCAAATTTTCATTGGATGATGTAGGTAAAAAATATGAAGAGTTCACATATTTTACTTTGTTTTTTGGTAGATATCAAGCTACAACCTGTATGTATCACTTCAAAATGACTGCATGTCATGTAATCTCTGTCAATAACTTCTTTTACTCTGAGTAAAAGAAGAGAGCAAACTTGATACCAGGGGAGAACCAGATCATACACTTAATGTGAAATCAGTCAACATGGAGGGTCAGTTCACCTCTGCCTGTTGACACTGTGACAACAACACTGTGACAACAATGTCAGTTGTTGTTATCCATCTCAATTGGTCATCATTTAGTTTCCACCTCATGTTGGTATTGAGAGTTGAGGAATGACAGACTGGGCTCTAACCAGTAAAGAGTGAAAAAACATCCTGTCCACATTTATTTATGACCTAACTTTTTGATTTCAGACATTAACAGAAGTTGCTTTAACAAACAGTTAAATGTGTATTTGTTTATGTATGGAGTACCATAAATGAAATTTCAGCCCTTCTCTCTGATGGATTAAGTTTTCTTGTTATCCCTAACATAAGTTCTGTTTTTCTTTTTTGTCTTTTCACTTTTCTTTCTTCATCTTATTCATGAATTGGTTTATTTTTACACAAGAAAGAAAGATTAAGAGCTACTGTATAAATGAAGTGAAGAATGAGTGTCATGTAAGTGTAATGTCTGTAAGTATATGTCTCAGTTCAAAATGGAAAATGGAAAAGAAGATAAGGACCCCAGGAAGAGCAGTTACTGCGTATCTTGTTGTAACTAATCGTGGATCAAAAAATAAATCAAATCAAATTAAAACATCCTGTCTTACAATCCAGGCAAAGGCAGCACAACTTGAGAGGTCATCTTCAAATCACTATTTTGTGTCAGTTTGCTCATGTTTTTTGACTTGGAGTTGGGTAAATGACCTCTCTCCCTGATAACCCTGTCAGGACTCTAGTTTGCTGTCCCACAGGAGCTTTAACATTTTCTCATACTTCACTCCCTGTGTTTATCGACAATGTTTCTGTAATTTTACCCCTGTAGATTTTTTTTATCCATTTAACTCTTTCAATTTATTCTGCTTGGAAAGAAATTGGATGCCGATCAATTAAATAAAATTGTTATGGCCATGATATCTTCAGATTTATGATATGTTATTCTTGCTGGATTTTGTATGCATGAGGATGCCTGCTGTGATTTTCTTGTTTGGTATTTCATTACATGTGAAAAGTTATAAATTATACCACTCCAAATCAGACGAGCCCCCACACTGTCCATTTTTAAAACTTGTCAAAAACATTGAAACTGTATTTTTCTTTTTAATATCTGCTTTTATTTTATCCATTGTTTTAATTGTTTTTTTATTGTTATTTATGTCTGTGTTGTTTTGTCTATTTATGTACAGCACTTTGTTCAGCTGTGGTTGTTTTAAAGTGCTTTACAAATAAAGTTGACTTGAGTTTTGACCTGTTTAAATGTTATTAGTCTCCAAACTATTTTAGCTTTTCCCAGATCAGCAAATGTCTTACATTTATGGTTAAATCAAATTTATATTTAGGCATAAGAAAACTGAAAGTGGACTGCTCATGATGCCACTTTGTCGGCTCGATACATTGTGTCCTGTAAGAGATTAAAGCAGTGCCTTTAAAGCATCAATCTTTCTTTACTTGGACAAGAGTGAAGAGGAGCAAGGTCTATAAATCACAGCACATTGTAAACTCTGCTCAAAGCTGTGAAATGAGGAAAGTTGTAGTATATACTTTAGCCAGCAGGGGGAGCTTTTACACTCAATATGGAGCTATCAAAAGGCAGAGAGGGAAAGAGAGAGTGAGAAACTGAGTATGTGTGTCCAAAACATTGCCGCGTCTCCGGATTACACTTTAATCCGGGCATGCAGAAATGGTGCCAGGCAAACAACTATAAAGTCTCTGAAGGCAAAATATCACAGCTTACGCACAGCCACACACTGAGTACAACAGCTCAAACGGACAAAGGCAGTGCAGCACAAGATGTTGGCTTAGCAGAGACAGTGTGATCTGAGCTTGCTTAAATGCAGAAGAACCGTCCTTGGATTGTAAATAAATCATTTCTGTACTCTAGAATCACGTTCACGGCTTCAGACTCACTTTAGCTCTTTGAGCTCACGCAGCCCGTCGTTCTTCTGTTTCCTCATATCATCCAGATTACGGAGGGCATCAGCCAGATCGCTGACAGCCCGGTCCCTCTCACGCCGCAGGTTATCACACAAAGTCCTGAGGAAGGAGAGGAGAGAGGAGACGAGTGGATATGGGAGTAAAGGATGTGAGGAGGAGCAGGTATAGCCAGTGAGATCGATGAATTGTGCATCGCCTCCATTTCTGTCGAAACCTGCTCACACACTGACCTTATGCTCTCCCTCTCAGCCACAATTTTATCCCGCTCTTGAAAGGCCCAGTCCCGTCTACATTTGGCCACCTCAGCCTCCTGCGTGGCCTCCTTCAGTTCCTGCGACATGGCCTCATACTGTTTCCTCAGCACCTCGATCTCCTTATTGGCTCGTTCCATGTCCAGGGTGGCCGAATCTTGTTTCTACAAACACCATGAGGGGAGATAAACCAACAAAAATTATCAGTAATCCAACAAATCTTTTTTATACATGTTTGCTTTTGGAGTTAATGTTAAAAATCTGCCAGGCAATGTCCCAAAAACACTCAAACATTATCAAGCCAAGTTTTTTTTTAAGAACTACATTTATTTAGTTGAAGATTGTGTCTTTAGCAACTTATTAGAGGCAGACAAACAATCAGTGACAATAACTGTCCAAAAAGGCCACAGTTTTTTTGGCAGGTGAGGGTTTCACAGCAGTCCACCTGCAGGTTTTTGAAGATGACCATGTTGCGGGCCAGCAGAGCTCCAGAAAAAGGTGTGACCTAAATCGGCTAATGTGTCGCACCACTGAGATTCACTAATCCACTAGCTGACAGCTTTCTGGATGCACTAAGCTCTTTCTCATGTGTGTAACCTCAGACTTTGCGCTGGTAAATCTGAGGTGCCGTGCGTGTCTCACCTGTCTGGCCTGATAGTACTCTCGGAGCAGCTGATCCCTTTGAATGATGGCCTCCGTCCTCTCCTTGCGGGCCACGTCCCTCTCCTCCCGCACCATCTCGATGTCTTTGCAGGCCTGGCTCAGCTCCTTCTGGGCTTCGGCCTTGTCCTTCACCTCGTGGCAGTACTTCTCCAGCAGCTCGTTCCTCTCACAGATGGCCCGGTCGCGGTCCACCAGCGACGAGTTCAACTCCTGCCACAGAACAAAGAGAGGCTGACGTGAAATGAGGGCATCTCCGATCTGTGAGTCATTAATGCGATGTGAAGAAATGATCTGAGGGCCAACTCAGAGTCATCCAACACTAGTTAGGAATCTCTTTTGTCTGTCAACCACTCTGTTCAGTAATATTCTTCAAAAAGAAGGAGCTGGAGCTCAACTCTTTCTAAGCGGTGTCCTTGGTGAATATGGCCTTTGATCCGCCGACTAAAGAGTCGACGCCTGGCCCAAGTTATGAACAGACGCGCTAAAAACCTGACAGGTTGATATAAAATTCTCACAGAGGAAATAGTTAACACGGTAACTGTCAGGGAGACAGCGTGTCTCTCAGGGGAAGCTGTGAGGGATGAGCGATGACGAGAAAAGTTTTATTCAAAACCTTTAAAAAGCTTCACACCCAACTTTTGAAAAGAAATTATAATTCTAAAAAGTAAAAAGTTCATCCTCTTAGTGACGGCTGCTTTGATGAGATGGTCAGTATCACCATCATGTCTGGACAGTGAATATACAGCCAGAGGGCATGGCTTTGCATGAGACCTATCAGTGTCAAATAACAGTTAGATTATGAATAAAAAAATGACGAAGAGATAAAACAAAATAAAATAATTTGGGGCTGAAAATCAACATGTAACATGTCACATATGTTAGAAACTCAAGCACTAAAGCAATAATTTATTTCATTTCATTCAGGCCAGTTAGTTCTTAATGGTTCAGCCTCAAAAGTATGAACTAATCAGAGTAGTAAGTAAACTGATTTTGTTGACTTTGAACAGAGCCGTGCACTTACTCTGGACTTGTTTTGGGGTCTTAAAGCGAGCTGAAATTCATACATATTTAAAATGTTTTGGTGTCCTCTCATCCTAATCTTGCAGAAGAAGCAAAACTTTCAAACTTTGAGTGAGTTTCGACTAAACAGCTGGTCCTTTTCTGCAGAGGCTGCTATCGTGATCTGCCATGTTTACATGTAAAGGTCATATGCGTTTTTTAATGAATGCAAAAAATACACCAGCTAAAGGCAAAAGAAAAAAAATGAAGGAAAAAGTGGTTGTTGTTTTGATTGTTAAAGATTACTCGATAAATTGAGGATCATATTTAGACGCACATTGCTCCACAGACAGGAGGGGTGACCACTGTGCGCTAAAATCTGAGTGCTGGATATTGATAAATCTAATTTCACTTTAACTTTAACCAAAAAATAACAATAAACACAATGAAAAAAAAGTTTTCTCTACTTAATTTTTCTTCCAGTTCGATTAGATACACAGGGGAAAAAATTATACTACGTACAAGGACCACAAGATTGTTTTTTCAATTTGCCATAGCAATCTCCAACTTAAATTTATTTTTGGGCTTTTATTAAAAGAATAAAGTGAAAAGATCAGGATTAGGGCTAAAAAAGACGGGAAATTACATACAGGAAAGGGTTCCACAGGGTGGAATTGAACCTGGTGAAGTCTAGGTGCACCTAGTCCGCGTGGCTATCGGCACCCGTCTCTTGGAGTTTTTTTGCATGTTGTCGATAATAAACTGGATGTTGGGTCCAACTTGACCAGGTAATCAAAACCTTGCTTTTTTTTTATAAAGTCTTAAATAAACCAAAAGTGTTTATAAAATTTTGATTAGAAGATTCCCTGAGCTTCAAGACGGATACAGATAAACAAACTGAAGTAGTGCATGTAAATTTAATTAACTTCCAGGCTTGTTACCTGTCTCAGCGCCTCCAGCTCCTCACTGGCCACCACCCTCTCTGAAGACGTGTTCTTCAGCCGGGCCTCAGCTGCCTCCAGCTCCGTCTGCAGCTTGTCCAGCTCCTTGATCACCTGGTCCCTCTCGCTCATAATGAGACGGTACTCGTTGAACACCGAGTCCCGCTCCTCCTTGAACTTGTCGCAGTCCTTAGACGCTTTCAGCTGCAGGTTCTTGTAGCGCGTCACCTCGGACTGCAGGCGCTCCATCTCTCTCTGCAGCTCCTTGTTCTGAGCCGCGGACTTGTTCAGCTCTTGTTGCACGGAATCGAACCTGGAAGGGTTAGGGATGAACAATTTAAACAACATCTCATATTAAATGCTGTTTCAACTCTGCTTCTCATCTTAAACTCCATGTGTTGCGTCTGTTACCTCCTCATTGATGTGGAGCACTGCTGCTGGTAGTGCATCGCCGAGTCTCGCTGTTTGAGCAGTGCATCCATCTGTTTTTGCAGCCTCCGATTCTCCTCCTCGGCCTGCTCCAGACGGCTCAGATCCGTGTTATGGTTCGCCACCTTTTCACTGTAGCGCTTGCTCAGGGCGTCATAATCCTTCTTCACACCCTCCAGCTTGTCCATGGCCGTGTCGTAGAGTTTGTTCAGCACCTCCGAGGAGCCCTTCTCTCTCATTACCTGAAAAGAAGAAGAGTCAAATGATAAACAAGTGACGGCGTTCAGATTGTTGTCGCTGATTAAATTGAGCTAAGCTTGTTTTATTTTTTTGCTGTGCCCCACCTAAAGCAGCAGATGGCATCAAAGTGATGGCAGAATCTATTTTTACAGTGCGAGCAAATCCTCTGCCAGCTTAGACAATGTGATTTTTATTTATTTTATTTTATTTTTGGCATTTAAGGACAGGGACTAAATGGCTCGGCTGCAAATTTATCTGTTCTATGTGCGGTGTGTCCTTCAGACTGCATTATTCATCCCCTGTGGGAGTGGATGTCTCATTACTGCGGGTCTAGCTGATGTAGCTCTCCCACTGCTGTGACCCGAGGGCTGCGTTGACCTCGTCTACGCAGCAACACACTGCGTATTCACTGATCTTGTAGTTACACGGTTTGGGTCAGTGTGCCCTTTGCCCAAGCAGAAGCCCTTTCTTTTTCTGCGCCTGCCCTTTTCAGAAATGCTCTGTATGCACTTCCCTCTGCTTGGCTGCCCTGTGCTCTTAAGCACTGCAGTGTTCCCATGGGTGCTGTGTGAGACAGTACTGCACAGTTGTCCAATACGGGTCAAAGCTCCTTTCTACTGTTCAGAACAAAGTATTCAGTGCATAAAAGACGACTGGCACTATGGCCCGGGCTTTTAAAGTGCATGACTTCAGAATTTAGAGATATGAAAAAGCTGTAGGATTTGTTATTTACTCGGGCGTCTGTGTCACATCAGCAAATATCTGAAGGCAATTCATGCCCTTATAACATCTGGTCAGCTGCGGCACACACCCACATGTCAGTGTGCGTACGTGCGCATGTGTTTGTGCACACGTGGACTCTTTACCTGCTGCTGCTGCAGCCGGAGATCCGCCAGCTCTTTCTGGTCTTGGCCGTGCAGCCGTTTGAGCTCCTCGCAGTTCTGTTTCACGTGGTTGTGCTCTCGGACGAGCTGGGCGTTCTCTCTCCTGAGCGTCTCCATCTCCTCCTTCAGCTGCGTCTGTTCTCCCAGGACGCGGCTGTGCAGCATGCTGGGGAGGGGGAGGCGCACATGTGTACACAAGAGGAGGCAGATTAAACAGGCAAATGTAGATAACAGACGGTGTTGGGTAAACAGGACCTGAAAGGCCCAGCGGGGAGGACAAATGTTAAATCTAAAATTTAAGTCATGTCCAGGAGAGTTTGATTGTGGATGTTATTCAAGAGACTTAACCCTCTGAAAGGCAAACGTCTGTAGAGGTTTAACCCATTTACACCAGGACAGCATGTACGCATTTCAACAGGGTGCATGTAGGTATTTCAACCTCCCAAGCCAGGAGAAGCGTGTACATATCAACCTTCACCCAGAAGAGTCCAGCAGTGTGAACAACCTCTTCATATTGAGGTCTTTGGCTAACACTGTCGTCGTTTTCTGTGAGCATTGCATGACTTTAGGTGAGCACAGACATGAACACACCGTCAGTTACTTATTAATTTTCAGTTTTTAGTGCTGCTTTTGTACTGGCACTATACTAGGGCAGCTGCATACCCTTTTAACACTTTATTTTTCTATATTTTCATTTGTATTGAATGGACACTTTATCATGACTGCCACTTGTTTTACAGAAAGCAAACTGTTTGTTATTCTCCAGTGTAGAGCCTTTACTTTTATGTATACAGCCCCTTTACTTTATTTGAGTTTGTTGTTCAAAGGTTTTCAAAAATCTGATGAAGGTTCGGAAAAATAAAAGATAGTTATCTTGAAAGTGTAAGCTCTAAAATATCTTTTGAATTGTGTTTTCATCTGCTACAGAGGCTGAGATATCTGCTCTTTTTGTAAACCTCAACACTTCAGAAAACCTCAGGATCTGGAGGCTCTTCTCAAAATTGCCCTCAGGATTTCAGAGGCGTGTCTCAGACAGGGTTCAGGTCTTAATGGGTTAAAACTGCTGTACTTTTTCTGATAATAAATATACAAGCTCCTGTGAGGAAATTTTGATTTGTTTTACTGTTGAAGATTAAGTTCCTAATTTTGTCCTGCACACATGTAAATATAGTTTTTTCACAAAAATAAATTAGTCCAAAAATCTCTTCATTCAACTAATTTGACAAGTTATCATCTCCTTTTCAGAAAATATCACCACTGGCTGCACTTTCAAACAGCCAGTGCTGTGTATGATCAGCTTTTCCAGCAGTATTCCAGCCCCAGTTTATATGAGCTGTTATAAAAAAATAATTCAATCACATAAATGACTCATTTTCCAGGTTTTTAAAACCATGCATCTCTGTGTTCTTTTTTTTCTGTAGCAACCAATTTGCTTTCAATGTGAAAGCCAGCTGTAGCTCCGAGGGATGTTCTTTCAATTAGGTTAATTGCAACACCATGCCAGTGCTCGCTACAATTCCAGTAAAACAATGCAATAAAACGTAATTGTTTCTCTGCTGAAAAGCAGCAGGTGGCTTGTGACAGGATGCTCATCTTGGGCATCCAACTTTTGCACTTCAGTAATGAGCATGGACATGCATGCACTGCTGTCTGCACGCCGCTGACTTTGAGACACACATCGTTGCTGTCCAATAAAAAACACGTATCACCAAGCATTAAAAACAGTTTTATTCATAGACTACCTTACAGGATAAACCCAAAACACTGTAATTATTCATATTTACACACTCATCAGTGACCTGTTTGATATTTTAAACCGACTTATGTGCTTTGCGTTGTGAGTGATAGTGGACATATGTGTTTTTTTAATAATGCACTCCAATGACATTTGATTATTGATGAGTTTCAAGTATCCTGTTTACGTCCCACTATGTTGACAAACTATTGATAGCGGGCTATCCTACATTTCCACATAGCACACATTGGTTTCAACCTTTTTGAGTCACGGCTCTCAATTTAACATGCCCTAGTGTCCGCGACCGAGTGTGAGAGAGAAAACAGCAGCAGCTTTGCCTATGGGGATGAACTTCAAGATATCTAACATACAGGTAAGCAACACTGTCATGGTTAGAACAAAGTTTTAGGTCGGCATCAGTCGATGTGAGGACATTAGTGTAGCATTACCCTGAACTGTAGTGAGTCTGTCACAGTGTAAAGTCTGTTTGCTGGCATGACAACGCAGTGCCAGGGTGGGAGACACGTGCTTTGTTGAAACTTCCAACACCCAATGGAGATACTTGTTTAAAAGATGATGCTATAAAATGTCTTTCCATTGGTCATTTTTAGGTTGTTAGGGAAGATTATGGACCATACATGTGTTGAATAAAGTCCAGAATGCTAAAAGTGGAGATACGTGTTTTTCATCAGACAGCGATGATATTATGAGTAATTATATGAATTGAAAAGGATTGTCAAGAGTCCTTTGCTAATAACAAGAGAAGAGGCACTTGGAGTACTCACTGGTAGAAGTCGGCCTCTTTCACAGCCTCCTCGCACCTCTTCAGTGTTTTGGTGTGCTGGTTCTGGAGGGACTGCAGGTCTGCCATGGCCCTCATGCACTGACTTTTCAAGCGCTCGTAGTCGTGGCTGGCTTTAGAGTTTGGCCTTGAGAACAAACAAAACAGATATATCTATTTATTCAGCAGCCTAGTGTAGTAATAATAAGGACCAGATATGAGGACAAAGTCATGAGACTGAGTGTACGAAGGTGTCAGTAAGACAGCTATCGCATCATCCGTAAGTGGAGCACATTAAACATGATGAAGCAGACAGTGTCAGTGCCCCATTTCTGCAAGGTAGAGTCAGCATTATCTAAACAGAGAAGTGGGTGTCAACATTTCACCCGGTCTCAGGACATGGTTACAAACATGACTCTAATAATCAAGAGAGTAAACATCGCCAAAGATAAAGTTTGCTGCTCTTTAAGTGAAGAGTTTCCTGTCAGAGTCAATAGTTTTGGCTTCATTTGAGCTTATAAACACCCAACAGTCATTTCAGGAGACATAATCATAGATAGCGGCCAAATAAAAGTGTTAATAGACAGAAAAAAAGACACTAATAATAACAGTGATGACTTGGCAGTCAGACCTGCAGTCGTCGAAGGTGGTCCCGGGCGATGCCAACGCCAGACGCTTGCGGAGCTCATCCCTCTCCCTCGTCACCTGGCGGAGCTGGAACAGGATGGTGTCCAGGTTGTCGCCGGATGGCCGGTTGTCATTGATAGCCGGGGGTGGGGAGGACGCTTCGCCGTTCACAGGAGAACCTGCGTCAGTGAGCACAAGGGGATACAGATCAGGACACACTGGGGGAGTTTCCCCTGAGTGCATGGATATCATCAGTATGTACATTTATCAACACAGGAGATTAAATTTGAGGAATAAATGTGATTACTTATTCAAAAAGAATCTCTGCACTAAACTTAAACATTGAAAAGTTCAGTCTTGCACGGCCATCAGTGCAAAGACGGTCAGTTATAGAACTCCAATATAATCTGCAAGAGACTGATGCATGAGGTTTGCAAAGATGTACCTTGGATTTACAAGACTAAATCAAATACTGATCTCTCACATGAAAATATAAGACAAGGACAACAGATAGGATTTGGATTTGGTGATGTAACGTAACTGGAGTTTTATGTGTGGGTACTAAAAGAGCGTATGTATACTTCGATTAAACTTAACATCACGTAGGTATCTGCAGAGGAATAATAACCCACACAGAGACACTTCACGTCTTTGTATTTTGAAGAAATCTGTCTCTCTATCCCTCTTTTGCTTCTTTTATAACATGTTGTGTTTCTATTTGTGCCTGACATTAAAATGTACTTGATTGATCCTAACAAAAGAGGATTTCTTTGAAATAACAAGGTCATTCTGTTTCTCTACGAGTCCTTGACAGAAAAAAAAAACACATCCCCTCAAAAAATACCACAGAATAATAAAAGAGTCATTTGAAAAGATGTTTTCTTCATTGCAAAAGAACACACATGGCGAGAAATTGGAGGATTATGTCCATCTTTGGCTCAGCATTTGGCCCTTTTGGAGGTTTATGTAACACAGCTGAGTCATTTGGACCTTTGTCAAAACCTGGGAAAGGCAAGCATGGCTTCCTTAAGGAACGACTGAAACGAGAGTGTTTTTAGGGTTTGAAAACATGAAATTTATCAAACGCTGTAATCTTATCTAAACATTTACATTAACATCAGCATAAACATCCCACAGGCCATATTTCAGCCATACTGAAAAGTCTTTTTTTCACCGTAATGGTTTAGTTTGAAGTCATAAAGACCCTGTTTGACCTGGTTTGACACAAATACAAAATAACAGGCATCTCAGGTCATTAAACGTACCAACGCTGCTGAGGGAGCTGCTGCTTTCTGAGTCAGAGGGCATCGTGGAGAGAACGCTGTATGTGGAACCTGCCGGAGGACAAACACAGAAAAAGACGAGATGCATTCAGATTGAAGCACTGACGGATTGATTAACCAATTACACACAAGCTAGAATTTATTGCCTGAACAATGTGGAGGAGAAGCGGATATTACACCGCTGGTTTCATATTCCCTACACACTTATAAAATAAATTTGGTGCAGGGTTTATACTTGGAATAACAACTTCAAGACTCCCTCTAAGCGGCTCTATATTATCACTCCAGACTGCAGTCGTCATTAAACCTCCTTTCCCTCACTGTGCACTCTGCCTCGCTTTGATGTATAGTCTCTGTATGTTTCTGCTACACAGGCAGAATGTCACGGCTGAAATGGGATTTTCTCTTTTTATTTCAAGCACACGAAGAGAGAGAGAGAGAGGGAGGGAGAGAGACACAGAGGGAAAATGATTCTCCTCCTGAATAGCCGTACACACTGTTAAGCTGGGGGATATTTCACACAGGCGACACAATCCATAGGAGCGAGACTATGCAGATCCTCATTATACTGCAGAGTCCCAGCTCTAAAGGGCAACATAAACATGGCTGACAAGAAGGATGGGATTTCTTTAAGGACACATCGAAGACTTGTTCTCACTGCTGAGGGCTACAGACTGTGTATTGTGTATTGAGTATTTTTTAACCCTAAAATTATGTTTTTTAATAGAAACAGAGGCTCCAAACAGACTCCTGTCTACATGTTTTCCCACAGTTGCTGCTGCAAAAAAAAAAATCACTAAGCAACAGATTTTGCAGTAAAAGTCGTCCTCATGGCACAAGTATAGTTTAGATGATACTTTGACTTAAACAGACTACAGAAAAGGTGTCCATTAGGGCTGTGACTACATGCTTTTCTCCTGATTCGATTCTTTCACGATTTTTTGGATGCTGGTTCGATTTATTTTTCCGATTCCACGATATTGTCGATTTTCTGGATTTTTAGTCTGCATTTTTAACACCAGGGAAACTGTTGAATGATTTTGATTGTCTACTGACTATTCCAGTAGCCATATTTACCCCAACATTACATGTGAGTCAGTTAAAAAGTTGTTTGGTGGCTAGAACTATGGCTGGGACCTTATATGTACTGTTGATGAAGTTAGGTGTTGTTCTGAGCATCATTTGTGGCTACAGAGTGGCGTTTTGGTTGAGATTTGTTTATGGCTCCTCAGACAGCTGTGTATTGCTATTGTGCAGTCGGCAACATTCATCTCTCAAAAGGTGCCTAACTCAGTGTTATGTGTGTTTGACCCTAAATTAACTTTATGCCGGAATATCGCTTTAAGGTTAAAAGCTGAAATGAGGCAGACACCAATATAAGCAATGAAGTATTAAAAAAAAACAGCTACTCCTCCCAGACTGAAATGATATTATCAACTAATTGTTTGTACTGCTCCTTTAAGTATAATAGAAAATAATATACATAATGAGTGTTGAGTGATTTTCTTTCAACTGGCATCACTTGAACTTTGATTTTTTAGCAGATGATGAAACAGGCTGAAATTAAGACTGATGGCACCAACAAAGGAAACAAAGACCATCAGAAACAAGACTGATGATTTTTATTGACTTAATTTTGACGCCAGAAACCGACGCCAAGAGTTAGATGAAGTGATTTACAGCCTGCTGAGGAACCAGCTTTTGTTGTTGACATTTGGTACTGCAAAGATTTATACAGAGTTGGCTGTTAAAAGAAAACAGATCGAGACTTTTCATCAGATGACACTCGTAAGATGCACACAAGTAAGATCAGCATTAGGTTATGAGGTACAGTTTGCCAACATCGTGTGAGATGAAGGTATTTCAGCAGCAAGAGCTCTAACAACCAATCACCTCCAAAAATAGAGAAAAAAGGAAAAATCCCTTAAGATTGATAAATAATATGCTAATCTGAACCAGCATGATGCAGTGCAGCAATGCACCTTTAATCCTAATCTTGTGTGATAAATGCAGCCCTAACACGTGGACAGGGTCTTCCTGCATACAGGGCAGGGGAATGGTGTCTGCCTTTGTCAGCAGCAGGCAATAGATTGACGCCAACTGTTCCAGATCTCCATCTCTGTCCTTGCCTCCCCACTGGGTTAAGCAACAACTCTGGCTCCAGCCCTCAATGTGTGACAAGGCCAAGCCTAATTAACTATGAGCTCTGTGCGACGGAGCCACTCCATCTTAGGCCCCGCAGACAGAGGAGAGGAAAAGAGAGAGGAGAAGAGGAGAGGAGGAGCGGAGAGGGGGGCAAAAAGGGGGAAAGAAGGGGAAGGCATCGAGCAGAAGAGAAGAGGACAGATGAAAGGAGATAGCATTGCTAAGTTGCAAAAAGAAGATAAGGAGGGAGTGTGTTTGAGAGACAAAGAGGCAGAGAGGGAAGGGGAAAGTCTGTGGAAAAAAAGAGAGAGAGGAGCAGGGTGGAAAGGCTTTTAATCTGTTCTGACGTTCCCTGATGCTCAACACTTTTACTCTACGAAACGCTCCGAGCGCGCAGCTTTGATTTCACATTGTTCCGTCAGACATCATGAGAACCACTCAGGGGCTGGAGAGCATTAGTCCTGTGAAAAAAAGAGGCTGCATTTAAAAGGCAACTCTTGAACCCTGCATCTGACTGACGCGGAGCTCTAGTAAAAGACGTGAGCCACTGAGAGGTATAATGCCATCTCCGTTGAGGGATTAAGTCTTTTAAAAATACCGTACAGACTCAGTTAAGCTCCGTGCCAAAAAAAAGCTGTAAAATGTGGCTTCTTAAATGTTATATTCTGTGATTTGCAAACCAAAAACACTCAGATAAATTAAAACCCCAGTAATCTCTGAACGCCAAGGACGCTCGCAAATCAACACACAGCTTTGACTCCCACAAACAGGGCACTTCAGGGACAATCCTGGGCGTCTGATTTGGCTGCAATGACAAATATGCGCACAAAATAATACCGATGTTTAGATCGCTGTCACGGGAGGATTAGTTCACCTTGTAGGCACACAAGTGAATGCGGTAGTATGGATTGCATGTCGGATAAGAGCCAGCTATCTGGTGGTCGATGGGCCCGCAGTATAAGCCTTTTTTTTCCAGAAGGCTTTTAATCATTGCTAGCAATTAGCAGCAGCCATAGTCAGTGAGGCTGATCATTTGTAAAGAGGTTCAGCGCATCAATAAAGCAGGGAACCATTAGGGATGCATAGATCTGGTGGTCCACAGTGGGAAAATCTACAAGTCTCTATTCAATCGGGAGAAACCAGTCCACAGAAATCATACTGGATTCATTAAGATTGACTCCTCATGACTAGAAATGTTCTGGTAGTTTCTTTCATATCTTTTCCGTGGTGTCATCTCTGTGTGGATTTGATCAGACTGAACTGTATTGGCTGGCTCAGAGAAAGTCAGAAAACTTTATTTTTTGTGTCTTTATTTGACAGTCTGACAGCCAGTCAGAATTGAGAGTCTACATAAATGAATAAATAAACTTTGAAGTAAGTTTTTAAAAAAAGTCTGTATGGAAATGATTTGTTTGACACATCTCTCTGCTTTGATTCTGTTTAGGAACACTGAAAAAAACACTGATTTTTTTTTTTTTTTTTGTTCGGAGCAGCTCTGACTCACAGGTTTATTCTCTGCTAAGCCCATACTGAGATATTCTTTAATAGTGATGCCAAAAATAGATGGAAAATCAGTTTTTTAGGAAGTCATCACTGGGGCGACCATAATACATCCATGATAAGGGCACTGTGCAAGTATATTCAGGGGTGTGTACACTTGTGACCAGGGGTGGCACAGGCCCCACTGGAATGATTGGCCAGCCCTTGTGCTACCCCAGTATTATGAGCTATGATTGGCTATTTGCCTTGACAGAGGTGGGACTTGTGCAAAATGAGCTGTAAGTAGAGATGCACTGGTCCATTTTTTCCTCTATCCAATCCGATACCTGGGCTGAGCATACCGGTCGATATCTGATAAAAAAAAAGGTAACAAATTAACACAGATATAAATTTACTTAATATTCTTTATTAACAAATAACGAATTGCACATTAGCACACAGCAAAATGAAGTTAGACTTCTCCATGTAAACATTTAGCGCAAAAAGAGAGACAGGGCGAACAGAATCGCTGTGTTGTTGTGTATGATATTTATTAAAAGAAAAACAAAAGACTGGATCGGGAAAGCTGGATTGGCCTCATTCATCAGATATCCGATTCAGTTATTTGTCAATATCGGAGCTGATATCCGATCCAAATATCGGATCGATGCATCCCTAGCTGTGAGTCACTTTCTTTATAAAATACTCTCTTTTTAAGTTCTACTTCACGATACCCAATCTAGAATTTTCTTCAGAATCGGGACTGATACCGATACCAAATATCGGATGGGTGCATCCCTAGTTACTACTTTGGGGTTGGTGTCAGATGATACCTCATGATGATTTACCTAAATTAGTTCCTTACATGAGCTATAATAAGATTGCTGGATATAGAATCAGTGTGTTTCCTTCAGTGTGAATATCGTTCCTTTTTTTTTATTACTTCAGTTATGAATGTTGACCCTATTTTTGAAACTTACAGCCCGGCAAGCATTGAGATAATCACAACCAGAAACTCTCAGGCTGAAGTTGAGGTGAAATGGTGTTTTCAATTTCACATACTGTCAATGTGAACATCTCCAGGCAGCACATCAAATACTCTCAGCCCAGGAGGCAGGAGGAAGTGGTTCCACTGAAACTCGTTGATTTGATGGCTTAATTATATCAATTTTGGACCTGTGGATGGATTGGCATTTTTATTCAAACCTGATTCCACATTTTAGGCAGCATTTGAGGCGTTTCTGAAACTTCTATCAAAATCAGAGCAGCCATTATGGTAAATACAGTAATATGAGGGGAGCAAGTGCAGCTCATTCCTACAAAGAGATACACTCAAAGGTGAGAGATTTTCCAGTGGAGGACCTGAGGCGACCATAACAAAGGCCTGTCGCTGTGATCTAAATAGGTCAGGGGAGTGCTCGCCTTACCTAAGGGGTTCCACATCCCCCACTTTCCCTCTGCTTTCCCTCCCAATCAACCAACAGTTGCTCCAGACAACCGGATTACGTCCTCCAGCACATGAAGCGAGATGACACGCGTTGCCATGGTGAGGCTGGATGAGAGGAATACTAGATTCTGTAGCGTGTTGGAGAAGAAGAGCATGAGTTTTTTTGAGGCTGGCGGAGGAGAGCCTTATCAAAGAGAGATGCAAAGTCTGGCTTCCACCATCGGGTGAGACTAAATTATTCAGCAGTTCCAGAAAATTCTCTTATCTGACAATGAGAGCGTCTGCTAAATCCAAAATCATAAGACAAGTTTGATTATGATCCGCTAAGACTTTGCTGCCGCTTTCAAACTCCCTTCAGCTGAAAACGTTGGCTGATGAGCTGCGGAGTCTGTTCAAAAACGTGGGGCCACTTGTTATAAGAGCAGCATTAGTATTCTTGATATAATACTGTGGGCTTTTCTTCATAAGCCGCTGTCTGCTCTCCTCACTGTAAATGAGCAACAGCGCTCATAAAAACAGATAAATAAATAAATCACACACCAAGAAATGAGCAGAGCTTTAATGGTCTTCGTGGTCTTCATCCTTTTGTGTCCTCAGCTGCACAGTCATTAAACTGGAGAACCGCAAATAATAGCAACACTAATAATATGGTTGAAGACTACCCAGTCATTTACGGCGCGCATAAGTACAGAAGAGGGATGTGTCAGCGTTTAAGCCAGAGGATCAGAGAGCATCTTTTTTTTTTTCACAGTGGCATTCCCAGACCTCTGGATCCTGGACTGCTGTGAATTCTCAGCATGGAGTATTAAGTCTTCCTCCCCATCCAGGCCCTCAATAATGCCTGTTCACAGATACTGATGAGGTGAGAATAAAGAGGTGCAGAGACAGGGGCTGTCATGCAACAAAAGGTCCCCAGCTGAGACTGGAGCAGGAACACAATAATCCAAGTGTCTGTCATGATCCAGTTCGACCATTTCATTTCATGTTTGATCATTTTTGTAAACGTAGATTTCTCTTTGTCTTGTTTTGGAAGTCTCCTGCAGCCAATATGGAGTTATTTTGGCAGCCCAGTGTTGTATCCTGTCACTTGTTGTGGGTTGAGTATTTTCCCATAGCAGTTATTGATGTTTTACTACCTCGCTGTTTTACATAGTTGATCCTAATTGATCAAAACCATAGACTGTATATACTATGGACAACTTGGTTCCACTTTCTCGGTATATTTCTCCACCACTTGCGCAGTAGCACTGTGCGCATTTGGCAGGTTGCCGAGAGTCGCTGTGGTGATGCTCGGCTCAAACAGCGTATCCCCCAGGTGAGCTACACAATCTTCGTACACCCATAGGCTGTATCAAGTGTCAGTCATAGAAAACATGAACCCCCTAATAACTTTTAAAAATTTAGCTGTACAGAAAAAAGAGGACTTGAGCACAAACCAGTCTTACAGTAACTACATGTCAACATCGAAAGCAGGGGGGAGATTCTGTGTAATAAACTTTTAAAGTTTGTCCACAACTCCATAAGCTTTGCCGAAGGAGATGGGATTTATGACCTATACTGCAGCCCGTCACCAGAGGGTGCTGTTCTTGCGGTGGCTTCACTCAGCGAGGAGGCAGACAGCGTCCATTCTATATACAGTCTATGGTCAAAACCCTATACCTGCAGTAGCTATTGGGCGATAGCATCTCTGTCTGGAGGAACAGCTCGCATGTTTAAGTCCCTGCATTGTGCCAAATTAGGAATCTGGCTGGAGAGGTGCCAGTTAACTTTCTGGGAACTGGCAAGGTGCCAATGAGCAAGGCACTGAACCCCCAACTACCCCAACTGAGCAAGCGTCTCCACTCTGACAAATTTCCATGCTGTTTGTGCTTGAGTGTGTATTTCAGCCTCTGTGTGTGAAGCATGTTCCAACACCAGAGTATACGGTACACTCTAAATATGCAACGCTCGTATCCCACTGTGGCTGATTTTTTGCATTTATGAGATACAAAAAATTCAGAATAACAAAAATGAGAAACAACTCTTGGCATTCGGTGCATATGACAATCTGATAGTCCTGGTTATCGAAGCCAGTAGCATGTGTTAGATAGAGTTTTAATTAATCCATGAAAAAAAAATACAGTGGGTTATTCTTGTGATTTCAGAACATGACTGATACACATTTAAGAGCAATATTTAGCAGCATTATTCAATATATCCTAACAGAATTTATATGAAAACTGTTTTAGCTTGGATCTGCTGTCATTTAAGATGGGAAAAATATGATATCATCGAGTGAAAATGATTATGACTGAGGAAATTAAACATTTAAAGAAGGGTGCGAGAGGTGTTTTAGAAGGTAGGACAGGATGGTGCAGGAAATGGAGAGAGAGAGTGAGGAGTGATACACAGGACAGGCGCCGCAGGCTGCACAACCTCCACACATGGCCAGCAGCGCCCCAAGGGTGCATGAGAGTTATAGTACAGGCACAGGGTTCCAAGCTAACTTGTTCCCAACCTTCCCAAAACTTTTCCAAAGTATACTCTAAGTTTGTTTATGTTTCACTTAGTTACAAGCCAGACAGTCAATCTAGGTGAACAAACACAAAAAAAAGTAATAACTTCATTCACGTCCACTGCACAGTCTGTTTACACACCATCCATCAAGTTACACTGACAGAGCTGACTGCAGCATCTGCAGACTTTGTTTTTTTTTAATTGGTCTCATGAGCACATGCATCAGGCAGTGCCAGATATTTCAAATTCCCTGATTGATTTGTCTATAGCTAGTCATCAATGTTGCAAAAAAGTTGATTTTAAGTCACAGGCTGAGTCATGAGATGATGACAGCTAGCAGGCACAGATGTGAGAGCAGCCCGAGGAGACACTGGACTCAAACTATCACTGAAAACTGGAACAAGATGCTGTCCTGTCCTGCCCTGTCCTGTTGTTGTGATCATGTGGGCTCTGCATACTGGATCTGGGCGCTGCTAGATAGAGGTGCCGGAGTGGAGTCTGGAATAGACTGCTTGTATCGGAGTGCTGATATTGGAGATTGTAGATGCAGGCCGATATAATTTGATAATGTTTTTTTGGCTGATATCAGACCGATATGCGATATCAATATTGTATTGGGACAGCCGTAGTTGAATCATTATTAGTAAATAAGTACAGCTCAGTGAAGTTTAGTCGAAAGTTCAAAAAAGTTCATATTTTCCTTCACTGTTTTGCTGTAAATGTGAAAGAAATCTATTCACCTCACTGCGGATGTTTTAGACACTCGTGTCCTCTTTCATCTTCAGCAAATGTATAATTGATTGAGCTTCATAAATTTATTCTTCAACATTTTCAAACAACGGTGAAGAGATTTGGTGTTTTAATGGATTGAAACTGTGAAGATTGTCGAAGGATCATCTTCTCTTAGCAAAAGTCAGAAGGTCTGGACACAGATGGAAAGATCTGACAACCTCTCTCACCTGATTCACCCAACCTGCAACTACTGATCTCAGAATCTGTGATAACTCTATCTGCAAATCAGCACAGAAACACAACATAAATCCTCAACTCTGATTCCCTCCCTGTTCTTTCAGTAAGCCGTGTCGTGGGTCGAACTTCTGTAGGAGGCAGTGACACTATGGACAAAGATTCTGGGCGCCGTGCCAGTGAGGCCGTGCTGCGGGGGCAAAGGATTGATCATCCGATTTAAGGAGTCCACACTGAGCATAAACATGAAGACATCTAACATGATGACTCCATGAGGCAGGATTACTCCACTGCACGCACACCGCCTGACTCACCGCTTGGTCAAACCCACCCACCCTGTTCACTCATAGGTCCAAATCTGCCCTGTGGCATGTCTCAAAATAAGATCTGTTTGACTGTTGATTGAAATCCCTCAGATTCAGCTTTATGGAGATTTGGGATCTGTATTGGGACACAGAGGGGAAAAACATGGAGCAGACCTAAAAAAGTCCTGAGCCTTCTGCACCAAAGCCATAAAAGAGCCTGAGTGCACTCCAGCCACACCGATTATCAGCAAGCCATAATGGGTTTTTATTCCCCTGCAAAGAGCCCTTGCTCAGCATAAATGAGACATAATTTCTATTTTGAACAGCTTGTCCGTGCCAAGGGCTGGGTCAAAAACAAAAAGGTGAAAGATGTCTGCAACATGTCCTCCAAATGCTCTGCTGCAAACTGCAACTAGTACAAATATGAGCCAAAAACACAGCCAAAAAGCCTGTCTGTGCAGAATAAGCCCACTGCAGGAATTTGGGCAATCTTCATAACATTCCTTTCATGTTTAATCACATAGGAGAATATGTCGATTCGGAGAGCACTCTCAAGCTGCAAAGAGATAATTCAGTGATTAAACTGCACTGTAATTTTCCAAAAAGGTCATCAAGAAAAAAGGGAGAAAGTGCGTGCAATCATTGGTTCGACTGCAGATAATGTCAGGCAGGTTTTTTCTCTCATTGTACTATGAGTGGCAGCAAACATGTTGCGCTGCTGCAGTCCCTTACATCCCACTGTGAAAAGGATGTAATGTTAAAGCATGCTGACATATCTAGTGCTTTTATGCATGCTCAATACGTCTCATATTTTTAATGGTGTGTGTGCACCGGTGAAGGCATTAATTTTGTGTGTCATACATCTGAAGTGAGTCATATTCTGATGCACAAAAAACAGCCCAGCAGACAAAAAATAATCATCAAATATTCTAGTCCCTCTCATTTGGGATTTGGCTCCAACTCGGTCCATTGGTATTAAAATTACATCTACTAATTGTACCTCAGGGCATTCTAGTGTGAAAAAAGAGAAAGAAAAACAAAGTTCAAGTTCAGTGCAAAAGAAAACACACAGCACCATCGTCATTGTTTGCAGGTGATTACAGGTTAAATTTGTCTTGGCATCAGGTGCCAGATATTAAAAGATAAAGTGGCAGCAGATGCAGGAAGAAGAGATAAAAAGGTAGAGAATTTAACAGATGGTGGTTCAACACAAGTGGGGTAGAAAAAGCACCATGGTGGAGAGAGAGGAAAGAGGGATAGATAAGAGGAGGCGACAGAACAAAGACTGTGAAAAAGAAAAAAAAAAAAGTCAAAGTAGGGGAGAGGAGCGGTATATTTCCATGACTTCATTGCACTAGTAAACACTTTGACGCAGGCATTTCCTCTCCTCTACCTCGTGGGGTAATTAAGAAGCGGAAGAACATGTGTAAAATGGTAATGAAGCCCTGCTCCACAGTATAGCCTCATGGCTGTGGTTCACACCGAGTGAAGATGAACCTTCCACTTTATTTCATTGTTGTAGCTAAAAAAAGATACAAGTGTCACGTTGAAAAGGGTGTTAAAAAAAACAACGGATTTAAATATAAATTAACATCAGTAACTCAGGTGAAGAGCCGAGGTCATGCTCCCGTTAGCCGGACCGTGATTACATGGATTTATTGAGCAACATTACTGGCAAGAAACTCTATACTGCTTACACTGCTTAGTGTGTCTCAACTTAGAGCAAAACTGGTGATTTCATTATCAAACTATCTGGTTTTCCTTTTTTCTAAAAGTTTTTATAGTTCAGTGTAGGGCTGGGCGACAAGGGAAAATGTTTTTCTCAATATATATTTTTTCCTATCAGTTGATGTCGATATGTATCACGATATTGAAAAAAATCACCTGTCAATCTTAAATGTTCCCTGTTACTTTTAAATGAAATTTAACATGAACTCGACATAATTTGCAGTGCACACTACTCTGCTTCATGTCCACACCACCGATGTTTTCGTGCAAGTATTGTCAATGGTGTTATCATCTGTTGAGCCTTCATCTGCATTTCTGCCGGCAGTAGCACTTATTTTCTTTTTTTCTCACCTACTGTGCTGTTGGCTTCACGTGATGAAGTGCTATAGTTGCGTGTAGCTGCAGCGTGCTACTACACAGTTGTTTACAACTTGGTTCTAATTCAGCACATGATTGGTTCAGTCAAGTCAAGTCAAGTCAAGTTTATTTGTATAGCACATTTCAGCAGCAGGGCAATTCAAGGTGCTTTACATGAAACAAGCAGGCAAAACATTCAACACAATTTAAAAAGTAAAAACAGCGTAAAAGACATTTAACAGATTAAAAGTTACATTCAAAGCTAAAGTAAGATTGAAGATAAAAGAAAACAAAGGTTAGATTGGAGAGATAGAAAAATAGATCAAGACAGGCAGATGATGAAGATGTTGATTAAAGGCCTCAGGTTTGATTTAATGATAGGCCACAGCAAACATATGCGTTTTCAGTTGTGATTTAAAAGAGCTGAGAGTTCAGTGCGGCACAACCCAGAGCAACCCCCCTTTTCATTGGCTGTTCGTATAGTCTACCAAAACATGGCAGAATGCCGACTATCGAAAAGCATATTGACCATGTTTCATATTGATATTGAGGAAATTTAATTTTCGATATATACCATTATTTTTTTATCGCCTAGCCCTAGTTTAGTCTTCAAATCATCTGCATCTTATCTATTCATTATTTACATTTTTATAAAGCCCTTCTGACTGAAAGACTGAATTCATGCAAACAAGAGCATAATACAGTCCTTTTTAACACCTTAGCAGAAACTTTTGTCCAAAGCGACACTTGGGAGTAAATAAAACACAAGCAGAGATCTAGGCAGAAGGAAACAACTTGGGTATAGGGCTGAAACGATTCCTCGAATACGAATACGGTGGAAGGAAGAGTAAGCGCTGTTAAGGTTTTACGGATCTGAAAAAATAAATGATGAGGGGGGCTTTTCTTGCAGTGTTGCCAATCTAGCGACTTTAGCGACTCTTCACGCTTGTTCCACGATTGTCCTCTATTTCTCCAAGTCTGACCTTCATTTCGGGCCTATAGGAAATCAAACTTTATGTGAGTCTGCCGTTTGGGTCCAATTACTTGAGTAATCGATGGAATATTCGGTAGAATACTCGGTTACTTAAATATTTGATAGCTGCAGCTCTACATGGGTACGATTTTTACTGTATAAAATGTTATTCAAATCAAGTTAATACCTCCAACATGCTTAAAAGTCAGCATAATTAAAAAAAAATAAGCCTGAATCTGGTTATATTTGAGCATTCCTGCTTTCTGTACCATAAATAACTCACTACCTTTTTTCTAAAATTGTTGCTGATGAATTGAACTTTTTGATCTACTTCTCATTCCCACACACTACCGGCTGACTTAAATCACAGCAGAGGGATACAGTGAATTGGCCAGCTTCCTCTTAAGCCCACTGCGCTGGTTGTACGAGAGACACTGCAATGTAATAAAACTCACGCCGGCAACTTGTACGAAGAGCGATCTGCTCAAATGACATCAATCACAGCTAAGCAGAAACAGCAGCTAACAGCAGATGAATTGATGGCTTCCTCTGCTGCACAGTGAGAATGTGGAAAAAGAAAGGGAGGGACGAGGTCTGGCTGAGGTACAGAGAGTGCTGAGGTGAGTGACAGCGTGCGTCATGGAGTGACAGACACTGAGGGTGACAGAAAGAGAGCGAGAGAGAGAGAGAAAGAGGGGAGGAAAGTGAGTCCAGGTTGAGCCCATGGGAGGTATTTAAAAGCAGTGGTGGTGACAAGAGCGTCAGGGTCATAACTCATTCCGTGTGTCCGCTGTGGTTTATGGACCGGGACAGAAACTGGTTGACAGAAAGGAGAACACCCCCTCCAACAATACACACATACACACACACACACTGGCCTATGTCCTAGTACACAGAGCAAGCTGCTGACTGGGCACTTTGGGTCTGCTCAACTCCTCAACAAAAGGCCTGTTGTCTCCCCCCTCTCTCTTGCTCCCTCTTTTCTATCACCCTCCCCTGTCTCCCTCTGTGCCGTGTCCCCCTTTTTAAGTGAGCGCAGAAATGAAGCCACTCAGAAACATAATGAGTCAGAGAAAAGAGGGGAAAAGAAAGCTACAAATGATGCAGTGATTCAGAGAATAAAGCATGAGAGAGAAAGAGAGAGAGAGAGAGAGAGAGAGAGAGAGAGAGAGACAACGAGAAAATGAAGTCAAACAGACAGCAGAGGAGGAGGAATGTGGACGTTGCATCCTGTCAGGGGGAATTGTGTTGCCCTCCTCTCAGAGTGAGTTTAAATCACTGTAACAGGCCTTTGCATCTGAAAAAAAAAGCAAAAAACTCAGGGGGATGTGCAGGTACATCTCTTCTTCACTTACTTTTCTTCAGGTGGAGTATTTTCAATGCAGCCAAAGAGGAAAATCACACAACCCGAGGCTTTACCCGATTGCTCCGTTTATGGATTTATGAAATTAACTCGATTCTGTTTCAAAATGCAAAAGATGCCCTCTCTCGTTTTGCGACAAAACTTCTGTCAAAGTCTGAGCGAATGTTTTCCTCCCGAATCAGAGTTAGAGAATTTGTCATCCTCGGTCCCTCAGCACACTGATGCACAAAACAGGCTAAATAATGGATGATTTGTTTTGTAAGTTCTCCACAGCAAATGTGTTGGGGTTTGCCAGCAAAACAGTAATAATTTACAGAGCCTGTGTTTTAAAAAAAACAATTGAGGATTTGTGAGTGTTTTCTGTATGCTTTTCCTCCAGGGTGAGGGTGTCTCTTTGGAGTGCGGATGATTTAGCAAGTGTGCGTGTAGCGAGGCTCAGCTGGCGAAGGAGAGACACGTCTGAGAACAAAAGCAGGCAAGGCGGTAGGAGAAGAGGACGACTTGAGAGCAGGTTGCTATCAGCAAGACTCATCACACACTCATATTCACCCCTCTTCACACACGCTGTTGTTGTTCGCAGCCACACCGGGGATCTGACTGAAGATTTCCTCCCTCCCTCCCTGCATGCTTATGTGCTTTTTCTACCAGCTGCTTTGCCTGGAGGTGCTCTGTGACTGGCTTGTCCTCGGTCTCTTGCAAGTGCGGTTAAAACGTGGTAATCGCATCAGCCGGATCACTAACACTAAAGATAATGAAAAAGTATGTTTGAAAAAAAAAAGAAAACGACCCGCAACACTTGAGCTGAAACAGAAGGAGCCTGAGAGCGTGGCGGCTAATGCTGGAGACTGTGGAGGCATGATAAAGCGTGTCTTCGCAAAGAGAGAGAGAGGGGAAGAAGCAAGGCCTAATCCTCTGTTGAATATCCAAAGACTGACTCACTAGTGGTGCTCACTCTCTACTCATGCAGGGCAGGTCAACTTTGAGGCCCAGTGTGGACGAGGTGTGTGTGGAAACACCAAATCCACCATGTCGAGCCCAGCCTAACTCAAAGGAGATAAAGCAGGGACCAAGTCTGCAGCATGTAAACAACTGTGAGTGCAATTCAGGAGGTGTGTGATTCTGCAGCAGCAATACAAGGAAGTAATAAAGCTTAAAACAGCATTAACAGATCCAGTCAGTGGAGCAGCAAGACACCAACTCAGCATTACCTGCTATGGTCTGCTTCCTCGTAGTACGCAAACTTGACAGGTTTAAAAACTACGGATCAGAGAGTGTATTTTCGATAAAAAGCCATGTCTCTTTCAAAATAAAGCTCCAGCGGGGTCAGAGTGATGTCGCACATGTTAAATATGCCTGAGACGCATTACTCTGCATCTCCTCCCTACTTTTAAATCTCAAGGCTCATCCTGCATTCAGGCCCTCGGGGCATGACGCCGGTTGTGAGTAAGCCAGTGGCTTCAGTCATTCAGACAAAGCAAAACAGGCAAAACTAGACAAGGCTTTTACACTCGGATGCCCTTTGTCTCTCCGTGCAAACAACAACCACACATAAACTCAAGTAGAGGCACTTGCTCTGAGGACACGGTGCAAATCTAATGACTCTAATGGATAAAGTGTGATTACAAATGTTGCCTGTAAATGCACCGCTGAGGAATAATCTGCTTCGGACTGTAATCGCTAGGACACTGTGTGGTTTTCTCTCCACATGTGGAGGTGAACTGAGGCTTCAGGTTGCATGCATGAGTAGGCTGCACACACACACAGGTCGATAAGGACCAACATGTCACCAGTTGTCATGGAAACAAATCATGCTACCTAATGTACCATAAGGATATCATGCAAGCAACAACAAATTGAGATCAGGGTGGATAATAGTGCTTTTGTCTTGAGATTTTTCCACTTAAATTTTATAATTACTCCTGTCTTGACTACTATAAAGTGTAAATGTGATTATCTGTGTACTGCAAAGAGGATTTAAGGGCAAAATGGCTGCACATGATGGCCATATAGCTGCTCCAGTAGCTGTGCAATTGCTCTGCAAGGCATATAAAGTTTAAAGATATAACCTTGTGCATTTTATATTCCAGTATTAACCAGCATTCAGGGTCTGAGTAATGGGTGTGTAACCATGTTGTAAGTACAGGACGCTGATGTATTTCTCAGCAACCTTCCCATAAAGCTTTATTATCATTTTATACTGATTTTACTTGATAATAAATCACGCTACCGGCTGCTAAGGAGCGATGCACACATGGTTTTTCTTGCGCCAGACCACCCAGATTGCAGCTCCACACGCTGAGAGGTTACTCTGCAGCGCCTTGGTCCTCTTTTTTTCTGCCTTCGTGAGTTCTAGTTCTGGTTCTGGTTTCATGTCTTACCGGTGGAGTGGTCCACAGGTCCCCCTCCGTTGTTGCTGAACAGAGTCGAGTACAGGTCAGGGTATGCTTTCTCCAGGGCCACACACAGGTCGAGGAAATGGTCGCTCTCCTTGTTCATCAGCATCTTCAGGAGGTGGTCCACTTTCTCGGCGCTGGACGAACAGTTCTGGTCCAGCTCGAACCTATCGAGTTGACTCAAGGTACCAGAGACTATGAGCAGCTCTATAACTCGGTCCGCATCTGTTATGGACTCCAGTAAGTTCTGGTGGCACTGGTCTAACAACTCTTTGTGCTTTGGCTCCATTGCTATTGCCGCTGTAGTTCCGTAGCTTCCCAGCTAACCCCAGACGACCAAGTGGATGTAAAATCCTCAGCGATCAAAAGTACCGAGCGACTATTGAACTGAACTTATCGCGGCTTGCAGAAGTTAGCCGGAGCCACCACGGCATTAGGTTGCACGGGAGATCAATTTTTATAGCATAATGAAAAAGGCACAAGAAGCCATATTTGTTGCCCAAGGCTGTTGACTGCACTAAACAGCGATACATTTTTCCATCTTACTCGTACGAGGCAGTTCAGGTCGGTTTTTGCTTCCCCTCTGTGTACGCTTCAGCCGAACACATTGTCCTCTCCTTGTGTATCATTTAATGCTCCCTTTGACGACTCAAGTGCTGGGAAAACTCACGTAACTCCGCCGCTGAGCCTCAGTTACACTGTATCCTCCGCCATGTCTGAGCAACTCAGCAGCTGCTGCCCGCTGTCAATCAACGTGCCGTTCAATGACCATAAAAGGTAAAATAGGGCGGGGCTTCGATAAAACACACCTATTTCTTCAATGGGCGTAAACATCAGCCCGTAGTACGTCGAAGATCCCAGGCGGAAAAAATGAGAATGGAGAGAGTTTACATGAAAAATCTGGAGATGTTTAGAAAATATCTCTGCTGTGAAACATATCTTTAAACACCAACCTGTTTTTTTCTGGAGTGAGGATATTACCTGCAGTTAATTTTACTCTTTTATATTTTTGAAGGAAAAGTTATAGTCTACTTTATAATTCACTGAATTTAACTTGAGTTTACTCACAGTCTGATGTTTACAGTTAAAGATGAATGATATTACCAGCAGTTAATTTTACTCTTGTAAATTTTGGAGGAAAAAGTTATAGTCTACTTTATAAGTCACTAAATTTTATTTATAATTTACTCACAGTCTGATGTACAGTTAAAGATAAATGATCTTACCAGTGGTTAATGTTACTCTTCTTCATTTTTTAGGGAAAAGTTACAGCCTACTTTACAATTCACCAAATTTAAGTGGAAATTTACTCACAATGTGATATTAAGATACATAAACAATGCATTACCTATACTGATAACACTAAAATGCAATATTCTCACTGCAATGAAGAAAATACATCACAAAACCTTAATGCAAATCAGTAACTCTTTTACATTTTTGAGGGAAAAGTTACAGCCTACTTTATAATTCACTAAATTTAACTTGAGTTTACTCACGATCTGATATTTACAGTTACATAAAAGATGCATGATATTACCAGCAGTTAATTTTACTCTTGTACATTTTTGGAGAAAAAAAGTTATAGCTTACTTTATAATTCACTAAATTTAATGTAACCTTTACTCACAGTCTGATATTTACAGTTAAAGATGAATATCATCACCAGCAGTTAATTTTACTCTTGTACATTTTGGAGGGAAAAGTTACAGCCTACTTTATAATTCACTAGATTTAACCTGAGTTTACTCACAGTCTGATATTTACAGTTTAAGATGAATAATATTACCAGCAGTTATTTTATTCGTACATTTTGGAGGGAAAGTTATAGCCTACTTTGAAATTCACTGAATTTAATGTGAACTTTAGTCACAGTCTGATATGTTCAGTTAAAGATGAACAATATCACTAGCGGTCAATTTTACTCTTGTACATTTTCGAGCGAAAAGATACAGCCTACCTTATAATTCACCAAATTTAAGTTGAAATTTACTCACGATGATATTTAGTTACATAAAAGATGCATGACCTAGCCTGGTGTCCAGTAGCTTAAAAAAGCTTCACCCCACCAAGTAGCCTTAAACAGAATAATACTGTTAAGACCAAAATGTAATATTATAACTGCAATAAAGAAAATACAACGTTACAAAACCTTTATGTAAAGCAGCTGTAGATTACAACTATTTTGCTGTCAAAACAAGGACCAGCAGACTTGGGATAGCTTCTTCCCAAGAGCTATCATTGCAGTCAACAACAACAAATCCAGTTGAACCTGCCCCCCTAACATATATACTGATCATATTGATCACAGTGCAATAAATAAATCATTTATCCGTGCAATAAAACTGGGCTTTACTGTGCAATAATCGGGTTTTTATAACATAACCTGTATATATTACCGTATATATTACTGCCACTTACATTTCTTATCTTTGTGTTTTTAGTGGTTTTTATTTAAATTGTTTTGCACCAAAGGGAACAGCGCTCAAATCTTGTTATACTGTGTACAATGACAATAAAGGCAATTCTGATTCTGATTCTGTCTGTTATTTTCACTTTTTATTATAATTATTATTTTGTATTTTTGCACATGGTTAATAATACTTATTTTTGCAGTAGGCCTATATCAGTTTTTACAAGACTTTTGTTAGGCTTAGTTTAGTAAATGTGATAATATATCAGGTAACACACACACACAAATCTAACCTTAAAAAAAAAAGAAGCAAATGTGTGGTACCAGGTCCAGTCACTAGCCGACAAGGGTTTATTTCTTTTACAACAACTTACTCAGCTCATGATTTTGCTCTATTATCAAAATAAATGAAATATCCTCTGAGCATGCGACAAAAGAGTTGACAAACCCAGAATTGACCCTTTACCCTTTACTTCTGATTGTGCACATGGCACTTTAAATCAACAAATCCCCATTTACTGTATGCACCTACTGACTACATTGAATACTTTATTTAAGGTAAGTACAAATGCAGTGATAAAGATAGGAGGTTTTTAGTCCCTTCTTGCATAAGACTGCTGAAGTAGCCACAGGCATATGCTCTTTGTTTCTATATGCAAGCTGCACTGCAACCATTTTTAGCATCTGCTCTGACTGTCCTTTGGATACGACAGGAGAGGGCAGCGAGCCATATGTGAACACATAAGCAATACGTGAGCAACAAATGAAATGTGTTTTTCAGTGGGATTTGTGAGATACAATATGATGATGATGGATGCACTCTCGCTCCCAGTCTGCAGCCGAATAAAGATTGTTGGCACAGAGGCAGGCGTCTGCAGGCATACCTCTCAAACCGTGACCTTATTCATGCGTGCACTGAATCTCATTGTGACATCTACAACCCACTGCCTCTCTCTCTGTTTCTCTGCCATGCTGGCTCCATAGCTTGTGCAACTATGTGCTATCCCTCTAGATGAAAAATTAATTACAATTCATTCATATCAAAGGGATGCAGGTCCCCACAGCTGACACAGATTGGATGGTTGTGTCTGTACCCTACTTCTGAGCCCTGAGTGCATTAGAATAGAAAAGACAGACCGATGCTTTTTATCTTTTGGATATAAACAAGTTTATTATTTAGACAACAGGGGTGGTGTTTAGCTGTCTGATTGTTTACTGAAATATTATTATACAGATTTGTTTATCAGACCGCCTGGATCAAGAGAGATAATAGCTTTATCTTTTATTGAAGAGGCTGTCAGAAAGCATTTCCATCATTTATCCCGGTCTAATTGTCTCAAACTGAAAATTTTATGGATTTTTGGGCTTGTTTTTTTGCCCGTCTGAAAAGAGATGTTGCTAATGGACATCTGTCTGTGCAAAGAGTTGTGTAACAATAACCTCACCATCTACACCCCTTTTTATTTACTGCATCTATATACTGTTCAGTCTCAGCAGCGGTGCATTTATTTCATCTCCAGCTCTGTGAAAACATCTAACAAATAGTGTTTTTTGAGAGCTGAATAAACAGTGTTATCTCAAAAAGAAGCCAGTGGAGACATATAAGAAGAGACAGAGTTTCCCCTTTTTCATCATACTGGCACTTTATAGGAGATTCTGAATGTAAAGGCATCGTTCCCCTACAACATCAGAGTCCTCAAGGCATCATAGAAGATTTCTAGAATTATTAAAGACATTAAATCTGGAAATTTGTGTTTTTAATTAACTGTGATTATACAACCCTCATCTTTCTGACTGCAGCAGATTGAATGTTTCTGTTAATAATGGCATCAAAACTCCTCGCTGGCAGAGACATGCTTATATAACTAATACAGTCATGTCAAAATTATCTTCCCCAAACTGATCCAATCTCATTTAACCATCATTAAAATTGCGGTTATTATAATCTAAATATCCATCTGGAGCCCTCAAGCCTCTCCTGCCATCTCTGGTCAGACTAACACGGTTCCTGCAGCGTGGCTGTTACCCCAGGGTTCCCCCTCTTCAACAGCACTGCAGACATGCTAGACTTTTTTAATGTGGCCCGAGCAGCTTTATGGATGCCATTAATTCCACGAGGCTCCCCCCCTCCTCACTTCACAAGGCTATTGATTGTAGTGCAGTTAGCTCTCTCACACACACACACAGACTGAGGTGGCCAGCAGAGCAGAGCCATGTCTTTAAAGTCAAGAGCATTCAGCAGTATTTTAAGTGAAGCCAACAAGACGTAATAAGGTATCCTGAGCTCCCTGTGCAGTCATGCACAGTGGCCTCACAACCCTCGAGGGAAGAGAGAGTATGTACCTGTATTGATTAAGTGAAACACTGTGTATTTAAGAGTTAAAAACCAATTTGTTTGGCACTGACTGCCGGACTAAACACCTATTAAGAGTCAGAGAAAAATATACCTTAAATCTTGAATGAATGTTTAAACAGTTATTGGTCAAAGTATCATATAGTGATATACCACTTCAGCTGAGAATTTGCTGCTCTGCTTGCTGGAATTCACACTTTTGGTGTAGCTGTTAGTTGAATGAAGATGTCACTGCCCTCTGCTGGAAAAGGAAATGTAATACTCTGTGAGGAGACTGACAGCAGTGATGAGAAGGTCAGAACACAGAGACGATACTGACAGGTTATTATGCAAACTGATGGAGGCTATCTGTATGAATACATTTGAACAAGAGAAGGGTGTGAGAGAAGCTACCCTGATGTTTTGTGGAAATATCTGCATCCTTAAAAGGATGTTTTAGTTTTTACTGTTATGTTACTTTAGTGTACTCTACCGGCTTATAAAGAACGTTCATCTTTAAAACGCTTTCTCAGTATTTATTTTAGGAGATTCGTGGAAATAAAATCAACAAATTATGAAATGTAATGCTTGAGTTTTACAGGTTACAATGATAGATAAACAAAATAAAGGATCTCTTGCACTTACAGCACACTTGTTTTAGACAAAATATAGATGAGATTATACGACTGAAACATAAACAGTAAACTTTGGTACTTAGCTGCTATGTATCACATTGTATTCAGCCATGCTGAACAACAAAAAGTGGCCGGTAAAAGTGCCAGATACCGTAAGATATCTGATTATATTGGCACAATTCAAAACACAATATCTAAAAAATATACACTTTAAATTTCATCTGTTGCACACTGATTGAATGGCCTGGTCATGAATCTTAGACTCAAACAAAAGGATAAAACAAGTGAAAATATAAAACTTTTAGTGCATATGTATGTATAGAAAAGAAACAGCATGTAGCAATATTGAGGCTCTTAAAACAAAGTAACGTTGCATTGATAGAACTGGTATGGCATGCAGGGTTGCAGTTTGTGCATGGATGCATATAGATAAGCAAGAAGTTGATATATAAAATACATTTCTATAATGTAGTAGATGCTGTTCCCTTTTCAGTCACTGCCCCCGCAGAACTTCAGTAGGAGCTTCTTGTAGTCTCCTGATGTGTCTCCCTGTCAATAAAACAGACGTATGAGCCAATTATTTAAACACGTGTCCCACAAAACACACTAACTTGCTCCTTTTAGATAGTCGAAAGTCTTTTAATGGAATGGAAATACTTACAGAGATATGTGTGTACAGCGACTTGCCATAGTTTTTGACATATTCCTGGCGGATATCCAGCATGTCAACTTCAGAACGGGTGACCATGATCCGGATCAGGGTTCTGTCTTTGGTTCCAGCTCCCTGAACATATGTGCACATTCATGAACAAAAATGCAAATAGGAACACACTGTGAAACGTCTATATTATGTTGCAATTAATTAGCAATGCACAGATAATGACTACTGCAAGGCATAAAGAAATGATAGCTCACCTTCATGGCCTTGTAAAGTCTCTCAGCAAAGTAGGCAGGTGTGTTCTTAATACACTTCACTGAAAGAGGGAAAACACTCAATCAAACATGAGCAATAACACACAATAATACATTTCAATTACACAAGATCTCTGAATAAGAATACATTCTAGTTGCATCCTTGTAAAGCCAGGATGAGGAAGAAAAAAAAGCTGATACTTTGTGAAGTGAAAGTGAACAAAGGAAAATCACAATGTGAATACATTAAAGGAATGTTACAGGATGACAACAAGTGTAATAAAAGCTGCATAAATCAATATTTTCATGTCTGATTGAATAACTATGTTAACTCTGTCAGTTGTAATAAAAGATCCATATGCGGCGCTGCAGAGCTTTAAATATGAACATCTAGCAGCAGCAACATCTGTTTTTTCCAAACAAACTCTGATAAAGTGACAGGATGCTATCTGCAGAGCACACAGGGAGGAGACAAACAATTCACTCTGGTATTGAAGAACCAATACAAGGATATATGGGTGAATATGAGGGCGCTTTTTCACATTAGGCATGATGGTTCACACTGATCAAATGGACCAAGTGTATTCAGGCATAAGTCCTTATTGTGAAATCACCCTTACATATACAATCATCAGGTGGCAGGAAACCATGACCCCAACATTTAAACACCCTCCTGCATCTACATGATGTGCAGGCAGGTGATTTCTGACAGGAAAAGTATAAACAAAGCTTAGGCTGTGTTTTTACAGGCAAGACTCAGGGTTTTCTGCCACCTACAGGCCGAATATTGATTAACACAGCTTTAATAAAAGGTTGTGGTTTGAAATAATACTAATATGAAATCATAAATTTTAACCTTGCTTTGAGGATTGAAATGAATCACAGCATCAAAAACAAACAGACACTGCAGTGCACACCATCACACAATGAACACAGCAACTTAATGTCGAAATCACAGGTATATATTCAAATCAATCAAATTTACAAGCAGTAAATGTTTACAGTACCATGACCCTGAGCAAAGTTGAGCAAAAAAGGAAACAAAAAACAGAGTTTGCATTAAGCAGCAACACCTCCTTTCATACGGTTTCTCTTTCCATTCAGTCAGCTGTAATACTCTGCATCATATAATACGTTCAGATGGCTGTTCAATGTGACGTCATTTATGACTCATGTGGAGCAGATTCCACTTGGAACAATGTATGGGTGTGACCTTTGAATAGTTTTGTGTGTGCGTGCACATGTATGTATGTGTCTGTGTGTTCTTACCGACGGCCAACATGCCACTCTCTAGGTCTCCAGACATCTCCCTGCCGATGCTCTTCTCGATGTCTCTGCCACACATGCGCTGATACTCGAGGAACACTGCACACACACACACACACACACACACACACACAAACCATCAGTCTTAAAACAAAGAAGTGAACTCGTCTGTTAACGTCATCGGTCTTGTTATTACTTCTTGGAATCAGATGTTGAACCTTTAAGCTTCTCATTGTGGGTATGTCTCTGTTAAGATTACCTGCTTTGAGGTGGGATTTGCTCCTGGCACACAAAATTGCATTGAATTTGGACTCATCTGTCCCCAGCTTGTTCTCTCCTGCAGCATACAGGGCCTGTAAGAACAGCAACGTTTATGAATGACCATGTCCTTACATTCATTGTTTCTAATGAAATAATGAAGATAAAACTCACAAACCCTTATCACTAAAAAGAGAAGCAGACTCTACCTGAGCATCTTGCTTAGCCAGAGAGATATCCACATTCTCTCTTTCGTCACGATTACCCTACAAAATACAGGAAATAATGATTGTGATTTGATCTGAAAGTATCAGCAGGAAATTAGATGACTCATTTGTTATATGTTGATACCTGGGCGAGTGAGACCAGGAGCCTGCGGAAGTGCCCTGAGGTGTCTCCAGAAATAGCATCCTCCAGTGTCTTCTTGTATTCTGAAATGACAAGAACAAAAATGAGTGAATCTTTTTACCTACACTGACTCATAAGGGTGGAAACTTACTCCATGTAAACAAAAAACATTCCTGTACATAACACCTGAGTTTACAGATGCTCTGGGGTTACTAAGATACAGCTCCACTGAGCTGATTCACTGTGGTAATAAACTTCTTCCCACACAGAGCTGGATGATGTCTTATAAAGAAGAACTGAGCGGTAGGACAACGAAATGCATTCAGAGCTTTAAGGTATCTCACCTTGTTTGTAAATGCGGTTTATCTCCTTGATTTCAGCGTTGGAGCGGGATGACAGGATCTCTATCAGGCAGGCTTCATCAGTTCCAGCTCCCTGTTTGGAAGACAGACCAATGACAGTTTGAAAAGCTTATCCTCTGACCTTGTAGCAGCCAAAGTTTTTCCTTTTGTTTTGTATTAAAGTAAACCCATGACCAGCGTAACACATAACATTGTCAACTGTCAGGAAAAAAAATGCATATTTATACTGTTATACTGATATATTGCAAATCCATGTCATTGCAGACTGAGACTGGTGATAGTATTGAGACTAGCACAACCCCCACCATTCATGCACATGCCTACCTTTATGGCACTGTTGAGCTCATAGGCATCGTACTCAGCAGGGGTCTTCAATGTGGCCATGACGAGCTTCCTGAAGTCTCCAGACAGCTCTGAATGCAGGTCCTTTAACAAATCCTGAAAATAGAAACACGCTTGGAATAACTCAACCATCATTAACTGCTTGCTGTGAAACTCGTACCGCAGCTCTGTGGTACATCTATAATGAGCTCTCAGCCTGAGGACATCCAATCCCTGTTCCATTTTACTGGCAGCACTCTGTTGCACCTGTTGTCTGCTTGTCACTATTATACACTGGGTAATGTAAACCAGTTCATGTATGATTCCATTTATGAATTTCTAACTTTTTTAAACTCCCCTGATACAAAAATATCATCAGTTGTTGGATAATCAGTGTGTGATACTTAAAACAAAAGCAGAGGATTTCTTACCTTTCCATAGGAGGTTTTGTAGGCACGGGGCAGAGCTGAACGCTGCTTGATGGAGCGACTCCCCAGTAAGTCAATAATGGCTTGCTCGTCAGTTCCTGAACAAAGAAGGCCAAACATTACATCACTGCATACATTAGAAATAAAGACACTTATCTGAATTTCCAGTTTAAACATTCAAATTTTACTTATGAACTATTTTTATGTTACTAAAAACAAAAATATATCTGAGTACAGCAAGACATATCTGAGGAAAATAAAGGCTGTCCATTAATGAAAGGAGAACAGAAAGAGGACTGCTATTATTATTAATGTTACTTAGTTTTTTAATAACCTGACGTGACTTTTAACCATCTATCCTGGAAAAAAAAGAAAGATTAAAAATATCTTTTAACTGATTATGACCCTGATGATCATTTATTCAACTTAAGGAATTCAAAGGGCAGACATACAGGGTAAGACAGCAAGGAGCTAAATGGTCAGTATCTCATGCATTATGTACATAATTACAGTTCCGGGGAAGATTAGAGTTACATGATAACAAGAACTCCACTCTGATAAGCATCTCTGAGGAGCACTCACCAAAGCCCTTCATGGCCTTCCTCAGAACCTCCACGTCTTTAAGTGGATCAGCTCCAGGAAAGTCCTTTATTGTTCCCCTGAATCCTCTCTGAGATGACAAGAAATTATTTTCACAATGCAACAAACGCTATTTCCACTAAAATAAACTTTGTTTTATGATGCACAGATGTGTAGATACAGGCCTGTGTGTATGTGTTTAAAAGATTTTGACATGAGGCATAACAAGGTGACAGATAGTTTATCTCAAGCCAACAAAGAATTTCAGCGCTTCCTCACATTAATGGCTGGAGCTATTGGCATGGCTCCTCCTCCTCCATAGGCCGGCATGGATGGATTTGGTGAAGGGACCTTTGGGTACCCTGGCATGGGTGCTGGTGCTCCTCCATAACCAGCCATGGGTGGGTTGGGTGATGGTGCTTGTGGGTATCCCGGCATTGGCTGGCCAGGCTGACCTGGGTAGCCCATCCCTGGGCCTTGGGGTTGGGGCATGGCCCCTCCTGGCTGTGGGTACAGGCCAAATGACTGTTGGTTAGGGAGGGGGGCACCGTACCCGCTTGGCTGAGGTGCGGGTGGGTACCCCCCAGGGGCTTGGGCGAACATGGATGGATTTTGGGGAAAACCACCCATACCTGCAGACATCTGGTTAGCCTGTGATTGTGGAAAGATTGGAATCTCATAGAATGTGCACAGATGCTTGAAGCGTTTCTTTATTTGATGCATGCAACATAAAAACGGTCACACCTTTTTTGGATTTAGACCTATTTATAATGCTTGGTCAAATTTGAAGTTAGTGGAACTTATCCTTGATTTAGCTTCAGTAGGAAAACTGAAGTTACTTGCAAGCATTTACAAGAGGTATCCAAATAAAGTGTGGCCATGCGATGGAATCAGATGGAAATTAAAATCTATCTTGAAATAAAACAGACAAGATGATGAATCTGGAGATCGAAGGAGTAAAAAGTTGCATAGGATTGGCAGTTTTAGGAAGCGCAGATAGGGGTGAAAAGTGTGACTGTTCTTAACATGCAAAAGACCTTCAAAGAGAGGCTGATGAAGAGCACTGATGATGATGCTGAGGGTTTTTAGAAGCAGACTTTGGGGGAGTCTTACCGTGAATAGAAAGGGCGTGACATTCCTTGAACTGCAGTGTAAATCATTCTAACTGGGATATTCAATTCAATCATCTTAAGACTTAGTTTAACACATTCATTACATTTTTCTTTCTGGTAGCAGGGTAAGATTATTCTATCAAGGTGAAACTTACCATGCCAGCATTGTATCCAGGGTTGGATAAACTGTCAAGGCCAATGGAGGGATATCCACCAGTTGGGCCACCTCCCCAGCTGCCTACAGTGGACAACAAAGACAGCGCTGTTCAGAGAAGTTGAGGATGTAATTTGCTTTAACATGCCTGAAAGAACTGAGAATATCAGACTGAGACGGGAATGACCCCTCATAGTGGAACTTCCTTTCCCTTTGGTTTCCACTGGTTTACGTGTAGGTGAAAAAGTGCTGGGCAGAGAATGGGAGCACTATGCTGAAGACGGGCTGTGAGGCTTGCTTCTCTTAGCAACAGTGAAAGTTTGTTTGTTTTCAGGGAAAAAAAATTCCACTCTGTTCACCATGAGTCCCATGATTTCTGTTGCACGACACTGCTGAGTCACCCTTTCTAGACTAGGAATGAAAATAACATGGCCCAACACTGCATTTCAGTTACTTTCTTTTGGCCTGACATGATAGAAAAGCATGTGAGAGACAGGAGATGTGGAGGGAAGGATGGGGTGGCATAAACCGAATACTACTAGAACCAGAAATCAACCCTATTCAAGTGAAATACAGAGTGGAGGCTCTGGACATGGGGGCCTGGTCTACCTAATGAGTTAAACCCTACATTTTTACTTCATCTGAGTTTGGTGGAAGTTTATTTAAATCAGCTAATGGCATGTTTGTGCTCTTTATCTGCTACAAGTGAAAACAGATATTTTCCAGTGTGAATCACCACTGGAAAAATCCTTTCTAAAAATCTCCTCACATTTTTTTGAGGGTTTGAATGAAGTAAACAAGCAGCACATAAAGCATTCATTAGTGAGTCTAGAAATACTAACAGACTGATTTCTCTACTTTTTGACACAGTTACTTTTGTTTCCCAATTATCCCTAACCTGGTGGTGGTGCCTGTGGGTAGCCCCCAGCCTGTGGGTAGCCCCCAGCCTGTGGAGGGTAGCCCCCAGCCTGTGGAGGATAGCCACCTGCCTGTGGCGGATAGCCACCAGCCTGTGGAGGATAGGCACCAGGTTGAGGGGGGTAGCCTCCTGCTTGTGGTGGGTAGCCTCCTGCTTGTGGAGGGTACGCTCCAGGTTGAGGTGGGTAAGCACCGGGCTGTGGAGGGTAGGCCCCAGGCTGTGGTGGGTATCCACCTGCCTGAGGGGGGTATCCAGGGTAGCTCATATCTGTAAACACATGACAAAAATATCAATGTAAAAGCCCCAATCATGACATGTTATAAATAATGTAAAAATCATTCTGTGCTGTTTGTTAGTACTGCTGAATGACATAATCCAGAGCATTGTACTGTTATCATGAATGACATGGCAGAAAGAGTTGTAAACACACCCTGCTGTAAACCTGTCTCTCCTCCTCTTTCCCACTAGGTGGAAATTTTCACCAACTAAGACACAAACTATTTGAATTCTTCAGAACTGGTACAGCATGTCTCCATTAACAAAAAGAAAAACTGTTTTGTTATAAACTTGGTTGTGATATCTATATCACAACTTTTCTTCTAATGAATAATCTGTGTCATCTAAGCAAAGTACAAGGGTCTTAAACTGATCTAAAGACAGGTGTTTCCTCTTTTTTCTTCTAGTTAAGCGGTTAGAAATCTTTGTGCAAGGCACTGTCGCAGCAGCTTCATACCTGCAACCTCTTTCTTCCAAAACAGAGATTTCACAAACACTTGTTTCAAAGTGGTGGACTGGCTTTTTTCCCCTTTTCTTTAACATTTCATTCAAGGCCAGTACTCTCACAGTGCTGCTTTTTCCACAGTAAAACTGACATCATAACACCTGAATGGAAATGTCCTCTTTAATTTGCATTTATTCAGCGAGAGAGGGATTTGTTTAAGTTTGCACACCTCACAAGGGAAGGAAGAGGTCAGTGTATCTAACTAACACATCTTTATACACAGTCACAATGACGGTGGATGTGTACTTAAAACACCTTTAACTTCTTACACACCGTCCCTTCGGGGTGTTGTAAACAAACACAGTAGTTTTGATGCTGACTCAAAGCACCAATGTGGAAAAAGTTCAATGGATAAACATCTACACTTGTCAGATACAATGAAATTGAACTGTTTGAAAGGTAAGACAGTTCTGGCACAAACACAACACATTCAACCATGAGCTTTCACAACTTTAACTGTGAGAACAAACAGTTCTCACACAGTGTCCTGACAAAACCTCAAACCTAAACCTACAACTCTAAACCTTATCACGTATAGACAGCCATGTTTGCTTTGAGGTGTTATAAAGATAGCTGTCACTTCAGAGGAAAAAGGCTGACATTAAGTCACCAGTATGGGGTAATAACCACCTTTACTGTGTCACAATACACTGACACCGACTTACAAAACTTCAACATCCTTTAAAAATCCTTGTCTATTTCTAAAAGTATTAAAATTGTGGGTTTTTTCTAATACAAGACATTATCAATTAATTGGGTCAGTGGCTAATGATTAGCGTGTAAACAAAATAATTAGTTTTATTAACATTTTGTAGATCAAACTTATATATTTACTTTAGTTTTACTTTTGTTTTTACAGTAACGGGCTAATACAACTCTGCTTCAGGCCTGTACAAGCTTCCTCCTCAAACTAGCCAAGTTACCTCCCAGAGCAATTTACATAACACTTCAGGATAATCCATGGGAAGTAACTAAGCCCAGCTTTATCTCTACCTAAGCAAAAGCCAGCGAACCAACCACCTAAAACCGAAACAAGAGAACATAATTCTGCTGTCAAAGTGAAGCTGTGCTTGTTTTTTAGCTGTATAAGGTGACTTTAGCTGTGGTAAACCTGCAGCAAACACGCTGCCATGCTAACGACAGCGTCGGGAACACTAGAGTAACTAAGACACAAAATGACTCCTTAAACACTCACAGCTTACTCTAACTAAACCTACAACTTCAGATTAGTAGAAAACATTAGTTACAGCTCGATATGTTGGAGTCGATGTCCGATTTGATCACTTACTTAAGTCTGTTAGCAGTCTCTTCCAGGAAGAAGTGTTTTTTAGAGCAGTCTCAGTAGTGACTGTATTTTAGTGTTGGAGTGGGTGGGACTCATACTTTCCATTTATGGAACCCACCCATCTGCCCGACACTGACAGACAAACCTAGCAGCAGCAGCAGGCTAGGGTTGTGTCGTTCGCGAACGATTCGTTCAAAAGAACCAAATCTTTTAAGTGACCGTACTGAACCGAATCTCTCACTTCAGTAGGCAGCTTGGGAGGTGGTCCAACTGGTCACTTTAATCTTTTACTGCTAAATTGACACCACAAAAACTTGCATACGATAGGATACACCATGTAACAAGTAGTGCATTAAACCCAGAGCATCCTATCATTGCAGCGGTTTGTGAGGGAACAGTGCATTCTTGAAACGTTCAGTGAATCTATCACTCACTGAGCCCAATTCACCAAGCACACCTGATAATTAGCATTAGCAACTAGCATTGACTTATAGACAAGTTCATTTTTACAAACCTGTTTGCCAAAGCAACACAGCCAAACACTCTCGTCTCTGGGTCCCAGAAGCTATGAATTGAACTAAATCCTGAACCGTTTAGCTATGTATCAGTTCAGGAGGTCAAAATCACAAGCTTCTCCTGCCATGCACTACATTATTCAGTGATTTGGTGAACGAATCTTTTGAACGAATCTTTTTAGTGAACTGATTCTAGTGGTTCAGTACATCTAAAAGAACTGCCTTTCCCATCACTATAGCAGGCCTTCAACCACGTGACAGCAGTCAGTATATGTCACAAACACACATGAATATCAATGACATGATGGAAAATGTGACACATTCACGTCATAGATAACAGAGGGTGAAGTTCACAGGTGTGTTGATGACCGAAGCGAACTGGTAGATTTTTCCAAGTTAGCTATTCCAAGAGTGGGGAGTGGGGTAAGATGAGCCAAAGGGTAAGTTGAGCCACCCCCTGTTGCTCTGAAATGGTAAAAGAAATTGATCATGTGACCAAATATTTAAGAGATGGGGATTAATTCATGGAGTCTGTGAAGGTTAGAAGCACATGGGTTAAGGGGTTAGACATTTATTACAAAAAAAAAATCATTTTTCACTCTTGAAAGTGAATTTAGTCTGTCATAAGTTTTATTAGAATTATGTTCAGACCAAAAAAGATCATTTTAAATTTGTTTTATACATCAATTGTGGTATCTATGAGCTACAACATGAGGTCCAACCCTAGCATTAAAATCCACCATTTTAGCTTATAGGACTAATAAAGTCATAATGGTAGTTCTGGGGTAAGTTGAACCAACTGGCTCCACTGAGAAAGTAAAGGAGTCTGATGAGAGGATCAGAGTTTTAGTTCAGATTGTTGAAATGTGTTACTTTTTCTTTCCAAAAATACAGCTGTGAATGTTCTGAATCACTTAAAGTTTTTACAAAACAGCTTTTTAGCAGTCATACACAATAATAATAAAAAGAAATAATGAACAAGTTAAATAGCGTATAATAGATAAAAAATACACATGAATGTGTGGAAGTGACTGTTTTAGGGAGAGAGAAGGTGAGGGAGGGCTGGGGAGGAGAGTGTGTGGGGGGGGGATACGGCTCAACTTACCCCTTATACACAAAAGACCTATTTTTCTCAAATGTTGTTGACAAATTTGTCTAAATCTGTGTTAGTGAACAGTTTTATTATACTTAAAACGAAACAGTTTTGATACTTGTAATAATGGCTTCTGCCACAAGAGGGAGCCCCTTTTAAAGTTTTCCAACCTATATCTAGTTTGGCTTGAAGGCTGTTAGTGCATTTAAGAGAAAATGTGATGTCAAAGATCGATGAGGTGCTCATTTAAGTAAATAATCACACGATTTTCAAACTTGTTGTCTATTTGTACCGCTTTGTTAAGAAGTATAAAACATTTAGAAACGTTTTGTAATAAATAATCAGATGCAGACTACCATCATTAAAGGAAAAAAGAAGTTAAGACATGCACTATAAACCCAAAAATAAGGTTGAGTGCAAGTTAACTATTCAGCCCTGAATAAACAAAACACCTACGCCTCCATCACACCCTCGCACACACACACTCACACATCCACCACTTTTAACACCTACAGACAAAACAAATGTTAGTGATTAAAATGTCAAGAAAAAAAGAGACGTGAATAGTTAGGTTGAAACAATGCTCACAGATAGTTTTAAACCTATTTATTACCCATAAAATGTTCATTTTGAGCCTGGCAGTGGAGCAGCTGGGCATTAATGCTGGAAAGTTAGAATAGGCTCTTAACACAGTTTGTCTCATCCAGTGAAGTAAGAATGAATATTCACGTAACCGGACGCTGATTGGCTAGCGTGCTCAATGACGCAATGCCGTTCTCATTACATATTCAAACAGCCTCTCTCTGCCCCTCTGCAATAAAGGCAGATAGCGGACCATGGGGAGCAGGGAAAAACTTTTTATACTGACATGTTAGCGCGATGACTTTTGAGTAACATCAGACTGGGACGAGGCTCCCGGCTCGAGGAGGACAGGGCCCTGTACGGCAAGAGAAAAGGAGCACTTGCCATCTGCCGGGGTACAGGAACGGAAAAAGCAAGACGGCGAAAGAGTTGAGACCAATCCAAGAATCAGCGGTGGAAAATCCAGTTTAGCCATTTGAATTGAAAGATGAGCTTGCTGTCTGCCATAGACACGAGTGCCTCCGTGTACCAGCCTGCGCAACTTCTCAACTGGGTCTATCTCTCCTTACAAGACCCCCATCAGACCAGCGCTTTTGACGCGTTCAGACCCGAGCCCAACTCTTCCCACCCGGATCTCAATTTCAGCAAGACTCCCGCAGCGGCAGACCTGAGCTCTTCCCTGAACTCCAACTATCTCAACAACTTCTTTCAGCTGCAGCGGAATGAGGTGAAAGATGGCATGCATTTGGCAAAAAAAGATTTCAAGTGGGATCAACTTTGTGGGCTTGTGGTTGAGTTTGCTACAATAAGAAAGCAGCTTGATTGATATGTTGACTGTTGCACGACTGTGCAGCAAATGGTTTAACATGTACAGCATGGGCTATTCTGGTAAGATAAACAGAACCACCATGCTATTTCCAATACAACTTTTAATGGTCTTACTGAAACAAAGCGCCAGACTTCTGTGGTAAAATAGTCCTTTTAAACTCTGGGTTATGCCATCACATTTCATGGAACAAGTAGTCAGAATCAGAAATAGTTTAATAATCCCCAGGGGGAAATTGCTTTCGTTACAGTACTAAGTAGAAAGAGTAAAAACAGTAAAAGAGGAGATAAATAATAGATGTAATAAAAGATAAAATAGATAAAATAACTAAAAATATAGAGCTAATATACAAGTATTTACACTATAAACAACACAAATAGTGACATCGTGTGCGTAGTCTATTATCATTTGGCCTATATGATATGGTAAATGTCATGAAGGATATGGGCTTGTGTAAATACCTTTAAACTCTTGTAATTCCATATAAAAAATACAGGAATATCATTGTTTCACAGCATGTATTTAGAAAACTACCAGTTATAAATGTCACAATTTAAATGACAAAGTGCCTTAGTTACACATAAAGTGGAGGAATGTTATAAGAAAGTTTGCAGTGCAATTTAAACTTGGACTGGTTAAAAAGGCAGGATCTTTTATGTAACTTTAAAGCTACATTTTACAGCAAGGGCTCCAAAAATGAACTTCATACAGGTCATCAAAATAACAGTAGTTAATTTTATTCTTGTTTTCCTTTTGCTTAAGAAGGTTTGAGCCATTGACTTACAGATTGAGAGGAAGAACTTGCAGAATTGCAGAAGCACAGTTCATTAACACCAAGTAAAGATGAACTACTCTTAAAAAAAATATAGTAAGATAGGGAGATAAATCATCTCCACATAAGAGCCCTGGACTTCAGTGATTTTTTTCAAAGATTTAGACAACATCCAAAGTTACCAAGTCTGCCCTTTAATCAGAAATATGGCTGTTTGTTGTGATTATATCAGGGCATAGTGATTGGATTTCTTTAAATTAAAGCTGAAACTGTCTATTTTGTACTCAGAGAAGTAAAGAGATCCCCTGCACGCCTCTGTCTGGAGACAGGGGGCCACTGCAGCCTCCTGCTGAGCTCCACCGTCCTCAAATAGAGCTGGTTGTGCAAACAAAATCAATCCTTGTTTACATATTGTCTATTCCTGTAGCTCTGTGTAATTTTAGGGACAAACATGCTGATAATGTATGCCAGGCTGCAAACCTGATCCTGCAGACCATGCAGTGCAAAAAGGACCCCACCGCCGCCACCACCACCTCCTCCACACCCAACAACCTAACCCACAAATACACATACATACTAGTCCAGCACACACAGACCAAATAATGACATACTGCAGGCAAAGTGGCGGCGTAAAGAAAGCACAGCGAGTGTCCTAGTGTGTTGATTGCAGTGCAGATGAGTGTCTTAGATCTATATTACAATGACGTGATGTGTATGAAACTCAAGTGGAGGGACGGACTACACTCTCCACCTTGAGTCAGTGTCCGTTGTTATGCTGGTAACCATAGAGGCCTTTTGAAGTAATTTAACATGAAACAGTCCACTGAAAAATGGGGTGTGCACATTATACATTACACGCAATTGTGTAATGCCATTCAATCCGCATGAGTATAAAGTGTTTCAAACTGAGAGAACATAAGCAGTCTGGAAATGGTTTAAGGGGTGGGGTGGGGGTTTGGGGGGCATTTTGCAACTTACTCTACAGACTAAGCCAAGTAAAATAAACCACTGCAGAGATTTGATGATGAGATGAGTAATGCAAAATGTGGTTGTTTTTGCACTGAAGGATCACACAACAGACTAATTGATGTTGAATCGTAATAGATACTCGAATTTGTTGTTTATTGTGACGCAAGTCAAGAATGCTCGCCGCAATTTAACATGCTGACAGGCTTTTTTTGGATGTTTGTTACTTTTTCTCCCTCATTATTGACTGCCAGGCTGAGAGGAAAAACAGTGTAATGTAAATTTGGAGCATTAATTACCCGCGCTGACTCATCTAACCCACTCTAATTTATAATGGAATTATTCTACATCAAATCAGTCACCTTAAAGCATCTCACCAGAAACCACAGCTCTGATTTAAACACACTTGTGCATGACTTTACTGTGAAACTTCATCCCTGAACACCACATCTTTGGTAACTGATATTCTACGATTGTCCAACCTCAACACAGACACTCAGTGATTGATAATGGAAGTTTTGTCCTCATTGTTTAAGCCAATACATACACATCAATCGGCACACACATATACACAATCTCTCCTCCTCACTCGTTCACTCTCTTCTCTACTCTCACAGTCACACAAAATAAACAAACAGTCTCGCCCGCCATTAGCAGATGTGTGTGAAATCACTTTCTTTTGGCCTGACTGATCTGTGAGGGACAATAACTGAGCGAAGTCTTTAGCTTTGCACCCAGACTTATATTAAGCATCAAACAAACATGTTCATTTCCATCAGGAGTGACAGTACACAGAGCTAAAAACACACTGCAGATGGAAAACTTGAGAAACTACAGAGCCGGGACGCTTGATTTACGACGACTACATGTAATAAATGAACATGAGTCTTAAAGCTGGAGCTGGTTAGCAAGACAATCTCACAGGCTGCAGATAAAGATTTGGCTTCCAGCCTCAGTCAGGTTGCCAAGTCTTGAGTTTCTGTGCTGTGCAACATTAAACATTGACTATAACATTATTTCCCAGACACAAACATGGCTCCCAAAATGAAATGAGGGATGAGAAAAGGTTGATCAGGGGATTTCATCATACCCACACACACTGAGCAGAACAACTCTTAAATGTCAAGACAGAAGGCTACATTACACTGTTGGCATCTTGACCACATGGCTTTTGTATAACCTGACAATCTGCCCTAAAACCAGCATAATTTAACCCAGAGTTCAATTCCTTTCTGCTGTTTCCGGACTGAATATTGAGCGGAGAAAGACATGAATGAGAGAGGAAATAAGTGACTGCAGGCAATGCTTTCCTGGTTATTAATATTCAGATGGCATCTTCCATGGATCCACTGGGTCCTGTGGCATGCACCGCAGCGTTCTGTGGCTCTGAGCATGCTGCAAACACTGACCATGGTTAGTTTACCGCCAACAGTGCATGGTGACACTGCTGATGTTCCACAGGCTGGCGATGGGGAACATGCCTCCCATCTTGTTTACAATGAGTCATCCTCTGTAAAGTCCTGTCTTTTTCTCTGTGGACATGCTCAGTACTTTTCCAGCTCATGAGCACAGCTGGGCCTCTCGCCAGATGTTCTGAATTTAATGAGAGAAATGATCTCGGATTTTTTTTTTTTTTGTGCAACAAAAAAATAGGACAGAGAGCACTGAGCGGAAATAGGTTATTTATCTCAACATTTTAACACTCCAAGCTGGGAATGCAACATTTTATGTGATACTGTCGTGCATTTCGTAATGCTGAGCAGCGTGTTCTTTATCAAGATGTCCCTGTTGTGAATTGTAAATATATTAAGTGTGAAGCCGCCCCAAGACTGCTGTTAATGTTTTGTACAAGACATTTGACTTAACACACTTTGAATAAAGAATCTGAAGAATTTAAAACCGTGTTTGATATTTCTCCCATTTCCTAGGCCTTAAACAACAATGTGTATAAGAATGTGTCGCCCTATGGCTCCCTGAACAACATCGTGGATGGACTCAACTCCCTGACGGACCACTTCTCAGACCTTTCCCTTTCCTCAGAGCCCAGAAAACCCAACAAAAGACCCCCACCCAACTACCTGTGCCACCTGTGCTTCAACAAGGGCCATTACATCAAAGACTGCCCTCAGGTGAGACACATTCAACACGCATGTTACATAACTGTGTTGTTTCACAAAGCATCATGAAACCACAACTGATTACTGTACATACATTACAAGTTTTGCCTTGCAGTAGTCAAATCTCTTCAGACTCTTCTGGTGACTTTTTATTTGGTAGATTTAATCCAATCATGGCAGCAAACACCGTGCATGCTCCAGCCAATGCATGTCACTCTGTCTTACTCTCTCTCTCTCCCTCTCTCTCTCTCTGCTCTGACCTACTTGTTAAACAGGCTGGCCTCTGTCTTCTGCAGTCATGTGTGTGAGTGTGTGTATACATGCGCTTGTGCGCATCTTAACTACCAAATCATTACAGTACAAGAAGCCATCCGTTAAAACTACTATAAATAAACCTTGGTGGGTAAAGTCAAGGGTCAAAGGTGAATGTGCATGGGAGTCATCATTTTAGCTTTATTAGCACTTCAGCGTGATTTAAAGAATCTAAAGCAAAGCGTCCTCTTTGATGCAGCTGAGAGGGGTTGAATAATCAGAAAAGTCACAGTCACATTCCTCCGCTTTCCTGTTTCTCAATGATTTAGTTTGTTGGGATGCAGGTCCTTTGTGAGGCACCATAAAAAATCCATCTTGAGGTCTACCATGGAGGTTAGGAGCTCTAATGTGCGACTAATGTGGTCTCAGCTGCTGTCATCTCCAAAATATAAATCTATCAGGGTAAGGAAAAGGAGAATTATGGGTTTTAAATGATTTCTGACACTTTACATAATGAAGTGTGGGCAGAAGCAGCTTTTTTTAGAAGAAGGACCTGATTCATGGTCTGACTTGCTGTGAGATGTTGATGCAGGTGTGCAATTACCAAATGTCGTCATGTAAATTAAGTCAAACTAGTCATAATTGAAGTAAAAAGTGAAGTTTGTGGAGTTGAGGAGTTAGAGAAGGAATGAAGGATGAAATTGCTGTGGTGGATCTGTCACTGGGGTGTTATGTAGCTCCTTGTAAAACAAACTTCATTGCTGGGACTGCGGCCTGGAAGTGATCTGATTTCATGAGAAGAACACAATGGTACCCTCCCTTAGAAATATGGAATATTTTGGAGTTGGGGTTTTTTCAGACTTGTGGTGGCTAATATTCTCCCCTCTCTCTTTCTGACTCATTTTTTTTTAGCCTCTCCCTTTATATTATTCTCTCTCCTCCCCTGGGTGAGGTGCAACAGCCTAACCCCAGCCCGAGTTTTCTCTTGCATGGAATGGTAATGAGGAGCAGATGTGAGATTAAAATGCTTTGACTCGCTTTATGACATATGATGACTGGTCCCTGGAGGTCTGTAAAAGACCTGTGTACTGATGAAATATCTCCTGGACGGCTCTCGACTGCAACGTGTGGGAATTAGATCATCTATTGACAGCTCTGAAGGGAATATGGGGCCTTAGCATATCATGCAAAGCAACCTTTGTCTTCATTTTTCCTTAGGTATAGCTGTAGTTGTTGATTTGACCATTGATCATATGACACTGATACTCCACGCTGAGGCAGATTAACATTAACTAATACGTTATGTAGCATATTTATCTTCCAAATCTGTAAAAAATTCAAATGAGTTATTTTAAGCGTGGCCAAAAAAGTTTCAATACAGCTTTATTTAAGCAAACACCATAGACAGTAGACAATGCAGACACAATCTTAGTTGTAGGCTTTCAAGAGTGGACCTCAATCTCACACTCAGCCGTCTTCTGGTTTATATTTCAGCTGTTCGTTAAACTGCCAACAGTAACTCAAAAAGCAGCAGCGTCTCCAAGCAGCCTCCCAGCCTACACACTTCAACACCACCACAGTTATTTAGGTCTCTCCTGGGCTTCTTTTCTCCATAAATTTACCTACCATTTGAGCTACATCACTTCTACACGATTGCTCGGTCACCTGTCATTGCCTGCCAGGCCAAAGATAGTTCTGCCTAAACTTAACCAGCTGGAGACCAAAATAACAGATGTGACATAGGAGTGTTTGACTTTCCTAATAGCCAAAACTTTCCTGAACAGTATTTTCATATCTCTCACTTGGTTGCAGAAAGGGGTAGTGATGCATTGTGCGCCTGTAGTGTTTCTGGTGTCTGCCTGCTCTGGAATGCATTGTAGGATGAATGTGTCCCGACTAACAGTTTGTCCTCTCTAGAGGTACTTTGCCAAAGAAAACAGAGGCTATTGCTTCACAGAGAGCTTAAAAGTGTGTCATCCTGATCCTACATGGAGAATTACACTCTGATAACATGTACAGCCTCCCTCTGTGTTTCATCTCGGCGTGTTTAGTCGTAGGCTGTGACTTGAATCTTTGAAGCAAGGTCAGGGCAGCTTAGATAATCCTATGAGTGGATGTGGAAAGCAAAATGCTGTGTATAGCTTTTTGTGGCAACTGTTAATGAAAAGTGGCACCAGGTGGCAAAGAGGCTGAATACAGAAAGGCATCACATGATCAACAAAATCTATCAGAGCTGTAGTCCCCATTGTGCGTTATAGAAATACTTGATGAAAGGGATGAGTGTCCAGTGAGGAAGCCCACCATATCCCCTCATATATGTTCCACTGATAAGTTACATAGCTCCACACAGCCTCTGATGCCCCTCACAACCCAAACATGAAGTTAGACAGGGAACATAACCAGTACATCACTGTGGTTATCAAGTGGGGAAGTTCAATCCAGAACCTCCCCCTCTATGCAGGGGTGTGCCTAGCAGCATGGCCAGAGGTGGCACTTGCCCCCCCTTAAAGGGATACTCCGGCGTAAAATCAGTTTAGGGTCAAACACACCGTAAGACCGAGTTAGACACCCCCTCGAGAGATTAATGTTGCCGACCGCTTGCTTCTCTAGTTATACCAACTTTAGTAACAACCGCACAATAGCAATACACAGCGGTCTTAGGAGCCATAAACAAACCTCAACCAAAACGCCACTCTATAAATAATGCTCAGAATAGCACCTAATTTAATCAACAGTACATATAGGGTCCTAGCCATAGCACTGGCCACCAAACATCTTTTTAACTTTGCCTGATTTCTTTAGCAAAGAGACTAAACACAACTCACCTACTCTCTTCCAGCAGCTGCATGTTTGTAGAGACCTCGGGCCAGTCCATTATGGACTGCAGCGGGGTGACACAGCTCAAGGAAGAACATTTACGATCATAATGATCATAAATGTTCTTCCTTGAGCTGCTGGGTGCTGTTCTGAGCATTATTTGTGGCTATAGAGTGGCGTTTTGGTTGAGGTTGTTTTACGGCTTCTCAGACAGCTGTTTATCACTATCCTGCGGTTGTTACTAAAGTTGGTATAACTAAAAAAGCAAGCAGTCAGCAACATTCATCTCTTGAGGGTGTGTCTAACTCTGTGTTACAGCATGTTTGACCCTAAATTAATTTTATGCCGGAATATCCCTTTAAACTATCCCGGGTGCTACTTCAGAATCCTTAGCCACGATTTATGATTTGCCTTGTCCTAAATCACCTTTTTGTTTGGTGCTACAACAGGCTGGCAATGGATTCATTTGAATATGTGTTGTGGTTGTTCTTAAAGTTATAAAGTTTTAGGCGACAACTGCTCTGTACTTTATTTTAATAATAGTTTTTAAAGTAAATAGTAAAGATGGAGAGGGTGTGCAATCAATTTTTGTGTCTTGGCACTGCTTATGTCAGTGCTGTAGTTTGGCCATCCAAACCAAAAATGTCTTCCTGTCCCTGGCCCTGTCTCCACGCTGGCTCTCGCCCCCAAATGTGACATGGGAAAAGAAAGAAGAAAAATAGATCAATGAGTCTGTCGGTGTTAGAAAGAGGACAGGGAAAGCAGAGCTGGAGTGAGAAGCCTGTTTGGGTTGGACCTCATCCTCGTCGGGTTCGGCTTTGCACTCTTCCTCCTCATACTATTCTAAAAATTTGAAACTATACATGTGGGACCTGAGTTTAAGATTCACTCCAGCACTGGTGCTTCTTCGTCTTTTGCTCTCTTTTACTTCTGTTCACCTGCTTTAAAGGTTAAGACTCGTAAGGCTGTAACATATCTGAGGTGGACAAAGATCTTCTGCAGTTTCTGTTTGTGTTGGTAATGTGATAATGTTGTAAACACAGCAGAAGCTTGTGGTTGTACTAAGAGAACCGTTTTTCAGGGAACTCTGGGTAGTGGAGTGAAAGCCGCAGGGCTGGCAGCTGCTGCCCAGTGCTCCCTGTCATGGGGACAGAGGTGTTATGTAAACTGGCTTTTATTCGGAAAATGAGGTCGCTCCCCCAGTTATGAGCAGAATGCCCCTCACTGCCACTCTCTGGCTCCTGTCCAAGATGTCTTCCACTTGCACTCATGATTTGGTTCTGTTCAGCGCACTAATCCCTTCAACAGTTGGCGCCACTTCTGATCAAAATGATGCATTGAACGGCATCTTCTTGCTATGTCTCCCTGAAGATTAACTCATGGAAAATGTCTTTGCAGGAATGCAGGTTTGTGGGTATGTGGGGGTGGTTGCTGCTGCTGCTGCTGTAGTGTGTGCGCTTGTGTGTGTGTTTTTTACATGTGTCTCAGAGTTACTCCTGGACTCAATGCATTCACCATTCTTGTGTAGTCCTTCAGCATCATAATTTCCCGGGCATGTTATTTTATTCTTCCAAACAATTTCAAACACTTTGCAGCTGGTAGAGCACTTATTCTCTTTTTATAACTCTACAAATACAGAAATATCCCACGTAACTTCCATCACCACCCCTGCTTCCATCCTTTCACCTCCTCTGTTAGAGTTCAAAAATCAAGGTGTAACTTAAAGCTCCTGTGGGGAATTAAGAGTTTGTCAAATTGCTGCCCCCTATGGACAAAGCAGCAATCCCTACCTGCTGACTGTTGACAGGCAAATGTGTCATTTACTGTGTTATTTAATGTGAAAAACGCAGAAACAGGCTGTTTCTTCAGCTGTTGGCCGACACCTACCCCTTCTTACGGGTTTCTGGCATTAATAAGTACAACACGAAAACCGTAAATGTTGTTGCTGATGGTTGTGTTTGCTTTTGGATATCATACAAAGGCATAAATATGAATTTCAGTCTGTTTCATAAAAGTCAAAAAACTCCTCACAGGATCTTTAACCCCTCTCAATAAAAACGATTTACCACTTTGCTGTATCAGGACACTTAACAATTATAAACTGATTTCAATCGATCAAATCGTGGCTGACATTAGTGAGTTTTTAGAGCGTTTACAGCTGTGGAGCCATAAAGCAGAAAATCAAGTTAAGACCCCAAAACAAACAAGATAAAAAGTGTTAAGTGAGCCTAACATAACAAGAGCCAGACTAGCTGTGTCCTCTTTGCTTCCAGTATTAGAGCTAAGCTTCGCTAACCTGCTGTGTGTTCCCTGCTGGTTAGTAAATAACACAATTACTCTCAACTTAAAAAAGGTAATCAAGTAATGTTAAAATGACACTCTAGGGGCCACTGTAGTGATGAAAACCTCCAGTATGAGACATCTTCAGCATGTCATGTATATGTTTTGTAAAATGAATAGCATGAATTCAAATGAAAAAAGTGTGTCCACTTGGCAAACAGTGAGACACGCCAAATTAAAAACATATTAAGCACTCAAACATGGATCATCCGGATCTTCCCATCTGTAAAAAGAGCAGGAAGTGCAAAAAGAAAAGAGGCATCAGAAACACATGGAGCTCATTGATCCCCGCACAGAGCCGTCTTTATCACACCAGTATAATGGGCCTTTTGTTCTAAAACTTATGGTGTCTGTTAAACTGGTGTGTCTATAGCATATTTTTATACTTGTTTTTTTCCTTTAATCCCCCTCTACTTCTATCTGTGGTCACATCTGACTTGACGCAGTGTGCTGACATGGATTCTAATAAGTCCTGTGAGAGGTGTATGTCAGTACTGAAGTATCTTTGTTTCATTTTCAGTCAGAGTGATGGCGTTTTTTCCTCATTCTTTAGCCCCTCAGTCAGCCAGACTCTTGGTTCAGTCATACCTATGTCTCCTGTATGATGTATCTGATCTGTCTGTGAGCATATGCCAATTACTGTGATGGACCTCGCACCTCATGTGGTGGTAGTTTCAGCAGCAGTCTGCGCTCTGTGACAAATGGTCACCATAATAGTGTCAACATAGGGACCTGTGAAGCGGGGGCTCTTCACATGTGACGCGAATCACACTTTAGAGTAACGTGCGACCCACCCAAATGTGTGTTTTTCTTTTCCTTCAGTCCTGAGGATAACACCTAATAACTCGTCATTACTGCCGCCCGCTTCGCCCATTATTACAAACATGGATGGTTGTTTTGCTTTTGAGTCTTTCAAAGTGCAGTAATGTTTTTTTACAGTCAATTTGGGATAATTACGCAACCACTTTGTGCAATGCTTCCGCTTGTTTCGAATGAGTGATTGGAAGAGAGTAGGGAGGATAATATGTCGATTGCACAATGCAAGTTTACAATTTACCACGGGTTTGTTTGATGTAAACACAGAGCTCCTCTCCTGGAAAACAAGTCCTTCAGTCCTGTGTGGGAACACCCAATTTCCTGTGTATTTCTAATATTAAGGTCTTCATTAAATCAAGCTGAAGTCCTTGGATGAGCTCAGCCATCTCAGATCCTCAATCCTTAGTCGTTTCTCTTGAGATTTAATTATTTGGAGAAAGAATGATCTACTCTTTCTTGAGCTCTTCAGATTGATCTTCTGTAAAACGGAAAGTTCCTGTTAGCTAGATGAAATATTTTATTTTATTCTGTACCAGTTTATAGGAATTTGGGGAATGGGTTTTTCCCCTTAGGTGAGTATTTGAAAATGAAGGGTAGTCAACCACATTCACATCTGGATGCCAAAGCACTTTCATGGTGTTGGGGTATTGGCTGTGTAAGTGTCCTGCTTATAGGTACATCTAGCTGGTCCTGGGATTCAAACCAGCACCCCTGCCCTTTACTTTATTTTATCTTCTGTAAAAACCAATTATTTAATCAAACAGACCAAGTCCAGTTCTATTTTAATGCACAGCTTCTAGCCTCAGCGTCGCCTCGCTTATATAAAATAGCTTGTCTTTAATAGATAGTCCAGTGCTTATTCAAGAGTTTTACAGTTTATATCGGCCTAACATAGCTGCAGACGTTAGTTGTCCCTGGAGACTAATGTTCCTGGGAGGAGAAAGAACATAGATCCTACATCTGTCCTTTAGCTTTTCCAATCTCTATTTAACCGCCTCCTGCTCTTCACTGCGAGATATCTGCAGGGAAATCATGTATTTACATTCTCCTCCGCCTCAGCCAGCTGTTTTCCCTCTTCTTGTCTTTGTTACAATCTCTCGGTCTTTATGCATCCTGCAGTTTGTTAACCCTGTCGATAAACAATCTTTCAACACCGCAGTCACACTTCAACATTTGTCCACAGAGACTGCTTCGCATTTTACCCTCACTATCTCTGCACTGCGAGGCTGGGGCTGACACGGCTGTAGTCGGATGTGTTGTTGCCACTGAGTCAGTCTGACTCAAACACAGCGAGGACACAGTGAAGGTACAGTTCGGAGGGCAGACAAGCAGAGAGACAGCGAGCCGGAGAAAGGGGACTAAGGGCACTTCCTCTGAAAGGAAATCAAAGTTAAAAGAATGATAAAAGCGCGGTTTCCTGCCAGCTGGTTTGTGTTCTGTATAGAAATCCCTGTCTTCCTCTCAGATTTTTGCTGAGACAACAATCACTCCGCTTCCTGTTTTGGTAACCATGACACCTCCAACCCCATCTCTGGGAGACGGGAACTGTTGAAACATCTAGTCAGGTAAACTTACAGCTGGTTCAACACTGCCATATAGTAAGCTCATCTGTGTAAAAAAACAATATATTTCCCTTTGGTGAAACTTAGCTGACTCTGAATCCTTCAGTAATCTCATTTTGGGTGGATTTTTCATTATTTGGTTTCATCACCATCAAACTGAAGACATGTTGTTTATCTTATAGTGACGATTCTTTTCGTCTGAGGTGGAGAGTTTCTTATGTAAATCTTTTTCCCAGCACACTGCTGTGAAACAAAGGCTGGAGTTAATAACAGCAAATAAACAATAATGTGTTTTGGGCAGTTGCTCGTCACATTGCTTTATGTAAGCTTGTCTCAGCAGAGCGGGAGAAAACCAGGTCAAGTCTTGTTTTAGAATCGAGTCTTCTTTTGCTTCAATCATTTACATTTTTTGTGCTTTTAAGTACCTTAAGTTAAAAAAAATACCTTTAAAATGTGACATTTAAGTATATGGGTGATAGGATCATCTTCAAGGAGAAGCGCTGCAGTTACAGTTGTAGCACTTTGCCTTGTTTTCTTAACTCAATGTCAGTGTTATGGGGGTCAGCAGACACACACTGAGGCCTCAGGGACAGGATGGTTCTTCTTTCGCTGAGGGAGGCGGGAGGGATCACGGGGTCAAAGGTCAGATTTTCACAATAGCATGATGTCGTGTTAGCTCACCCACACCGAGGAGTGTTGTAACTCGTACTAAATGCTAATGTTGTGTCATGTTACCTTCATGCTGACGTATCTTTAATTAAATATGATCAGACCTACATTGATGACACCCTACACAGCAGGGGGTATATACTGTTCATTTATCATTAATCCTTTATAAATCGTCCCAAACTTGAGAATTTGCCACACTTGCTGGTCTCACATCATAACTTTTTGACTGTTGTTAAGGTCACGATAATACATTTTGAAGATTTGATGGTTTCAACTTGGAATTGAAGAAAATGTGTTGGGCTCTGTAAGCTTCTGTCTGATTTTTCACAGATTTATAACTATTTAATTATCCGGTCAGCAGATTGATATTAACAATAAATTTCAGGTCAAGGTCCAGCTGTGAAGGTCCCTTTAAGTCTTGTATTCTTTGATGTATTTAACATTGTTAAAATTATAAATACTAAAAGCCAATTGGAGCTCAATTATATGAACACGGCATTAGATATTAACAGACTTGGAAGGCACCTGACATCAAGAGTGTGTTACGATACGATAAGATTCAATATGACACGATATAATACCATACAACACGACACGGTACAATACGTAAAGATTCAATATGATACCATATAATACAATATGATACCACATGATACACGATAAGATTCTATACGACACGATACAATATGATAAGATTCAATCTGATACGATACGAAACGATACGTTACGACACGATACAATACAAGAGATTCAATATGATACGATATGATATGAGATGATAGGACACAATACAATACGATAAGATTCAGTATGATGCAATATAATATGATACGATACAACATGATACAATGCAGAGATTCAGTACGATACGATACGATACGATAAGATTCAAAATGATACAATATGATACGACACGATACAATACGATAAAATTCAATATGATACAATACGATACGGTATGAAACGATACAATATGAAACGATACGATATGATTTGACACGATACAAAAAGATAAGATTCAATATGATACGATACATCGTGTTATGGTATGATGAAGTATGTTATGATATGATAAAGCATAATAAAATGTAATGCCGTTTGGTGCAGTAGGGTATGATACTGTTATACTTCAAAGAGTAGCTTGGTATTCTTTGGTATAATACTGTACTGTTTGATACAGTATAGTACTAAACAGTATGAAACAGTGCTAAGATACAATAGAATACGATATTCTCATTCTTGACTCATGTGGACGACAGAGATTCTTCCGTGAGACAGACTGACGGAGAGGACGGACAGACAGACAGAGACACTGTGAAGCTGCGAGTGCTGGCACACAGGACTGGGTTTGGTGTCAAGAGATCAGGGACCGACACTGCTGGCTTTGTGTCTTGCTTGAATGGGCACCTTAGGGAGAGATTGTGGTTGTGAATGGGCACCATTGGGGAAAGCCCAAGTGGTGGGAATGGAGGCTGGTAATTAAGGCAGTCATTGTATGTCTGTAGGATCTGTCGGACAGGGAGGTCAGGAAGGCAGGCCCCGTATTGTTCCCTCAGCAGGGCCCTCACTGCATCACAGTGGTGCGTCAGACTCAAGTATGTTTGGACAGAGCCTTGGATCTTACAGAGAAAAAAAGAATTACAACAACAAACCACACAGGCAGTCCTATACAGCCTGCTTGTCTATAAGTCAACATATAGACTATAGGGGCCTCCTCTGCGGTTTTGATTTTGTAGCGGTTTTCTCTCCCCTTTTATTTTGAAGGGACTTAAAATCCTGATCCGACAGACTATCCAGAATCCAGAGCCCTCTGAGGGATCAGTTCTGTGTAAGCCATAGATTAGGACACAGTTGAGGCTAATTTGTTAAGTTTTATTTCTCTGCACTTGTGTAAATAAACTAAATAAGAAAGAAACAGTAGCGAAAGCATTGTGGTGAAAAGGGGAAAAACTGCCCACAGAGGAGTTACTCATTTCCTCTTTGAACTAACACAGAAGTTCAACATGTTTGAAAAATGTTCCGCAGAGTTTTATTTTTCAACCTCAGGCTGAATAAATTCTGTGAATATATTCAAGAACGGGGCATAAATGTCCCGCATAGTCTGAATGGACCATCGGCAGAACAGTGTAGCTGCATTAATTTGCCTTTGTAATCAGAGCACACTGTGAAAAAATCTCACCTTGTGTTTCGTAAACAAACATGATACATACTCACTTACTTTCCACACACACACACGCACGCACACACACACACGCACACACACACATATTATAAAGTATATTCAAGTCATTTTCATCCCATGAGGGGACTCCTGGATATTTGACTTAAATCGAGAGTGTCTAGTTGGATGATTATGAAACTGGGAATTACTGACATTACATCTCAAAATAGGAGATAAATCTGTGTTATGATACATGTCTTTAGAGATAAATGTATGCAGTATATTTGAACAATGTTAATGCCACTAGAGGAGACAACTGCACTTGAGTGGGAGGGGGTACACCTGGAGGGATTAGATTTCTTCTGAATCTGCAGTTAATATAATATTGCAGGATAACTCATAGGGATAACTTTAACTTTAATGTAATGCTAATAAATTTGTTATGTTTGCAAAATTCTGTGGGATTTACAGGCCTTTTTGCAGACTGAGCCATCCAACTCTCTTCCACTGAATTTATGATATTTCTAAATACCCCAAAGAAAAATCAATGGGACTTTGATAATGCCATTGTTGTCAATATGAAGATTTATTTGCTCATTCAATATTTCTTACTTCCTGGAAATATATTGTAAAAAAATTGAGAAATGAGACTTTTTGATGATAGAAAACAACTTGAAACTTGTTCTCTTATCGGAGTTACTGTATCTAAAGCTATAGGCCTGCAGTGTTTGATACAGAAGTGATATCATTCATATAAATAAGAAGCCACCCTTAACCACCAAGAGTTTAATATGACTTATATTGACATAATTTGAACTTTAGCATTGTAGGTATTTCAGCTCATGAGCTATATGGACTATGTTTGTGGAAGAAATCACATACTTTACAGTTTTGTTTACTCACTTCTTTACGGCTACAATTTGTTCCCTCTAACTCCAGCTTAATTTTAGGTCTTTTCACAAAACGTATGCGGGCACTTTGGTAAATGTTGACTCGAAAATAGATTTTGGTGTCTGACCCTTTACTTACTGAAAAAAAAAAATAACCTGCATTTCACTTCAGCTCCTTTTTTTTCCTGTTCCTCCTCTCTGACTGTACACACTGCCCTGTAGTATGTCGGGAAGTTTCTGGCAGGGATGAGGGTGAGGGGGAGGTGCGCCATGGGAATGTTTTCACAGGCTGACCCCCTGATCTTCCTTCCAGTTGCAGCAAAAAGGCTCTGAAGGCCCCTGCGTCTGTCTCTGCTCTAACACTCACTCAATCAGGTTAGCAAAGAGCGAGAGAGGAGCCGGGGCTGTAAACAGATAAGGCTTATCATCAGGGATGCTGGAGACACGCAGTATGAGACTGCTCCGCTCTTTTATAGTGTCACAGCAGACTGACGACCACTTTCAAAAACAGATGTGGCTCCTACCTGTCAACATATTTTATTTTTGTGCAGTTATACAAAGAAAGGGCCTTTATAGCAAGAGAATTTAGCATCCATATAGGGCCATAGGTCAGATATAGCATCCACACTGAGATTAGCAACACACGTGCACAGTATATCCGGCAGGGAGACCAACAGAAATATACGGAGACACTCACAAATACATCCGCCCACAGACACACATACACACAGGCATCACATTCAAACATAGACAGCGGTAGTATGATCTTCCTACAGCAGATGACAAGATGTTTTGTGCACCTCTGTATGCCCCAGTCTGACACCCAACCTGCTCTTGTCATTCATGAGCCGGGTAACCCAACGCGGCTGTGCAGCTGCACAACTTTTCAGGCTTAGTGGGACCGTGGCTAAGTCCAGGGCTAGAGGAGGGCAGGGGGGGAATTCACACCCACAGCCTCACTTAGCATTAGCCCTTAACGCCCTGTAAATATGGTAAGTGTAGGACTATGGTAAACTTATCCCACGCCTCTGAAAAGCCGGTGATTTCATGGAAAGAGCTCAACCAGGTCAGATTCCAAGGCCCAGTTGGCCTGCGCTCGTGTTTTCTATGAATGAAGCATGATGAGCAGGAACGGTTTTCTGTCAAAAACATCAGCTTTTTAAAAAAGAGGTTGTTTTTGGTATGAAGGAAAAACACCCACACGCTCGACTCCCAGGGGTTTCCATCAGCCATCCCAGAACATGACACTGAGATCCGTGAACGATTAAGGAAGCCGGGTTGTGGAAATCTAGGAATCTGGGAATTGGGTTTTGGCACAGGGAGCCCTGGCATGGTGATATCCCTCTGCAGCTGTCTCGGACACGAATGACGTGGGTCTGTTACCGAGGAGAAAATCTCTGACAGACACACATGACCGTGGACACACATTCACACAGGCTAACATGGCATATCCATACCACCTGCATGACTTATATACGCTTGTTAAAATGAGCTCAGGCAATAAAACTTAACACTGAACTTTATATTAAAATAGTAAACAAATATCATCTCGTATTTTGGTGGGAAAATCATGCATGAGTACAATTAATCATAACACTAAAATCAGCTGCTTACAACAACTCATAACATAAGACCTCCACCTCCGGTTTATCAAAACAACCAGAAATTGCAGGTCACTGAATTTTCATTTGTAAGCAATAACATCATTAAAGATGACTTAGCTGAGATTAATTTTAATCTAAATAAACAGATAAGCATATTGTAACGTCGACTTTTCCATTTCTTTTTTAGTATTTGAGTGCCGCATTGTTTTTACAGCAATTTTGATCCTCCTACTCAGCAAGGAATCCGACTGAAAATCTGTTTTTGAAGTCAGAAATGTAGAATGGATGTTTATGGGTTGAAGGAAAACAGCTTATCTTGTGCAACTTACCAAAAAAACCTTCTCTAGGGGTATGTCTGAGGTTTTTAGGGAAGTTTGCGATCTTGTGTTTACAGTCATGCTTGGATTATTTGTTCTTTGCTTTATTTTAAGTCTACCAATTCAACCAGAAATGAAACGAACAGTTTTATGATGCAGTGCACTCTTCAACAGTTTCGCAGTGGGCATTCATGACATGTAAAAGCCCCAAATACCTGTTTTGATACTTTTTGGCAGAGCGTCTCCACTTATCAACCTGACTGACAGCTGTGGGTTGTTTTATCTTTGAAACAGCTGCCTTGATTTACCTTTTCCCTGTGTGATATCTCAGCATGTCAAAGAACAGACTAAACAGAAGTGATACGTCCAGAACAGTTTGAGGACTTTGATAGAGAAATTGTCAAATCTTGGACTGTTGTAGGGTCAAAAATACACAATATGTGTGTGTATGTGTGAGTGTGTTTGCCGTAGCACAGTATCAGTCTTATCCAGAAGAAACACACACGTACAGTACAAAGACACACAGAGCACTTCTGCTGCCAGCAGAGGCCATTTCCTAGAATGAACTATTTTGGCGTCACCATGGAGCTGGAAATGGACTTGTGGTTATTTTTTAAAACAGTTGGAGTGGTTGTCCTCTTGAAATCTTCCCCTCTGTATCACAGTGAGATAACAAACCCATTTATAAAGACATGTAACCTCAGAGGTTGGGTCCAGAAACCCACAAGGGAAAAATACATCACTGCTGCTCACTTGAAATATTTACCTTGGGGTCATTTAAATGCATTTCTCTGCATCCGAAAAAGTCTGCGCTGGTGATTTGTGTTGGGTTTGACATCCTCTTGGGTTGCCTGTTTGCCAGCTTGATTATATACTAGAATTGTTATGGTTTCTTTCCACATAACACATTTTTATCTCTCTGTCCCCGTCCACAAAGTACACTAGAGCAAGGTTAAATGCAGAAAAAGACTTCATGACAGCACAAATGCCTCCTGAGCATATTTAGATCTGGAAACAACTGGGATGTGCTAGTAAACTGCTTTTTATAGTGTAATGAAATGTCAAGCACATCTGAATAGCTTAAGTAAAGAGGTTCCTTAATATGAGACCTTTTTAAGAATAGCACCCTGACCCACATGGGTGCAGGTTCAGACAACTGGGCGACTGACCTGCGATGGAAAATTTAGAAGACAAGTCATATTGAGTAATAAGGTGACATATCTTTGTCAGTGAGTCTATTTTAACAGCGCATTAATACATTCCCAAACTAAAGATAAACAGTTTACATGTCAGTGTGTGTTTTTTAAGTGGTATATTTATCTGTGCAAGAGCATATTCTGCAGGTGTTCAGAATAAAAGATTACCAGTCCATCCTTGAAAGTAGCGCTGATATACAAGCTGTCTGCTTGTCACCACACTTAGAATAAATGAGGTGACTGATACATTTAAAGATAATCAAATATATCTGGGAATTAAAGGTGCAGTCAGTCTGTGGTTTATAACAGCATTTAGCAGAACAGACTTAGTAGAAACAGAATAAACTCATTTTATTTCTCATTTCTATACACTCTACCTTAAATAAGATTTTTTTTGGTCAGCCTATGTGGCTAAAGACAACTTGATATCGCACAATCCCGCTGTCCGTATCCGCCACGAAATTGGCCTCGCAAACGGATCCGGTAGGAATTGGCGTACAGCTAAAATCACTGTATTCGCCGCCGTTCCGGATGCGAGCCGTTCCGGATGCAGTGGAAATCCTGGGTTATGGTCAGAAGATATTCAAGCATGCAAAAGACATGATAAGAAAAAACTGCTTTATCCACAGGGGGCACCAAAACTGTCAAAGTGCCCCATAGTAGCTTTGAGAACCATGGCCTCTGTTTATGGGGCACACAACTTAACCGCTGGACCAAACTGGTGTCCAAGGGTGAGATTTTTAATGAGAAAATACTACAAACACAACAAGATTAGTCTTGATCCACGGCTTTGTCTGCATTGGCTCCTAAATTTGGGGCTTTTAAAGAGAATGAAATCGTGAATGTGCAGAGGTTTCCTGCACAATCTTGAGCTATTTTGTCCATTATAAATATTAGTGAGAGGGATCCCTGATGGAGACGTACAGTGTTAGAGATATGAACAAATATCTGCAGCTCATGATAGTATTAAGATATTTTAAAGCTCCTCTGAGGGATTTTTGGTTTCTGTTGATCTTGGCACTCCCAAAGCTGTACATCTTATCTATTTGGTGATATTGCTCCGTGCATGCAAAAGTAGAGTTTTCAGCTGTCTTTAAATAATCAAAAATAAAACTTCCCTTGAATCTTTGCTGCTAAAAATGTAAACATACTGTTCTGAACTGCCTTGTCTGACATCTACCCTGTGGTTTTGGTTTGAGGCGTTGAAAATGGTGCTATAGAAATACACATCCTTCTTCCTGATGGCTTTGTTTGCTGTTTTGGGTCATTAAAAAGCATCAATGTTAATTTTATTCTGTTTCGTGCTAACCTAAAATCTCCTCACAGGAGCTTTAAATATGCTGTAAGAGAGTAGATGTGGAGCTGGGAAGCATTTGAAACATAGATCTCCAATGAATGTCTATATTTCTCCACAGCAGCTCATGTCATAATGTCCGAAGTGCATGTAGCAGGTTAAAGCCATCGCTACAAAACCCTGAGGTTCTTTGTGGTTTGTGTTTACAAGCAACATTTAGTTTGCTCAAGTTTGAGGTTCAGTGCTTAAAAGCTTCAAGAACCACATTTCTGAGGCTCCAGCTGTACTGAAAGAGACCCGACCACATGATTAATAGATATACAGTTACTGAAACACTATTATGAAAAGTTCAGGAAATATTTTCTTGTCATGTCTGAGAAAAGGATAAGGCAAGATTGACGCTTTGATCTTTTTTGATGTTTCACAGAGTAGAACCAGTTCTCAGGTTGAAACCACATCCAGGTTCCTGCCTCCCTCTCCCCTCCTTGGCGCAGCCGAGGCTAGCACGCTAACTGAAACCACATTAAAGTAATTAGGAGCCTTATCAGAAATGCTACGGTTAATGAGCAAACCAAACAAAAACTCCAAAAAGACTTAAAGCTAACATGGTGGACTGAACCCTATCCGCTCTATCTGTAAATCCATCTCTTTCTGAACTGCGGCCAAACCAAACACAGATCCTAAGATGAGGACAACACAAGTGCAGACAAAGATATGCTGCACTGACACACTCGTGCACGCTCACACGCAACACACACAGGTTTTTCCGGGGCCTGGTTTGGTGTTCTTGTGTTGCTCTCTCTGACTGATGTCCTAGGGGATGCAGGGAGGCGGAGCGGGGCCTGAGCTCCTCCGCTGCTCCTTTTGTTTACACTGATGGTTTCCAGATGCTAGCTAGTGATCGGAGCGCTTCGGAACGCTGGGGAGCAGCCCAGCAGTTTGGGGCTTGAGCCAGCTCGCCAGGATTAAGGCAGCTTCATCTGGGATACTTAAGAAAAAAAAATATGACTTTGTAATAACTCTGCAGCTATTTCCAACCACTTTACAAGAGCTGATCGTAGATATTTGAGTGTCACAAGAATTTTTCCCATTAATTTGGGTGACACGTGCAATGCTCAATAACATCTAGGTCACTCAGTTTGAGTATTCGTCACAGAGTTTAGGCTGTGATTGAATGCATCTGACTATAATCAGCATATTTGTTTAACTCAGTGATTTGATTGTATGTTTCTTGAAACAGGCTCCATACTTTGGCAGCTTGTCCATGATTTTCTGCACAGCCCCGACGTCGGAGGGATATTGTTTTTTTGTAAACAGAGGCGCATTGTGCTCGATTGGGGGCAAATTTATCACTTAAACAGCCCACCTGTTCCCCTCGTCACTTTCAGCCTCAGCCACTTTTCTTTACAAGCATTAGAAGGAGACAGCTGCACCCGCAAAGGAGCCGTCCAGAGAGAGGGAGGGGAGAGGAGAGGTGAGAAAGATGGCAGCGGGAAAAAAAGGGAGACACAGCAAACAGTGGCTGTATTTAGAGCTTGTAGAGCATGGTGGGATTGATAAATAGTTTCCCCCATAATGCACCTGGCTGAGGTTCTGGCACGGGGTTGGAGCTGTTTAGTCCAGCAGCGGAAACAGCCAATAAAAAAATGCTTGTTCTGTGTGCTGTGACACACAGCTGAGGTGGTGACAGTGTCATTCTTGTGAGAGACTTGAAGCAGTGGCCATCTGCACGGCCTCACTTGGCCCTCAGTTCTGACTCACAGGCTGATTTAAATCTTTATTCTTTAGCTGCTGTGATGTCAGAAAACAAAAGTGTTGAGAGTTAGGGGCTAATGATTTGACAAAGATGCACAACCTCTCCTGAATGAGCCGATTTGTTCCCCTCATTTTTTTTTCTAGATTGTAACATAATGGGACGTGTGAAAGCCAGTTTTTTTCTCTGCATATTTCTCATCTCCTCAAAACTGTTTGCCTTGATGTGGTCTATCCAAACCAAACTGCGCACCAAGAATAATTGTGCAAGAATTATTTGCCCCATATGACCAGGAACGTTCCTTCTGGTGTGGTCTGCAAAACATCCTTAGGCTATTTCTTTGACAGTGAGTTTCTCAGAGCTGAATGGGAGTCTTGTGCTTTGACTCACTGACCTGTCTGGGTCTCATGTAGGTCTGTGGTGAGGTGATGGGAAAATCAAATTGTGTGGAAGATTCTCAGGTTATCAGAAAATACATCAACATTGTAGTTTTATCTGTGAATCACATTTACGCTGTCAGGAACCTTGACTCAGACTTTGCTGTTTCTTTAAGGTAATAACAGGCTGTTCAGGAGCTGACGTGTATCTGATGTGTTGCATAAATTTAATGCTTGCAAGCTACTGCTGTATATGGAAGTGCAAATTCAGGGCAAAAGGGTTTTTTTGGGGCCAAATATGAAAATAATTCTTCAATATGGGAGCATTACCATGTCCTTAAGACAGATCAGCAATATTTATCAAGTGTTATAGGCAGTGAGCATAATTCCTTTTACAGCTATGATTTATAATGCTCTATATCTTAATACAAAGGAGAAAAAACAGCTTTTAAATGGGTTTAAATGACAGATTATAACTCTCAAAACTTCACCTGGTTATAATGGATCATATATAATTATTTCTATGTGTCATTAAAAAATGTTATAATTTCTTTAACTTTTTAATAAAAAAATGCCATGTAAATACTTACAACCTGCTAAAGCGTATTAGATTAATTTCCACTTAAAATTACAATTTTTACAACTGGTGCGTTCTATTTTTTTAAAGGTAGTGTAGGGAGTTTTTAAGGGGTTGGTGAACAGACTGAATCTGAAGCTGAGGGCTGAAAATTTCACGTGTTTCAACTGTTTTATACTTTTAATGTCATATAATCACGGTGTGTGATACGTATCACTGTCAGGAGACTAAAGGATGAGGTTTTTGTCTGGAAACTAGACTGTGTATTCTATGGACAACTTGGTTCCGCCTTCCGTCAGTATAAGGATTTGAAGCCAAAAAGCTCTCGGTAATTCCACGTTTTCTCTCCATTTCCTGAAACCAACATTGCGCAGTAGCGTTGTATGCATTCGGCGGGAGAGTCGCCGTGAGTCGCTGTGATGACGCTCAGCTCAGACAGAGTATCCCCCGGATGAGCTACACAGTCTTCATACACCCACAGGCTGTATCAGGTGTCAATCATAGAAAACATGAACCCCCTCATAACTTTTAAAAATTGAGCTGCACAGAAAAAAGAGAACTTGAGCACAAACCATTTATGTTCTGTGTGATAAATTTCTAAAGTTTGTCCACAGCCCCATAAGCTTTGCTGGCAGAGGCGGGATTTATGACCTATACTGTAGCCCGTCACCAGAGGGTGCTGTTCTTGGAGTGGCTTCACCCAGCGAGGAGGCAGACAGCGTCCATTCTATAGACAATCTATGGTCTGTAAACATTACTGTCGCATGTACAGGACATGAAATAAGAGGCATCACTATGTCCACAGGGGGCGCCAAAACCAACACAAACCAAAAGGACCTAACAGCAGCTCTAAAATCTGTATTTCTTCATATATTACAAAGGGAAATTTTGAGGCTGTAAGGTCTGATTGGCCCACTGGATGTGAGTGGAAAAACCTCCACTGTTAACAATACTGTATTCAAGCAAATAAACGAACAAAGTAATAGATTTATTTCACTTGGCTTTGTACAGAACCCTTTGTTTTTCTTCTTTCTTTCTCTCCCATAAGTCACACAAACCATCACTTCTCATTTTAAATGTTTGGTTTCATTTGAAGAAATTTCAAACATTTAAAGATTCGGCATTATTCACATGTAGCTGAGCTGAATCCGCCAACAAAGAGCCTGCTCCTCAAATCCAGCCCTGTAAAGTGTTTGCGTACAATTACTACTGACCATTTTCCGAAACCTCAGTGTTGTTATACCCACTTAATCCTTCGCTTTTCCCAGTAGAACCGGACAAACCGCTGAATGGCATGTTGAATTTGCATAAAAACCTAAGCTTTACAGCGCTGTCTCCTCTTGTTTGCTGTATACTGTGTGAATATGCGGATTCCTCATCGAGTGTAAGTTCATGTCTCCTCTGATCTGTCAGAAAGTATCAAATCAGGATCCTCAACCTTGAGAGTATAGAGTGGCTCCTCTTTGGTTTGGCTAGGAGTGGGCGTCTAATATTAAACCAAGGCTAACCTCTGCTGTAGCTGGAGACAGAGGATTAAGGGTTCAGGGTTTTGGGCGAGTGTATTCAGTCTGGTGTCTGTCCACTGCTCATTACTCTTTGCCTGGAATGTGAGATCAACACAAACACAAGATCACCTTTAGGCCTCAGACAGTCTGTGGTCTGGGCTGCGTCTTTCTTCCTAGTGGTCAGTAATAGACAACTTTGTGTGATATAAACCGAGGCTGAATTATGAGCAGGTTTTGTGGCAGAATCAAAAACCCAAACTGCACTTTTAGAGTCAGATGTCTGGCCTGCATTCCTTACAGTCAATTTCACGGTATTAACTCAATTACCCTGACATTTAAAGGCATCACAGTGGGTGTCGTCTAGACTGGAATCCCTTAAACAACTCTTCATCTACCTGTAACGGTGTGCATGCTTCAAATTCCTAATATCAGTCTGTTTGTTCAACATATGTGTCTTTAAATTCAACCCCCCAGAGAATCACATTCCTGCACATGATAATAAGTCCAGTCCACTGTAGTGAAGGCGGGAGCTGCAGCGGTTAGTTAACGCTTTTTTACCCACCCACCCCCCACTCCACCTTTCTCTCTCTCTTTCTGTTTCTGAAATGTATGGCCCTAATTGAAAGCAGAGCAGTGATTTTACGACGGCTCTCAGTGTTTCTGGTGTTCTGCCCCTATGGAGGCCATCTGCTTTGGATTTAGATTTCCTCCTCCTCTCTCTCTCTTTCTCGTTTTCTGTCTTTTTCTCCCTCCACCTTCCTGAGAGGGGGCTGATTGGAGGGTCTCTCAGCAGTTAGGTCAGGCGACTGTAGGGCTTGCGGTATTTGTTCACTTTTCTTTTTCTACTCATGTGTGGATGTTGGAGTCTGACTCTTGAGCAGCAGGTTTTTTAGACCCCCTTTGTTGAATAAATTCCTTGAAGATCAGGAGGCTGTTTCTTATTACTCTTTCTCCCTCTCTCTCCTAATGAGCTCTCTCCTCTTCCTGCTCATCTTGTCCTCTTGTAATGTTTTCAGGACCTTATTTCATCTCACTGCCTCCAGCTCAGCACTGTTTGTTCTTTCTAATGCGTCTTACGAGTTCATCAATCCTGTGCTGAAATTTTGAGTGGGAGCAGTGCAGGAAACCGTGCACCGAGAATTTCCAGTTGTGTCTCAGGAGTGTATGAAAACCTCTGGATGTGGAATTTGTTGAGAGTGTGCGCCTGTGTCCACACGTGTGTGCGTTTGTATCTGGGTGTTAAAGGGGACCTGAGGGACGGGAGAGCGAGGCATTGTGTGTGGCCGTACCCTATGTCGAGATTGCATCAATGAGTATGTGTGTGTGTCACGTGCGTGTGTGTGTATACACGCTTCATTTAGCAGTTCACTGACCTGCAGTGTGTGTGATATGATGTGTCCCTGCTGTGATCTGGACCAAACAAGGATGTGGTCAACTAGATGCGGTTGTAAAGCTACACTATGTCCTGTATGGTCTCCCGCACTGACCCTTATTCTAACAACACACAAGGCTCTAGCCTCGGAAACGTAAACAAACAAAGATTTAGCACAGTCCGCTAACATCAAAGTGATACGACAAACACGGTTTGCCTTCTGCAGGCATGAACTCCATCAACCGATTCTGCGTTTTAAATCTTTCTTTCCACTTGACGCACATCCAGAATGCTCTAAATGGCTCAGATATGGCAATTAAGCCTGGTCTTGGATGATTTTATTTGTAGAGAGCGAAGGAAAACAAAACACATCCTCCCATGCAGCTTCATCTCCAGGGTGTTATGTGCCGGGATGACGCAGTTCCATTAAATTAGTCATTCTACCATGTGTATTGTGAACGGTTTGTGCATGTCGCTTCAGAGGCAGCAAAGCGTGGTTATTTTCCTGGAAATCAGGCCTAACTAAAACATTTACTCAGTGTTTCTAGTGTTTACAGCTGAGCGTTTTGATTCCTAATCCACAGCAGCAGTGTCAATGAAAAAGACAAGCCCGGTCTGTATGTTTGTGCGTAGGTGCAGAAACCCAAAGCTTCCTGCATTAGCCGGAGTCGTCTTTCCCAGCGTCCCGCCTCCGCTGGCAGCAGTGGCACAACAGTCCAGATGTTATTGTGACATTGGTTCCCACGTGTTTGGGGGTCCAGCGGAATGCGCAATACCAACTGTGGTACTAAAGTTTATGACTACAGAAACAAAAAATTTACTTTTTATCCGAGACCTCCATGAGAGGCAGAGTGTTGCAACGGCGTGACCACAATGTGAGCACAGAAATCACATTTATCACCAGAAATGTCCAAATAAGTTTTGGATTACTCTGCAGTTGAGCAACTTAAAGTGGGGGGCATTTTGTGGAAAGGTGAGCTGATGATAAACATGTTAAATTGTGTAATTCAGTACAAATTCACTCCTGCTGATTTAACTCAATTCATATATCAACTGCAACCAGAGCTACAAGTTGTTTAATGCTAAATTTTTTATTTATATCAGTCAAAACTTTTTATGACTCAAGGTGGCACATTCCTTTTTTCTTTTTTATCTGCTTTTTTAATCAATATTTTATCTAGACTATATTTGACACACACTTTTCAAGTCTTATTGAAGAGCAAATAATGTATATTTTTAAGAAACAGACGTGGTAGGTTCTTGTTTTTACACCTTTCAGATAAAATAATGATTTTAATGACTGAAAATTAATTTGTGCCATTTAATTAAAATAAAAACGTACTACGTGTGTGTATCAAACACTTATGGCATCAACTGATCCCCATAAAAATGTTGCGTATTGGATAGATGACAGAACAGGGCATACCTTCAGCTATATTTTAGTAGCACACTCAACAACAACCTAAAGCTCTTGTGAGGAGTTTATGGTTATGAAACAGACTAAGTACATCTATAATGTAATTTTTATTACCTGTAACTGCTGTGAGGGTGGTAGGTACACTGAAGAAACAGCCTTCATTATTTTCCTCTGCAAATATCATGTAGAGTGATGAATTAGTCTGCAAAGACAACGGAGACAGTTTTTTTGTCAACTAATAACACTTTAACAAGGAAACGACAAAACCAGCAACGATAAAAGGGTTTCCACTTTGCCCACAGGGGGTGCTAAAGTCGACACAGACAGAAAAGCTTCATGTGCTCAGTCATCAGTCATCATGTTCTCGCTGTCTTTAGAAATTACACGCCGTATTCCACGGCTGCGTAACAGTTATTGAATGACCTGACTTCTTTGGTAACTGTTACGTTAAAACTAAAGTCATAACTCTGCCTCAGTGGTTGAATAACTTTGGCTATTTTTGAGTCACTTAGTTCCAGATAATCATTGAGTTGCTGCAACTTTTTTTTTTACTGGCGCTGTAGATGTGACTCTGTTGTGAAAGAATATAACTCTAATTTTCAGACTAAAATGGACTAACTTTTTTACCTTTAGGTCTACATTTAGTCCCTTAAAAACAACTAACTTACTGTTAGGTTAACACGGCAGTTACTTCTTACACTAAAGTCAATAGACAATCTATTCAGTATGTGTGTTAGGAGCATCTTCAAAATGATTGAAACCAGGCTTGTATCGACTCTGAGAGCACTCAGCTGCAGACAGAGCATAAAGCACAGCCAAAGGCCAAGGCCAGAGCCTGGAAACAGCATGGAGCAGAAGAGGAATGGTCATGAGGAGGATGAGTGCTGTTTCTATCCTGCTGAGTTCTGGCTGCACTGAGAGAGAGAGATTTTTTCGCATTTAAAGAAACAACTTTAGCAGGAAATTTGATGTTAATATTTCCATATGAAGAATGAGGGTTAGGGTGAGACCTCCTGTGTAGCTCATCTGGCACTCTCATTGTGGGTTATATTTAGATTTCAAAATAGTTAGATTTATCATATTGGGAAAAGTAATGGTAGGTGTTACAGCAGGAGAAAGCTTTAAATGCTGTATATCAAATTCTGAAGCGTGAAAGAGGCAGGCGGATCAGAGTAAATCCATTTTCCGGAGAGCATCCAAACGAAATATTGCCATGGTATTGTCTTTGAGATTATGCACTGATTGCAGAAGATCAATCCTGTCACTGTGTATAAACCGGTGTGCTGCAGGCCAGCAGAAGTCAGATTTTCCAGCCTTCTTGCTGTCACAGTGGGAGATGGGAAGCTGACAGTGAGGTTGAGGTCATGCTGTTGAGGGGCCAGATTGAAGCACAGCCGCTCATACTTAGCGTCGGTTTGCTGCTGCTGATGCAAAGTGCTGACGTCTATCAGGGCAGCTCCAGATGCTGCTGATTAAAGTTTCTATTACTCACACACAGGCTGGGACAAAATACCAGGGATACAGATCGTACCCCTCCTCTCAATCTCAACGCCTTGCACCCCTCACATTCACCTCGAAACCTGCAGCTAATGTTAAAGTGATTATGAAAACAATCTCAAGTCCAGCAGGAGAAGACTGGACCGGTCTGATTTCACTTTGCAAACCTTTCCTAACCTTCTGGAGAGCTGCCATCTGTTGCATGCTGTGCATTAAGATCACTTCTTTCTGGTGTATCAGATTTCTATCTTTGCATGAAAGCATTTTTAAAGTTTGACAAAATAAAGCAGATCCAAGCTACCCCTCTTTTTTTTTTAAAGCTTATCCTTTAAATGGAAACATTTTTCTTGACTAGATCAACCGCTCCCAGGCTTAGAGTGATTGTTGCTTGGCAGATACTAAAAAGATGTGTTTTCTTTGATTTTTGATGACGGGGCTCTAAATTGATAATGACAAGCTCAGACAAACTTACTAATCACTCCACATTTGGGTTTCTTTTGGCAGGATGGAGGATGTGTTGCGATTAACCCTTGAGGTGACATCAGAAGTAAACTTGTTTGTGTCATGCTTTAAGGGGAAAAATGAGTCTTTTCCCCCACAGCCGTTATACTGGCCTGAATAAAGTCGCCAACATGAAGTCATTCCCCAGCTCCTCCCAACAGTACTGCCCTCAGGCTAGCCCTTTTTTATGGCTGACTGACTCTTCGTAATCATCTCCCTCATGAGAATCAAAGGAGTGATTTAAAACAGCTGTATTTGATGTAAATGTCAATTACACAACGGCGTATTGTGCCAAGACTGCGTGCAGGAGAATGCTGTATGATATTAGCACGACAAGCACGGACACACCCGGCTGTCAAAAAACTCACCATCCATTATTGTCCGGCTGAACGCAAGAGATACTCTTTAAACTGTCGTGTTGGGTTCTCTGCACTTCATCGCGTTTGGAGAAAAGAAACTCCCTGCACTCCTCGAGTTTTATTTATCTGCTCAAGAATTTAGAAGTAATGATCTTCCCAAATGTGCAGACTTTCATGAAAATTGTTTTGCTCTTTACAGGCGAGGCCCAAAGGCGAAGGGTTGACACCCTATCAGGGGAAGAAGAGATGCTTCGGAGAGTACAAGTGCCCCAAGTGTAAGAGGAAGTGGATGAGCGGCAACTCCTGGGCCAACATGGGACAAGAATGTATCAAATGTCACATAAACGTCTATCCACACAAACAGGTACAGGAGAAAGTTCACTCTCTGAAAAGTTTGTCTCAAAGTGAAAGAACATCGATCTCTACAGACGCCAACTGAGTGCAGACTCTGGTTTGCGTGGCTGCGAGGTTATTCCAGATGGCCTCATTAAAATAGAATAAAAATCACAACACTTGAAATTGCTTCTGCCCCTTTGGTAATAATCCAAACGCTGGATAAACTAATAACATCTCCTGACTGATAAGAGTCGAGGATCATTTAGTGAACGTCAACAAATCTGAAACAAAAACTTTGCATTAATGGCTAACAGACACAAACTAACTCTGGGGTGATTGAGGCTCATACAGCTGCAGGAATTCCTCTCATACTGAATAATATGAACAAGTGAAGTCATATGAAGCAAAATGCTGTGGAGTGTTTTTCCGAAAGCAGCGAACGCTCAGAGGGAATTAACGTGCTGGTGAGCTGTCTATTCAGTTTAACCTCGAGTATGTTCCTCACAGCCTGTTAACTAAAGAGACGGATCGCCTGTGAAAGAATCTGCAGAGTTTTCTTCAACTAGAGATATATTTATCTGCTCTGCTTCATCTTTTAATATTTATACTTTTCCACATTCTTCCAATTCCACTTCCTGGAATAAAATTAAGACTACAGCTTGAGGCCCTGCTCTTTCTCCGAGTAGTGTGGCTGACCATGTTTCACTCTGTTAACACTCGCATAAAATGAAACAGGAAAGGGACGCTGCACGGCAAATTTACTTGAAATTTCTGGCGAGATGTCGTAACATTCCCCGACAATGAAAACTGAATGCATAATTTACCTACGCCGGATCTTTTCTTTATTTATTAGCATCCTCTACGTGGTGAGATATTAACTGTAACCTTGAAAAAGCATTGGCTAAAGACTGCATTTACACTGCCACAGGCCTCCTTAAGTAACTTTCAATCAAAACCGCTCGGCACTCAGGAGTTCACTGGTAAGAAAACCTCACCCCTTCTCTGCCTCTGTGTCCTGCGGCAAAGCAACACATAGGCAAGCAAATTCCCTGCATTTGCAATGTCACCCACTTAACATATTTCCCCCTGTCAGCGTTTGAAATGGACCACTAACCTCTGTGTCCTCGAGTATCAAAGAGCTCAGACGCTCAGCATGGCTCCCTCCTTCCCTGCGGTTTCCCATAAATAACCTGAATATGTATTTTCCAATCCCATCCACATGCATAAAATATTTGACCCTCTCAGACGGGAAATATATTTCCTGAGCACCCAAAGTGTCGGTTTTAAGCCTAAGGCGTGACTTCTGATCAGGGTGATGGTGGACGCAAGCATTTCGGCTGTTGCAAACCACCTTGAGTATGCTGATTTGAGGGTGGATGGCATTGAAAAGAGGAAAGCTAATGCAGACCAAAAGCTGCATCTTTATTAACTATAACCAGTACTTCAGTAAATCACTCCACCTTCCTCCTCTGTCTCATGTCAGTGTGGGGCTGAAAGGTGGGTTAGGTACACTTGGTTCCCCAAGAAGAGGGTGTCAAAAGTACAGTATAGCACTCATACTGTACTGGTAGAAGCTTTACATTAAAGCTAGTCGAATGAGAATTGGTGGCAGGCTGACTAAGACAGCTTTTTTCTTTTTAAATTATGTGTGATTGTCAAAATCAATGAATCAGACAGGGCTGACTTGATTGATAGGCGGGGGTCACTGTAGCCATTCAAGAGGAGGCTTAAGACCCTATGGTAGGTTGACGGGATATTTGGTTTAGACAGCATTACCAATGTGGCAACCACGGCTGATTAATGCTGGAAAACTGCTAAGTCTAATCTCTTTTAAAGGGATATTCTGGTGTAAAATTAACTCAGGGTCAACACCAAGTTAGACACCCCGTCAAAGATAAATGTTGCCAAACACTTGCTTCTCTAGTTATACCAATTTTAGTAACGACCGCACGATAACAATGGACAGCGGTCTCAGGAGCCATAAACAAACCTCAACCAAAACGCCACTCTATAGTCACAAATAATGCTCAGAACAGCACCTAACTTCATCAACAGTACATATAGGGTCCCAGCCATGGCACTAGCCACCAAACATCTTTTTAACTTTGCCCAATTTCTTCAGCAAAGAGACTAAACAAAACTCACCCACTATCTCTTGTAGCGAGACCTCAGGCCAGTCCATTATGGACTGCTGTGGGGTGACGCAGCTCAAGGAAGAACATTTATGATAATTTCTTTATCACTTCCTTGAAGTAATTATCACCATATTTATCATTTTGCACTGCAGATGCGGTAGTTCTTCTGCCTTAGTGTCTTGGTCTGATTGCATTTCCATGAAGAAATGATCTTAAATTTTGTGTTATGTGTGATTTACCAATCTGGTTAAAAAAAAGGCACAGGGGAGTAAATGTCAATTCTCGCGACTTCTTTGGAGCGTTTTCTGAGCATGTTAGCTTTGAGCATAGTCTTAATTAGAGGTTGACCAATCACAGTTTTTCAGATGCCAATGCGGGAACTGTTTATGAGGGAGCGGGTAAGCCAATAGCCGATATATGATGTCGATATCACGCAAATGAATAACCACATTTTTTAACTTGAGTGAATGTTTTATCAAATGAATGTAGATGGATCATTTTGTGACTCATTCATTTCAGAGTTATTTAGGATACAAAATCAATGATCAATGAATGATCAAAATCAATGAATCAGACATTGGTGACATGATTGATTCAAGAGTAGGCTAAAGACCTGCCTCTGGTTGGTTGATGGGATATTTGGTTGAGACAGTGCTACCCAATATGGCGACCGCTGCAGATTAATGCTGGAAAACTGCTGAGTCAAATCTCTTTTAAGGACACAATTAGGACTTGTGTTCACAAGACTAGCCTGAATTAAATGGTGCTACTCTCTGAAGTGTCCTCATTTAGCTGTGAAAGAGCAATACTTGAGTCTCAGTTATTTATCAATAGAACTAGATAAAGCCATACTTGTCATAGTAAGAAAAATAATGGGAAAATGTCTGTTGGCTTTTGTCCGACGGGCTGTCGTACATTGTGATCCTAGCACTTCTACAAGTAAAAGTATGTACTTAAATCACACAAACATCACACAAAATTCATATGATCCTACTTCTGTGCCAAACACACATACCATAATCTAAGTTATTGATCGCCTCAGAGGAAACACCCAGACAGCAGCTACAGAACAGACCATCTTCAGTTTGAGTTTCTTGCTCAAGGATACATCAACAGGGAAAATGCTTGTAACACAAAGACCTGAACCCAGATCCTTCAAGAGGAGACCTCATAAAATACAAATCAGAATTTCCAGCTTGTTAACAGAACCTGATGTTTTTGACGCACCAGTAATGAACTCTCAAGACTTCCTGGCAGGCTCATTAGTGACCGACTGAAATATCTCCTACAAGCGACCCATGGTAACCTCTGTTACTCTAGTTAGACTACTTGGACTAAGTAATGTTTTGAAAGCAGTTTTAACAAGAAGAAAAAAAACAATAGATGAGGAATATGATTTTCCAGACAGGTTGTTAAAATAACCTCCAAACATGTTGTCTTAGACCGACTCTGTTTGTCCTTGATAATGAGTCCAGAAAAACCATCACTGTAGCCGTTTGTTGATATTTCCATCCAGGTCATCGTGATCAAACTCAAGCTGGATCTTTCTTTTTAAGACCAGGTTTTAAAAGTGTTCTACAAGTTTCCAGAGCTGATGGTGCGTTGCCATAACTCTGCAACTAAAAGTTTGGTGCACATTTGCTCTGGGTTGAATGCGGCTGGAGCCAGTGTTGTAATGCGTACAGCTAAATTGATTCTGGTGCCAAATAAACTGCTTGCAGAACTGAAGAGGTTTATACTGTGTGGGTGCTGCTTGATTCGCCGGTTTAAGTGAGTAATATGACTCATTTTTTGTCCTCTGTTTGTATCCTCAGCGCCCGTTAGAGAAACCAGATGGCTTGGATGTTTCCGACCAGAGCAAGGAGCACCCGCAACACCTTTGTGAGAAGTGTAAAGTCCTGGGCTACTACTGCCGCCGTGTGCAATGATCGTTTACCCCGAGCTTGAGAGCAACTTTTGTGTCCCAAGTTCCATCGCCCATCCTCTACTTAGGCTGTTTACTTCCTCTGTGCTGGACTCATATCAAGGTTTCCAACATCCCTGGTGTCCTTGACCCCCTCTGTCTCTCAGAAACCTCAAACATAGACTGTAGCTCTAATCCCCCTCCGATCCCCACTTCTCTGCCTCTCGTCGTATTGAGGATTAAAACCAGGAATGAGAGGGACACCTTACTTTAGGATCAGTCCAAGTGCTCTTTATCAGAAACAAAAAACTTGCCAAACTAGTGACTTTTACTGCCTTGTGCATCCGAAATCATCTAACATAACTGATCCAAGTAGATGCATAACATTGAATTAGCACCAGACATGCTTTTCACTGGTGTCGCTGATAGTATTGGTCTCAAAAAGATTACCTCACCTTGGGGTTTGTTGACTTCGTGTTTACAGAGATCTGCCTTCCATTTCCCTGCCGAGTGAAGTGTGTATGGTAATGTGATGAGCGTTTTAACTCCTGTCGGTAAAATGTATACGAGGCCTTTGACGTCTTGCCATATTAGGGTCATCTTTATAACTGTGAATTAACTGAGGGACAATGTGCCATACATCCCTAGCTTACATTTGGCCTATTTATTTTCTTGTCGTCTAGTGTGCAATTTGAATTTTAACTGGGACATAAGGAAATGTTTTGTGTATGTTTGTTGATCACATTGTTGTGTTTCTGCGTCCATGTGTCTGTAGATACTACTGTAGGTTTAGTTGCGTAGGTTCGCTCTTAGTCTAGATTTAGCACATTGTCAACGGATAAGATTTCAGGCACCCTTCCTCTATAGTATTTCTGTTCTCTTCTATCTTTAGTGCCAGAGAGGATAGAAAGATGTAGATGTTATATAGCTAAGTTGTGTTTATGACAAATCACAGGAAGTTTCATCCGCGCGGTCGAAGCATAAACCGATTTGCTGACCATAGATTAGCGTTACAAAACAAATCTATCTGTTCGAAGCAGATTGAGCAACATTTAAGTTCACATTTTAGTGTAAAATGACGCCTTGCAGCCGCACCAGAATCAGTTTAGATCATTAGTTGTTGTGTTAAAGGGCTTGCGTCCTTTAAAACTTCGAATGTCCAACAGCTGACTGCAGTGCAAAGAGTGTCGGGAAGAGGTGAAATGATCGAGAACTGCAATAATTTTCAGTTTTGCTGAGAGAAAGAGGAGGATTTTATGTACAGAAGAAACAGATTTATGAAGGTAGGGCTGGAAATTCAAGGATATATTGAAAGTGACGGTGTTTATACTCATGTGTATATGCATTTTTATGAATATAAGTGCCTACAGTTGTAAGTCAACGTCATTAAAGAGTAGCAGACGTCCTGTTTACGTATATCATGTGCATACCAAAAGCACTACAGAGGAAATACATTTAGTTTTTACATATAGAAACCTGTCTCCTTAGGAACATTTTAACAGGAATCATGAACTATTTTATATGTACTGTATTTCTAGCCTTATAAAAGATGGTTGGCTATATTTTAAACTGTTACATAATGTATGTGCCTTAAAAAGATTTAAATCATTCAGGACTTGGAGATCTTACGAAATTGGAAAAAGAAACGTAGGGGCAGGCTCAGAGTTGGAGCAGTATATGTGCATGTTGTAAAAGTAATGCATAGTAAGTTTGGAGCAGGTTCACGTTGCAACAAAAGGTCAAGAAAATGATGCAGTTTCTCTAGAGAGCAGAGTGAACTGTCACGGTGGGTGTTTGTTTCGACGCAGTTTGCTGAGTTGGAGGCTCGGGCTGAATGAAACAGCATTTCCAGCTGGCAATAACAATCCTACTGTGGTCTGTTGTCATGGAATATCAACAAAAGATGTTATTTCTCAGATGGTCCTTAAAACAGAAAGGAGTCGCACACAAATCTGTGGGTCTCACTTTTTGTCTTTTCTTTATAAATCTATTGTAGCAAGGTTTATCTGTGGGTGTGTAAGAAGATATACATGGTCACCCTCCTCAGTGGGAGACTTTTCAGTAGGTGATAATGGTACATTAAGGTTTGGGGAAATTTGGCCTTATTCTTTCTGGAGGGGCTCTCTTGATTGAATACTTTGGTTTATGTGGTAAGCATACAGGGGTAGAAAAAAAGAGAATCATTAGAAAAAAGTCTCAGTGCAAGAGAGGCTAATTAATTCAAACAGATGGAAATTTCATATTGACAAACAAAAGCAAACAAGAACATTGGCGACAGGACTGATGACTTTCCTGCATAATTTTAATGCCTGAATCTGGTGCAAAGGGGAAGGTGTCAGTGAAGCAGCTGTAAAAACAGCTCTGTTGTTATATTTTCACATTTGACATATACAACAACAGACAGATGCGACTATCAAGAGTCAGCAGGGTGAGATTTGTTGTCACATGACACTACTAAGGCAAGTATAAGTCATAGTTCAAAAAAGGCTACTTTGTCCTGAGGGGCGCCAAAACTGACACGAATTAGAAGTTCATCAAAGGAGCTTTAAGCCCCCCGGACACACTTGGTCCTACATTTCCCATAATGCAACTCTTGAGCATTTTTTCAGCATGTCTCATCTCTTTGTGGTTGATGCCAAGATCTTTGAAGCTCCAACTTCCAAGATCTGAAATTAAACAGCCATTTTTACGGCTCTAACATTGAGTGAAGCTGGCGAGGTGCTCTTTAAAAAATATATCCTATTTCTAAAAAAAACATAGGAGTAGGAAGTTGCGCATTTCTATTACAAGTGTAGAAACTCTCCTGAATGAAAGTTTACCCTAACAGCCACCATTAGGAACAAAAAAAAAATCTTGCTATTAACAATGTCTTTTTTGTGTAATGCCACTAATCTAACATGCCTTTACATTTAAACATGATTGTCCACAGCATACTATGTGGCAGTAGTGAGAGGAATAGATACCAATGATGCCTTACAGACTAACCTCATAAACCAGTGATGATATTTTGACTCAGAGTTCTCACGGATTAGAAATGAGAAACCCAGATAGAGAGTCTGATTCCTCTGAGGAGGCCATTTTAAATGGAAGAGCCAATGGAAGCAGTTGATATACAACGGCAAAAAAAAAAAGAAATCTCTGCTTTCAGATATAATGTCTTGAATTACATACTTGACTTTTCTAGTACCTTTTCAGCTCAAATTTGTGATTTTCTATGAATGAGATGTGTATTTTGGAACACTTAATAGATGTTGAAAGTTTTAAAGCAATCTGCAAAACTCAAGAGTTATTTCCCTGACAAAGAAAGACTGTTTTATGTATATATTTGATGGCCATCATTTTACAGGATAGTAGCTCTTTTTAAGTGTTATGCAATATTGAAGCTTTTTGTGTGAAGAAGGGCCTGTTGCTGAGAATTAAACAAAGCTGGGAGTTTTTTTTTTTCTTTATGTTTTACAAGAATCTGAGGGGATATCCTGCAGAAATATTTATGGAAGATTTTTTACAACACTTTTTTTGTATAGAATATGCAACAAAGTTACACTAAGAAGGAAATATTGATGTCTACATAGAATATTATAAAAAAGCTGGTACATAATTAATACCCTTTCTCAATTATAAGCCATTGTATTTTTGTTTTTTGTTTTATGATGTTATCAGTGTTGAATAAACTGCAATGTTATTCAGTTGCTCTATGTAACTAATTGTGAGCTGCCATTTACATCCATACAGTCCTATGTATTCATTTTGTAAACAGTAGTATGAAAGTATATTGTGTTAACATGCAGAAATCTTTTCTTCTTAATAAGTGATGGATACTCACCACTGTATGAGCACGTTAAACTGTGAGATGTAGTTTGCTTAAAGCAGCAATGACAAGAAACTATTATAAAATGTTTTAGTGTTATTAGAAATTTAGGGAGTGTATACTTTTAAGAAAGCGTGTGTGACAAAGAACTGTTTTAGAGTTTGCATGTGCATGGGTTTGATTTTGAATGAAGTATTACTTTGTGCAATGTATACTTATTTAAAATACTTTACAGTAGTTTGCTACAGTACATATTGTTTTTAACATGATCAGCAACTTCTGATTGTTATTAGTCCTGAAGTATCTCATTTACCGCTAGTGTAGCCTTGATAAATAATACATATTTACTGAATGTAATGTGTTAACACTTATGTGGTCAATTTGGAAAGTTCTGTTTGTATTCTTTACTGTCTGTATCACTTGAGATGTTTGTTATGCAATATTGCAATAATGTAATATTTGAATTGGACAGAACACAGACGTGAGGTAGGGAAGAGGATGATTTTGGGAAACAAGGACAGTCGTGGTTTGGAGGCTAGACCACAGGTCTGTTTTTCATGTCCATAAAATGGCATTCCAAAATGTGCCTTATTTGTTAGTTGGGAAAACATTTTAGTGCTGTCAAGTTTGATGAATAAAAGTCATATTGAATTAGGACTGCTTGGATTACGCACTTTCATTTGTTTGGGTCCTATACTGAATTGTTTTTACAAGTAACTGGGAGGGTGTTCTTTCTGGAGATTGATTTCAGCCAACAGCCACACATTGTTTTCAGAGAGCTCCTGCCTGTATAATATTCATGTGAGTATATGTTTTCATTGTCACACTGTGCAAGATGGAAGTCTTACACAAGACTGTGAAGCATATAGATTATGAGAAAGAGGTTTTTAATGGATTATTCACGGTGGTTGTGTAACGCAGAAGTGGGAGCGACTTGTTAAACTTTTCTTCCCTGTGAAAGCGCTGAAAGATAACAGACACATCGGGCTGACAGGTCTTGATTTCAACACTTTGAGACAAACTGCGGACTAAAAAAGCAAAACATGAAGAGAGGACACCAGCAGGCATGGGTGCTGTGTGATAAAAGCAGACATTTACAGCAGGAGTTCCAGCTTGTACCAGCTGTAAAGATGTCATTGTTTTGCATGTGTGTATTAAACGTTGGCTGCAGCACAGCCGCCTCTACAGCCAAGTTTCCATGCACAATATTGGACGTGCATTCCAAATAACTAAAACTAAACCGGAGGGTGGGGACCCAAATTATATCAAGTTTGTTACAACATCTTGAGCTCAAACAGAGTGAGAGCTGAAAGGTCTCTATAGCAACAGTGTAATCTGAGAATTCAAACAAACGGTGGAAGGTCAGCAAGCATATGGTTTCATTTAGGGGCAAGAGCTGCTTTTTCACATCGCTTCATTATTTACTTTCATAAAGTATTAGCTCGATAAGCAGCACCACCCAGTCTCTGGCTTTCAGACATGTCCTGGTCTCCTTTTCCCTCGCCCTCTCCTCAAGGCACTGTGTATCTTTGACATAATAGACGCGGAGAAAGAGGAGCAGCCCACGTACACGCTGGAGACATTTTCAGGTTGCTTTATGGACCAAACAGCTTATATCATCTGTATTCACTCTGTGCAATGAGCACATAGCCCAAAGGTCTATCATCTGCCGACTAAATCTGTGTGATATTCAGACTCCACAGTAGGTGGATGTCACATGATGTCACATCCTGCTCTGATGGACAGGAAGTCACCACACTGGAGAGCCAGGGGTCTAAAAAAAGCTGTTGGATCATTTCCAGGAAGCTTTAAAACCAGCAGGGTCGAAGGCACAAGAGTGTATATGTCCTGTACTAAGACCAAAGCTAATAAAATCTGAAAATGAGCATTTAATCAGCAGTAGATGTAGAATAATTAGAACATTTTACAAAGAGAAAGTCTTTGAATGAGTACACAAAATAGATTTGTAGACATATAAAGTTTAAAAGCAAGGTATCTTCATCTAAAATCAGAGTGAATCACTGTGACTCTCAGTCATGGCATTTTACTGTTATTGTTATTCAAAAGCAAATAAAAAACTTCCTTTAAACTTGATTCTTAAATGATAAATACATAAATATTTTAAAATGTCATCATCAATAAGACATCTGAATAAAATAAGGATTCAATCACCGATGGCAGTTTCTAAGAGGATGGATATAGTGCTGAGGATGAATACGAAATGATTTCATAGTGAGTCATTTGACAGAAGTCCATGTGTCACCTCTGGAGTTATTTGATCTCTCCACAGTCAGAAATGACAATTTTCTTGATGACTCCACCATCGTGCAAACCAAAAGATTCCATCTTAGTGACCACATCCAGTCCTTCCTTCACCTGCCCGAACACCACGTGTTTACCATCAAGCCTATCAAAAGACAGACAGACAGAAACCCCTTCAGCCAGTGGTAGATTAATGCATTTGGATGAGTCAAGACTTTGGAGCAAATCACCCAAATTTTGGTGGTAAAAAAAAAATTCTGCTAAGCACTTACCATTCAGTTTTGGTTGTGCAGATAAAGAACTGGGAGCCATTTGTGTTTGGCCCTGAGTTTGCCATTGAAAGCGTTCCTGCAGGGATTAAAAGGCCAAAAAGTAAATAAGTTAAATTGGAAACAGTCAACAGATCCTTTTGACTCTATTTTAACTCTGACCCAATAACATTTAAGCCTTAGTGTAGCAAAAGAGGATCATGCCACAAGTCAACAACTGTGTCTGTTTTCTATTCTTTCCTCGAGGCAAACTGCAAACTTTGATTATGCAGCATTTTTTTTCAACAAGGCGCAAAATAAACAGCATGTGGACGAAGTTTTCTCAAGAACAAAGTTATTTTGATTGGTGCAAAAAGTAGGTCTTTCACCTGGGGATTGCTAAGTCTGTAAAAGAGGTAGTCATAGTGCTGGCACTGAATGAGGCACTGCCACCTAGTGGAGAGTCAACTCCAACAAGACAGTTATATTGTTAAGAGGGAAAGAGAGTAAAATATACAGTACATGTAAAAAAAAATAGAAGGATAACATCTGACATTTACAAATGCACTTGTGAATTTTGGTTTGAACTACAATCAATGAGAAACTAGCTATGTATTTATGAAACTATAACTCAAACTTTATCATTATTTTCTTTGAGACTTATCTTTCCTTATCAGTTTATGTTGAAATGCATGACACAACCACACCCTTAACTAACCATCAGCAATCATTGTGGATGCAAAGCTGCATGTGAGATGGGATTTATCATCAACCATTAAGAAGCTAATGGTTACAGAATAACATTTAAAGCATCATGATGATATATTTAGTAAAATTGTAGACCATGGTTATTCATACCTGGACCAGTGTGTTTTAATTTAAAGTTTTCATCCTTGAATGTTTTCCCAAATATAGATTTTCCTCCTGTGCCATTGTGGTTGGTGAAATCTCCCCCCTGCAACACAAACACACAAACATATAAAACCCTACAGCAGCAGCAAACATAGACAACACTTTTTATTCCCACAAACTCTCTGTAAATCTCACCTGACACATAAACTCAGGTATGACCCTGTGAAACACGGATCCCTTATATCCAAAGCCATATTCTCCAGTACACAGGGCCTTGAAGTTCTCTGTGGAGAAAGTGTTTTTTTATTCATTTCAAGTCAAGGACAGTTTGAGAAACTTTAATACTAAATGAAACATGTAACAAAAAAGCTAAATAAAACATACGTGCAGTCTTTGGCACTACATCTGCATTCAACTGCAACACAAACAAATCAGAGTCACCAAATGAATGAATGTTTGCACTGAAAAGTGAACAGTCCTGAACCAGAAGGCTAGTACTAGCTAGCTAGGTACCTCAATGATTATTCTCCCAATCGGTTCCGCGTCGGCCTCGATGTCCAGAAACACAACCGGGTTTTTGGCGGGTCCGGAGGAAAACAGTTTAGCAGCGGCGATACCCGGTGAGCTGTACTTGATTTGGTTTTTTATCTGAAACATTTCTGCTAAACTGACAGAGCGAAGGGGACATGCAGGCCATGATACTACGACTACTGCTGCTAGTGTTGTGTCGTTCGCGAACGATTCGTTCAAAAGAACCAAATCTTTTAAGTGAAGTACTGAACCAAATCACGTCCTCGAGTGATTCGTTCAACTTGCATACAACAGGACAGCATTGCCAGTCGAGCAGCCGGCGAACGAGGGACCGCATGCACCGACACCTGAATCACTTTGTAAATGAATCACGCATTGAACTACACTCTCTAGAATCATTTTTGTCAGGCAAAACTACCTTTTTTGCTGCTAAATTGCCACCACATTAACTTGCATACAACAGGACACAGCATGTAACAAGCAGTGCATTAAACCCGCAGCATCCTATCATTGCAGCGGTTTGTGAGGGAACAGTTTATGTTCAGTTTGAATTCTTCTAAATGTTCAGTAACCGAATCACTCACTGAGCCCAATTTATTGAGCAGACCTGATAAATAGCATCCCATTGGATAGTACACTTAAAACATCATGACTTATGAACAAGTTCATTTTTACAAACCTGTTTGCCAAAGCAACTCAGCCAAACACTCTTGCCTCCCAGTCCCAGAAGCTATGAATTGAACTGAATCCTGAACCGTTCAGCTGTATATCAGTTTAGGAGCTTGAAGTCGCAGGTTTCTCCTGCCAGGCGCTACATGATTCGGTGATTTGGTGAACGAATCTTTTGAACGAATCTTTTTAGTGAACTGATTCTAGTGGTTCAGTACATCTAAAAAGAACTGCCGTGCTCATCACTAGCTGCTGCTGGTGTTTATATGTGATGTTACCCAGACCCTCAATGTTGAAACCATAGCGACCCCGCGTGGGGAAACACGGGAAAACCAAGAAACACTTTATTCACTTTTTCAAAAATAAAATATTTTTGAAGTCACTTTTTACAAAATACCTTTCTTACAAGTATCGAAATTTTTGTTGTAATTATGCTAATTATTTTTAATATTATGACTTATATTTTGAACCTGGCTAAGGTGATAGAATCTGTCCCCATGACGACGTAGGGGAGAGTGGGGTAAGTTGAGACAAAAAAGAGTAAGTTGAGCCACTCCCTGTTGCTTAGAAATGGTCAAAGAAATTGATCATGTGACCAAATATTTAGGAGATGGGCATCAATTCATGGAGTCTGTGAAGGTTAGAAGCACATGGGTGAAGAAGGGGTTAGACATTTAAATAAGAATAATTCTCACAAATATTTTACCAAATAATTATCAGTTTGACCGTAGGTGAAGCAATCTTTCTCAACTTACAAGTATTTAGGGATGAAGTTTTTAACTGAGTTTTTATCTGTTTTTATTTCCATGTGCTGATGTTCATTGCTTCATGACTGTTTGTCAAAGCACTTTGTAAACTTCTGTTTTTAAAAGTGCTATAAAAATAAAGGTATTATTATTATTATTTAGGGATGAAGTGGACAGCAGTTTGTCCAACAATTATACACCACACGCTAAGTGTTCACACAGCAAGAGACACTAAGTACCATTGTTTATAATCATCAAAAACTCAAATTAAGCTTGTATAGGTGCCTAAAACAAGACTGTTGCAAAGTGTTTCACTCATGGTGTGTTAGGATAGATTAAGAGAGGGTGTGATCTTAAAAGATGAGACTTAATCTTAATGTCTGTAAACATAACAGAGTATAGTCTAGACCAGCTCGTTTTAAGGCATCTTGTGGTGAATTGGCGCAGTATAAAGATAGATTTTTCTTTTTTTAAGTGTGTATAGGTATTTTTTTTTGGTGCCGAGCACACTTTGTATGTTATAAAACACAGAGGCCATTAATTGTGTTTCATCTGAATACATATTTATTAGATAAATATTAGGATGTCACGTCATCTAACTACATACAGATTTGCAAGACTAAAAATCACAATGTTTTTCTGACCAGTTTCGAATATGAAATGATTGTACATAGAATGTACAAAACCAAAGAGACAACTGCCACTTGTTGTGCCAATCACTTCAGATTGTACCTTTATAGCATATTTTTGCCAAATTGCATAAAAATTGTAAATTTGACAAAATTCTTTTTACAAACTGTAAATTTGGAAACAACTCTTCAGAGCCACTCGAAGCTCCATGTCTCCAAGTCCCAATTATACCTCAAAAGGCTTTCATAATTTTGTAGCACCTTTATAAAGTACACAGGTAATAGAGAAATACACAGAGGTTTAATATTACACAAAGGAAAAAATGTACTTTTTTCTTGAAAACCCCGCGTGGAGGGGCACATAAAGTATTTTACATAAATGAACAGGTGTGGTTAGAGAGGTCTGCACAGACGCAATCAAACAAAGACTCATTTTGCCAATTCAATGTCTGACAGGAGGATTGAAGCTTTACAAATTCTAAATACACTATGCACACTCCTCCTGGAGAAAATGAATACATTTCTGTTAACGTGTCTCTATTTGTCATTTACAGTATATACACGTATCCCTTACATCCCACACCCCCACCCCAGACCCTAAGCCACAACCTCCCCATGCAATGCAAACAGGAGGGCGTCTCTCCCCGAAATTTCATTTTAAACATGAATTGCATTCTCTTTTAAATCCTCGATTTCCAAAGTCTGCAATCAGACCGTACAATTTGTGTCGCTCAAATTACTAGACGTGATTCTGTGAAAGGTTACAGTAACACACTGTGTAGGGAAAGAAAACATCCCAATGCGGCAGTGCATTGTCTTTAACAAACACATAAACAAACAAACAAACAATCTGATCCTTCAGCTGTGTTATATGCAGGTGATTTGATCTTATTTGGTTTAGGTAAAAAAAAAAAATCTCAAATGGGGGAACTTTAACGACAACATACAGTATATTCTAAATTCATTTACTGTACTGCATAAAACTGTGTAAACCAAGCTTTAACTGTTATAAAAACACAGGATGAATAATAACTTAAAACAATATAAAATGCGTATTTTTACAAAATAAAAATACACAAATCATGTTCACATATTTTTGCAAAGCATGGTTATCAAAAGCTCATTATCAGGCCTTAAAGTAATACAGAGGATGTGCCACACATTCTCACTTCAAATAAAAAGAACGAGGTCACTTGTTCCAATATTTTAGGCAAATCGTTTTTGAAGAAATTTGGACCTCAAAGCTGCATTGACAATCCTTTAGACAGAAAAAAGCAGCTTATTTAAAGCTGACTGATTTTTATATCAAAAGAAAAATAAAGTCTGAAAACTTGCCTGCTGAGCAAATGAAATAATCCCTTTCACTGATGCATTGTCATTGGAAAACTGTACACAATACACAGTAAGTCAGTACAAGGCCAGTGAGAGTGCATTTAGATCCATTTGTTACAATATTGGACTGCTTATGAGGGATTCTGCATGTGAGTGTGTTTGAGGTCCTTGACAGACATACAGTACCATGTAGTTGCCAGTAATAGATAGGTACAGTACTGTACAGTCACAAAGTATTCACAAAGGGTATATACAGCTCTGGAAACACTGTTGGATCATGCAGGATGTTTTTGCTCTAAAAGATGCAGGTCAACAGCAACAAAACGACTAAAGGAGAGATCAGTACAATCACACAGACGTTGGTATAAAATACAGTGATTTAAAAATTTCTGCTGACGTCTGTAGGATGTTCAAATCCTGCCCTTACATCGATGTCATATGCAGGCTGACAAAAACCCCTTACAAAAGCCTGGAACACCTCACCTTTGGTGATGAGTATCTGATTAATTTCATTGTAGGACAAAGATAAACATGAAAAAGGACAACAATGATAAAAAAATGATGACTTTGAAATAAAATAATAAATACAAAGAGAACAAATTTGATCAAGCACATTTAGGCTGGACAAAGACATTAGGAGCCATTGGCACACATGCACTTGTGAACAAAATGGTGCTGAATTGAATGAGGAAGAGCGAAACATCACAATAAATACACAAAAACAACAGCAGACTGGAAAGAGAAGAGGAGCGGGACAGCTCTTAAGGTGGACTGATTTCTCTCCTGATCCTTCTCCTCTCAGCTGTCTTCAACATACGCTTGCAGGCAAACAAAAGAGGACACGCAACATTCACACATGCACGCACACACACGCACACGGGTATATACACACCCACACACACACACACACTACATTGCACAATGTGCACTCATTTCCTCTGTTGACACCGGAGGACATTTCAGCTCGTCCTTTCAGTGCTCTGATTCTGATAAGTTCCAGTTATTCAGCTGTCACAATCACACTGACAGGTTCTTGGGGGGGTCAAAGGTCTGCCAAAGTTTTGGAAGAACACGTTTCAAATATGCTATAAACACTCAAACAAGTCTTTTTTTTTCACAAAAGGAAAATCAGAATAAAAAAACAAAGCTAGTACACTCTCCTCCATGTTGTTTACACATGATGATTATAGCTGCACAGTTTTCAGTTGAAAAGTCACAAATATCTTATATTTATTTATATCATATCACTTTAGTGTCCGCCAACATGGCTGTCAATGTTGTGTTCGAGTCAGGCGGTGGAACTGGTGCGTGGAATCTTTACATGAGGAAAAAATAGGAGTGAGCAGCGGTCCTGCTTTCTCCCTGGGAGTTCCCAAACAGGTGCTTCTTTTTTTTCAGTCTACTCCTATGCCACACAAAATCTGTTGAGGGAGTTTGTGTATGTGTGTTAGGGTGGGTGATCACAGGAAGCAGCTTGAACAGGAGGTCAGTGAAGTGCCTGTGGACGGACAGTCAAACACGTCACCACTCCTGTAGGTGCAGGAGGTTTTCTTTTTAAAGGGTCAAAGTGAGGGGGCTAGTTGTTCTCAAACAGAGAGAGAAGGTCGTCATTGCTGTTGGCGGGGAGGTCCGGGGGGTCCAGGTACGATAGTAGCTCGTCTGGGTTGGCCAACTCTGGAAGCAGCTGGAGATAAAAGGCAGAAAAAGACAATTTAGGGTGATGTGTATCTTTCTGACCCTTGGACAACTT